GAGAAAGTCAAAATGCAAGTGATCTGGGTTATAATAGCTATTACCTATATGAATTTACTTTTACATAAATCAATTAAGCTCGAAAGTGCTGAAAATAGATGTGAACGTTAAAATCGTTTCGATGCTAATTACCTCTCCTGGAGTACCAATAGGTCCTTGAGGTCCTTGAGGTCCCACTGGACCAGGTATACTTTCACCGCCTCCTGATCCCTCACACTAGATTTCAAAAGGTACTTTTAAATGATGTAATTATTAATTTAAGGCATTTTCATTTACCGCGCAAGATGAGCTTTCTCCTTTCTCTCCTTTTTCGCCTCTCACACCAGTCTTTCCAATCAAACCAGGTGGACCCATGGGTCCAAGATTGCCCATTGGACCCTTAAGGCCCTAAATTTTTAATGAATAGAAATTTGAACAAAAATATCTCTTAAAAAAGTAATAGATCGAACAGAAGAATACCTGTGCACCTCTTTGTCCCGGTTGACCAGGTGGTCCAACACTTCCTCTTGGTCCAGTATTACCTTTTTCTCCATTTACCCCAGGTAGTCCAGTGGCACCTGGAGCTCCAGCTACGCCCTAAAGAAAAATAAAATTTTGAGCAATATTTTATCGTGCATATACTATGATATTTATTTTGAAGGTTTTGAAACTCACTGGTGGTCCTCTTTTACCCTCATTACCTTTTTCTCCTTTCGGACCTCTTTCACCCTATGTAGAAATATTTATGTGAAAGTTAAACTATTTCAAGAATGTATAAAAAATTTTTTACAGCTGGTCCCATATTTCCAAGTGGCCCTCTTGGTCCAGGTTGACCCTATTTCAAAGTATAATTTAATTTATAAATATAATCAAGATAAGATATAGACTTACAGGTAAGCCATCTCGACCGCTAATACCAGGGGGACCTGTTTCTCCCCGATTTCCAATTGGTCCCTGTTTTCCGGGTGGACCTTCAATACCTGGCAACCCTCTAGGCCCCTTTATAGAAGAGTTTTAATTAAACTATGTTATCAATAAATATAAGTGATAATACCGGATGCCCCAATTTGAATGCTTGATCGCTTCCTCTTCCAGGTGGTCCCATGGGGCCCTAAGTTTTGTTATACAGTTAAACAATTGTTATCCTGTTGATATAATGGTACAAACTCTCTCTCCTCTCTGTCCTTTTACGCCAGGTGATCCATCTTTACCCGATCGACCCTAAGTAATATTATTGCGTATTATTAAGTAAAGGTTATTAATATTCTTAATATACGCACAGTAGGTCCCATTATGCCTGGAGGGCCTACAGCACCAGGGTAACCCCTTACACCTCGTTCTCCTTTTTGCCCTGAATCTCCAGTTTTACCAGGTTGCCCTGGTTCACCCTAAAAGAAAAGAATTCAAAGCTACATCATTTAAACTGATTTTAGACGTACATTGAGACCATTGGTTCCTGATTTACCATCCTTTCCAGCTATCCCTTTTTCACCCTAAAGGCAAAGCATGTATTGAAAAGTAAATTCGTGCTCTTGAACAAGTTTAATGAATTTTACTTTAGCTCCAGGTGTGCCTGGCTTTCCGGGGAGACCTTTGTCGCCTTTATCCCCCTATTTAAGTGCAAAAATTTATATCAACATTATACTTTAAATGACACTTAGGTAACAAACCTGTAATCCTGGTAATCCCGGAGGTCCAGGGATAAGTTTTCCCTTTGAAAAAATCTCAAATAAAAATTTTCAAAGACTTTGTTTAAGGAGAAACTCACCGAGTTTCCGGGGTTACTTTCAACTATCTTTCCAGGTGGTCCCTTTGAAATTGTTGGGTTAACGAATGGTTATAAAAATAAACGTCATCTATTTTACCGGTGGTCCTTGAGGTCCAACTGGTCCTCTTTCTCCTGTATCTCCCGTTTCTCCCTAATTTCAGTTTTTGTCTTGTAATTACGAAAGTTATATTTTAGAAGAAAAACCTTTGGTCCGATTCTTCCTGTGTCACCAGGTCGACCTCTTTCTCCCTATTTCGTAAAATATTTCGTTCCAACTTGTAATAACACAGCCACTAATTAATGTAATTATACTACTTTAACTCCTCTTAGTCCCTGAGGCCCTACTGGACCTATTCCACCTCTACCACCAATTGGCCCCGGATTTCCTCTTTCTCCTGGTTCACCTGGCAGGCCAGGTTCTCCCCTTCTTCCCGGTTGCTGAATTTTTTAAAACGGTCTTAACGCATATTTATCTTTATTTTTTTTACAAACTTACAGCAGTACCCGGTATGCCTGGTTCACCCTTTGCACCAGGTAAACCTCTATCACCATCCAAGCCTCTTTCTCCCTTAATACCTAATTTTCCTGGAGGACCCTGTGGTCCTCGCGATCCCTTTAACATAATTATAGCATGTTACATTTTATTTGACAGTATAGTAATTAAACCAATTTGTTACCTCAGGTCCTGTTGGGCCTTGGGGACCAGGTGGTCCTTGAATTCCTTGAATTCCCTAAAATGTACCGTATCAGATATTATTCAATAGACCCTTATTTACTTAAGACTACGCACCGGTACGCCCGGAGGGCCACGAAGACCAATTTGGCCAGGTGCACCTCGTCTCCCTTGCTCTCCCGGATCGCCTTTTGAACCTTGAAAACCCTGTATACCCCTTATACCAGGTGGACCAATTTCCCCATCAATACCTCTTGGTCCTCTATCACCCCTTTCGCCTTTTTTCCCGGGTGGGCAGGTGTAACATTTTGGGCGAGGCTATAAATGTGTCGTAAATAAAAGCTTAAAACCTAAACAGCGCTAACAAAAATACCGGAAGCTCATCGCAAGATTCCCTCCTCGGTCTTAAAGGGTCACAATGCATTAGAAGAAGTTGTAGATCAATCTAAATTTAACAAGATGAGATGAGATAAGATAAGATAAGATAAAACCATAATCTCTAAAACGTAATTGAAAGGGATAATTAGATAAGCACCTTTGCACCATTACCATCTTGATCGACGGCAACTTCAATACTACCATCTCTACTAATGATAGTAGAGGAAGAAATTTCGGAGCTGTCAACTACTTCGCAGTCGATGTATAAGGTTGCATTTCGATCATTCACTTCAACTTGAATTTTGTGCCATAATTCATCGAAAAACTTAAATGTTTAGGTGTATTAAGTAAAAAGGTTAAAGGTTAATAGAGAATTTTTCCCATACCATTTCAACCCGATCGGTTTCAAAAATATAAACTCTAGGCGAATTTCTCTCACCTAATAGAGTAAGGACAATACGCTTTGTCACCCCGTCTAATCGTAGAGAAAATTGAGGATTTCCTGCTTTGTCAACTATTCTAACGAGATGCCAATTCTTTTTTTCTGTTGAATTAATCATGCGAAACGTTGCAGCTAAACTAAACTTGCCGGGTAAACCGAGCGGGAACATATTCCTATAAAGAGATATTCCATGTATATAATAATCTACAAGTATCTAAAAGAAAACAACGAAAAAGAGACGCAAGTTTCTTTTCAATTTTCGTACCTTGTCGGAATTGATAAACGCTTCTCATTACCAGATAATTGTAGCCTATAAGCTGTTTGAAACTCAGCAGAACCTTTAACTTGATTTACTCCTCTTCGTCGTTTGGTATCGAGTTGAAAGCTCGAAATGAAATCGAAAGCTAATCAAATGATATAAAAAACATATAATTTACAATATAAATATATAAAAGTGAAATTAATTCTATGTTTTTCTTTACAAGGTAAATCATCGGAACCAAAATTTCTTCCTGGACAAATTTCCTCGTCATTCAACTCTATTTAAAGGAGAAAATTATGATAAAGAACTTTTTAATATTTAATCACAGATAAGAAATAGTAATGTACGTTAGTTTTGTTAATAATAGTGATAAATCGTCAAATAATATACATACGACAATTACAGTTTCTTATATCAATAAAAAAATAAATGAAGGTAAAAAATAAAAATCTCAACATTGTTGATAACGTCAGGTTTAGCTGACGAGAAATGGTCTAAATTTTTTATTTCTTCGATTGGCAGATGTTTGCTCCGCCTAGGTTATTCGTTTTCCTAAACAGAAACTTCTGATAAATATATATTTATCAAATTTACAAACCAACCCAAAATATAGTTCTTCATCTTTTTTTTTCTAACCTCTAACCAATTGTTTTCAATTTCGTTTGCTTAAAAAACTTTTTAAGTATATGCAAATGATATTCATGAATAATTTATAGGTATTTTATATATTAAAAAAAATAATGGACTAAGATAAGGTCAGTTGTTTTTTTTTATAAAAAAAATGAATGACTTTCAATCTTGTACATAAAAAAATTGACTGCAATATAATTAATGGTTTTTTTTTTAAAAAAAAAAATAAGAGACACACGGCAGAAATTTTATATAAAGGAAAAAGAAAGAAGAGTTTCATTCTTCTTTAAATCGTATAAAATATAATGAATGTTTTATAAAAAATTACCTCCCATAACATAAATATCTCTGTTCAACCGAATGTTTGCTTTTGTTTACTCCTTCAACACGTTACAACCACATGTTGTCAACTTAGACAAACTGCGCGCAATAGGTTTTTAAAAGTGAGAGTCTTATCAAGATAAGACCATTTTTAAATACCATGAATAGTTATGAATGTAAGGAAATTATTAGTTGAGGTGACAATTAATTTAATTGGGATAAATATTATAATTAAAATTGTATGTTTTTGAATAGAAAGTGCATATTTTGAAAGTATTATTCATCTTCAAGGGAGATTCTATACTTGATGAAATTTGTTAACGATATGGTGATAAGATCAACAGTAACTTCAGTTAAAAATGTGTGGAACGCGACAAATTAAAAGTACATGCTTTGTCCAGACGCATGTCAAAAAAGGGCGTTCAAAGGTCACGAGACGGTCAACAATTGCCCAAATATCGGCTGCTTAAAGTGGACATCAGACTTTCAGGTATCAAGTTACCAATGTATCTAAGCTAGTATACCATTAGTTGCGAATGTTTGGTAAAGTAAAATGGGAATTACCTGCTACTATTCTGTATTAGAAATTTTAGAAAGGAGACGGAAAGTAATTGTATAATATTGCGTATTAATGCAAACACCTCTCACGTACTTTATTCAAGTTATCTGCCACATGCAATAATAAGATTTGCGCCTTTATAAACAGCAACTGCCTCCTTAAGAAAATAAATTGTGCATTATAAATACAGCTTACCTTTAACGGAGGCTTTAATACTTGAGAGGAAGTATTATTATATAAAATAAAGTGGAATAATAGAACAAATTTTATTCTCAAGGGAACCATATAAGCATGCTTGCAATAAATACAAATAAATAACTTGTTATATGATTAAAATAAATCAAACAACAAAATAATAACAAAAATATTTTTTGTTACAATTAACGGTTGAAATCTTTATCTCTATTTAGTATTTCCTATAGACTTCATTGTCTCCTTACACCAAGTAATGGCCGTGTTGAAATACTCGTAGACGTTTGATCCAAAATTAACAAAATAACCGTCCATAAGTAGATCAGCTCTAATTAAAAAAAAATATTATTACAAATAACGTCCATATAAATTTTACTAATGAAATTTTAATAGTAATTACTCCAAGATGTTGTGTTGAATCCAAGTTCCCAATTTGAAAATGTATGGCTTGCAAACGTTCCAAACAATAGTTCCGTAGTGAATTACATAATCAATTACCAATTGTGAGTAATAAAAGACAAACTCTTTAACTATTGGAATATACTTATCAATCTGAAAGCATTCAAGTACGATAAACATTAGTCAATTTTTCAAAAGATTTCTAAATAATTTTATGCAACAACTTACTGTGATAAACGCTTTTTCAATTTTCTGAAGTGCGATTATTCTATAGGGTTCAGATATTTTGGCAAGAGTTAAACTTGTCTCGTAAACCCATTTCCAGAACTGAGTAAGATATGGAGAAAGGACCTTTGACACAGCAGCATAGTAATATGGAACATTATCCTGACACCATCTGCAAAAGAAAATTATATATTCATATAAAAAAAAGTCAATCTTTTACAAACCGTTGGACAAGCTCGAAAGCAATTAACGATTTAGCATACACAAATTTTGATGCTGAAACTGCTCCAATATCATTCAACGTTCGAAAAGTTTTTGATTCTAAATGAATAGATGTAGAAAGTATAACTATATATTTCAAAGATTTATTCTTTTATCAATTCTTACCATAGAATCCATTGTGAACGTAGCTGTCATAAATCACAATGCCAGCAAACACAATAATAGCGTAGAAGAGAAACTTCCCTACGAATGAACCCTGACTATTTCTAAATTTTCTGTTGGCCTCCAATTGTTGGTAGTAGTCTTTTTTTCCTAGTAAATGCTTTAGTTTTCCTGATTCATCTTTTTGTAATAGGGTATGATTCTGCTTCTCAAAGTTTTTCAATGTATTTCCAAGTTTTTTCTTGTTAATGGATTCCCAGAATTTTTCCTCCTTTGAGTTCAAAATAGAACTGAGGAGAATTCTATAAGAAAATATTATTAAAATTATTAAGTATTCTTATTAACGATGGCATACTCTGAAGATTGTAAATTATTAGCGTAAATGTTCTCCCAAACTCCAAAACAAATATCATTTTCCAAGCAACATTTCAAGATAAATAGAATCTATTGGATTAAAATTCTCAATGAAAATCTGAATTTAATAAATAAAATAAAATATTTTACATAAGCCTCTGTTGTTGATGTACAATTTTTAGTTAGTTTACAGAGAATTGATTCAAAGACTACTTGAACAACTTCCAACTTGGCATTTTCTAAACACTTTAAAACTAATTTTTCAAAAGAAGTATACATTTTCTTCTTCTTGTCACCTGGTAACTTCAAATCGAAAGATAAAACCTCATATAATTTCGGAATTTCAAGACCGGAAAGTGATTTGCAACTATTGATGTGTTTACTGGAAAATTAAAATTAATCACAGTAACTTTTCTTACTTTAAAATAAAAAAATCTTTATTAAACGTACGATATTAATTTTTCTAGATAAGCAATGCAAAAGCCTGTTAGACCTTTTACGTTGAGTAGAGGTACCATAATAACATGCCAGACTATATGAAAATAAGGAAAAACGTTATTTAATATCTTGATACTACTGATAAATTAATATTATATTTTACCCCTTAAACCATTCTCGAAGCTTTTGATTCCTACTTGACCAAAAGAATATAAAACATGTAAAGATCTATTGATTTTACTCTTCATAGTAGGAATTTTCGAAGCCCATTGGATGATAAATGTCATAACAGATACTGGTCTTTCCAAAACGATTAATTGAAAAACCATTTTATGTCCGTGCACAGGTGTTTTAGCTAATTGAAGGAATGTAAAAGAAATGATTATTAAAAAAAGAAGTACAAGTAAAAAGAAAGATAAATTAAATAATACCTTTATCATTCATAAGTTGTTCGCAAAGAAAACTTAAAACATCAAAAATTTCTTCCTCATCAAGAGTTCGTATTAAATTATCGAATAATTTACGAAGGCCTGATCCAAGAAGATTAAGAGGATATTCTAGAAATAATTAAAAAGATGTTAGATTGGTATTGCTATAATTTCCAAAGTACCTTCGAGAAGTTCATCATCATCTTCAGATATAATAGCTTCAGGAACATTTTCCAAGCGAACATTCAGCATCGCAGCAAGATTTTTTAGCCAGATATCTTTATTACTGGAAAAGTTCTTCTTATCTTGATTTAGCATACGATTAAATTCATCAGTCTCCAGCTAAGGATCAAATGGCTATAATAAATAAAAATCTAAGTTTTTAGGATAGAGTTTAAACCTCATTTATTGCTGTTTTTAGATTGGTACTTTTCTTGACTGGAGGAGTTGGTTTTGGGGATTTCGGTTTTGAGTTTTTCGATTCCTTTTCAGGTGATGATTTTTGTGGTTTTGGATTACCATTTTGTTTTTTGAAAGCATCAAAGCTTGTTTCTGATTCTCTTAGCGGAGCTAAAGAATAAAAATAGGTTAGGAACGTTGTAAATAGAAAATAACTAATAATAAACAAGAAATATTGCTTTTGGTTGTGAAATTCTAGTGTATTCAATATACAGGCTTATCAAATATTACACGTGTAAAATTTGAAATTCTATTTAAAAAATACATATGAAAAACACTTACGAGCCTGTTCTAATTTCGGCATACGATCCTTAATCAACTGCTTTTCAATTTTAGTAATCTTTTTCTGATTTTTTAAACCATTTCGACCAGGTTTAACAACAGTTGTCCAAGATGTGTCGGCAGAAGACATGTTTTCATGAAAAGAACCGGAAACGGAAATGCGATTCTAGTATATAACCTGGTTTTAAGATGAATACGTCTAATTCTATTTTGCATCACTATGTATACTTTTTAATTTTATCTTTCTTAGAAATCTATTAATAATAATTAATAATTATCAATTCCATATTTTAATGGTATTTATACTGTAAAAATTTCAACTTATACTTTACTCACGATATTAAGACAATAAAAGAATTCAAAAAAAATGTTTCTAGTAGTATTGTTCTGAAATTTTAAGAAATTGTCAACTACTTCAATGTCTTTCTCTCTCTCTCTCTCTCTCAATCTTTCGTACTATTTATATTTTCATTAGTGGAAAATTGAACGATTCTTTTCTACAGCAAAAGATTAACGAAATCTAGGCACTCTCATTCCACTCGGGGGTATAGAGATTAATGTACTTATTTTATTTTCTATTTGTTTTGTGACCCTATATAGAAATTGACTTGCTGAGTAACTACATCCCTCTTTAGATGAGATAAAACTTTTTGGACTATGATACCGCAAGGCATATCCTACGAAAATGGAATTGGGTTTTATAATATACAATTTATATCCTACTTTATCCGATGCTTTTTGCGTAATAGACCTGTAAAATCGTTAGGAAAGTACGTCCACCTGATAACCTGAAAGCTCCATTTAATTAATTTAAAATTGTCCTATCTATTAAAAAAAGTGAAGGGTCAAGGACCAGCACAAGTTGTTCAAAACATATTTAAGGTCTCAAAAACACTTTATTATCGATATATAAATTGTATTAGATAAAAAGAAAATTTTTTGGAAAGAAGACAGGTTAGAAGTTAAACATCTAAGTAGATAGCTGAGGAGAAATTTAATAATAACCAAGTAGGAAGGTTAGTCCTTAATAGTACTTTATAAGTCAATTATGTAAGAACAGTCATTAATCAAAAAAAGAAAAGCTTAAAGATGATTGAAATAACCACAACTAGTATGATCAATTTCAAGAAAAGTGAGTTAGAGGATTCGGTGTGACACTTTCTAGTCTTTGTAGCTTGTTTCACTCTATCCATTTGTGTGAGGATCGCATTTCGAGCTCCTTTCCATTTTCCTGGCCCGAATAGTCGAAATTGGTAAGGTGAACATGGACCAAAAAATACGTTCATTGCCAGATAAGGGTCAGTGAGGAATAGAGATTCTGGAGGAATAAAAGGGAAATTATACTTTGAATGAAGAGAAGTTTGATTAATTTAATTAACATACTTAAATTTGGTTTACATCCAAATTGCTCTGCCACTTCATCCATAAATGGTATCCAATCAACTTGGATAGTATGCCTTTGACTATTAAAATATCTTTTAGCCATAGCTGCTTGCTTTTCACGAATATTTTCCCACATTGCCGCTTTGGACGGAAGTTTTGTGGATCCATTAAATACTCTTGCTGCCCATCTGGTTTGTAATTCTGCTATTGGATTAATTGCTCCCAAAGGTTGAATGCATCCAATTACAGCTATAGTTGGATGACTCAAGTCAGGTGGAAATGCGTACTTAAACAGGTTGACTTTATTATTTTCGACGTTAATAACACCGTTTTCGAGGAAAGGAAAGCCAAAAGTGTAACCTATAAGAATAGCAAATTTAGATAACGATACTTGTAGTTAATTGTATAAGTAGACTGTTGAATTATTTAGCCTAGAAAAACGGTAATACCTGTAGCCATAATAATGACATCAGCTTCAACAACAGTTCCATCTTCAAATTTTAAACCATTTTCTTGTATTTCCTCTATATCTGGTTTAATTATAACCGAGCCGCAAATCAATCTATTAGCCAAATCATCGTTAACCATGGGATGCTGCTGAAATAATCTGTGTTTTGGTCTCAGTCCATAAGCTTCATGATTGAGTCGTTTTTCGACTATGTTTTCCGCTATACTATAATTTAAAACAAATATTAATAGACTATCTAAAGATCCAAGAGATGCTTACTTGTTCATCATAGACGCTGGAGCATATTTTTGTATTTGTGCAAATACTCTTCTTGTTACTTCGATATCGCCTGGTATACCATTTGTTCCAACACGATTTAAAACCCAAGTACCTCTTCTAGTACTTAAATAGACCTGTTTAGATATTCTACCAAGTTCTACAGCAATATCACCTCCAGAATTTCCAATTCCAACAATGACTACTTTCGAATCTTCGTAGCCTCTAGGGTGTTTGTATTGATGTGAGTGCAGGATTTTACCTTTAAACTTTTCTTGACCTTTAAACTTCGGAGAGAAACGCTTTGCATGATGTCCAGTACATAGTAATACAGCATCAAATATAAGTTCTGTTTCCGAATCAGCTTGCAAATTTTTAACTTTAACGTTCCATTTTCCATCTTTTTCGAAACTTTTCGATTTTTTTACACTTAGAATTTCATGATGAAATTTAATATGCTTTTTCAAATCAAAATGATTGGCGTACATATGAAAATACTCCATTAATTTTGTATTGTGCATGTAGTTAGGAAAATCTCCAGGAATAGGATAATCGCTGTAACACATCATTTCCTTACTTGTATTGATAACTGTTGACTTCATAACGCAACCCTGGCCATCTTCTACTTCTTTCTCTGAGTAATTCCATAATCCACCGATCGAATTTGTTCTTTCAAAACACACTGGTTCTAAATCTTCTTCCAAACACGCTTTAATACCAGTTAGACCAGCCGCTCCTGCTCCAATAATACAAACTCTCTTCGAAGGCATATTTCAAGTAATTGGAAAACTCTAGAATTGGAGATTTGTATTTATAATGAGAATATGTTATTCTACTTAAGCATATTTCAATCTTATCTGTACTGTTACAATAGGTCGAGACATTTATAGATTATAACCTGATAAGTTATTAGTTTTTAGTACCTCAGTCTCACGTACAACTCATAGTCCTTCTGGTTTTTGTTTTTGCCAATAAAATCTTAATCTTTATTAGCATATTCCCTTTTAAATTAAAATTGGAGGAGAAAGTCATTTCCCTTCTATTTTCTACAAATTTTTATTTTAGAATTCTTTCATTGGCGCTTCCATGGCTTTTTTTTAATTATAAGATATGTTATGAATAATACACAGGTACTGAGATAAATGAAAGTTCAAAGCAACAGATAGCTTGGATTCTATTTTATATGAAAAATACTATATACATATATATATATTTAGGTCGATCTGAAAATAGCCTAACACTTTAAAATGATACAAGATTGTGAGTGTAAACTTTGCCAGTTGTAAGTAGTATTCATTTATTATATCTTGTCAAAATTTCCTATCAATGTAATAAACAAGTGCCTAGTTATTTAGCTCTAAAACAATTTCATCCGTAAGAATAAAAGAGATAAATTAAAGGTAAATATAGGATATATGCAGAAGAGGCTGAAGTCACACTTTAGCTGAAAGACACCACAAATTGGATGGCTTGTATAAGTCCTGATTTTTAACTTTATTTGACTGTTTTTCCTTAAAGGATTGAACGTAGATGTGCATAGAATATATTCTAAAGATGATATAAACGAAATAAGATTATAAAGTACATTTTTGTTGGTTAAACACATCCAAACTTTTTTCTCAAGGTGTTTTTCTTACAATGCAGGTGGCGCAATTATATAGAAAATGGTGGAAATTGTATTTAAATAGCTATTCATATAGTATGAAACTTTGATAATCTAATGTAATGATGTATTTTTTTTAGCAATATAAACAAGATAGCAACTATTATTAAACAAAATATAAAATCAGATGAGTGAAGGCTACTTTTAGATCAAATCAATTATATCTTTCACTATATTTTGGAAAATTGCAAAACTAATAAATGGTATTATAATTAAACACAGTAAAACTTTGTTGAAATCTCTTCTTTTTTAGACGCTATCCAATTTTTGTGTATATTGATAAGTCATAAATTAATTGGTACACTAATTATAATGAATAGTATTATTTTTATGTTTATAAGTTGTTACTTTTAAGCGAATGATGAAAAATAATGAATATAATACCGATATTTATGTTGAATTGGTTTTGTTATTTATAGAATGAGTTTCTCCGGCAAAATATTCCAAACAAGGTCATCGGTAACAGTTTTCAACGACATAAGTGTTTTTTGACATAAACTCTACAAGAGAATACAAAACCAACTATTCCATTAAAACTGGTTAATCTAATCATTAAACAGCTCTCTAATTATATTTCTACTATTGTCCATACGATATGTGAAGTATAAACTTTAAATTAATAGTTATAGGAGCCATCTTGTCTACTGTTTAACTACTCTTAATAAGTAAATTACACCTTACTTAGGTAAATTTAGTAAAAATAAGTTAAAGAGTACATGATTTTTTAGGCCTATATTTGTTACAGATTTTATAAATACTGTTTATAAAAATGTTCAAAACAATAGGAATCTATATTGAAATCTATAACGTTTCGAAATTTCGGAATGATAAGATATAATTGTAGTAAAAAGTAGAAATAATATGAATCATTTACTCTAACGTGATTGGCTTATTTAGTATAAGATTTTGTCTATAAATGTAATTTGAGAGTCGCTTTTCGTCAAAAGAATTTACGAAGACTGCGTTTCTGAAGCAAGAGCTACAGAGAGAATTGAATCAGCAGCAGTAGAAGATGTCGAAAGTGTGTATCATTGGTGGAGGTGTATCTGGTCTACCGACTATAAAATCGTGTCTAGAAGAGAATTTGGAGCCAACGTGCTTTGAAAAGCATAATGATATCGGAGGAATTTGGGCTTACACTACTGATACAAATAGATTTTGCGCATCAGAATCAACAATATTAAATCTATCTAAAGAGATGAACGCCTATTCTGATTTTCGTCCGAAAGCTGAGTATCCACCCTTTTTAACAAGGGAACACTACCATAGATATTTAAAGGCATATGCTAAAAACTTTAAATTAATGAAATATATTAAACTTGAACACGAAATTTTAAAAGTTGAAAGAAATGGTAGAACAAAATGGTTTGTTACAGTTAAAGATCTAACAAGTGGTAATATTTCAAAATTGGATTTTGATTTTGTCATTATATGCACTGGAAGAAATTCTTCTCCAAATATCGTCAACTTAAAAGGTTCGGACGATTTTCAAGGTAGAATTATACATTCTTATCAATATAAGAATTGGAAAAAATACGAAGATAAGAGAGTTGTCGTTGTTGGAAGTTTAAATACTGGTCTAGATATTGCTTGCGAACTGAGTAGAGTGTGTAATCAAGTAAGCATCTTATATAACTTTTAAAAAACTGGCACTTCTCCTTATAATAATATCTTATGTCAACTTTGAAGGTTTTTTTGGTAAGTCGGAAAGGTCAATGGATCTTACCAAGATTATTGGAAGGGAAACCAACCTATGCATCAGTTTCATCGCGATTCAAAGGGTTTCTACTTGGCACATTACCATTGTCTGTAATAAATTTTATCAGAAAAATTAAACACAACTCTTATTTCGATCATGAACTTCTTGGTTTAAAACCAGAATTTGAACCTTCTGATAAAACTGGAACGGGTCTAAACTGTGAAATAGCAGCAAGGTAATTGATCTATTTTCTACTTTTAATCTAGCAAATTGAAGAATGAAAGATATTTTCGATACTTTAGACTTATTTGCGGTAGAGTAATGCTTAAACCAAAAATTGAGCGTCTACATCAAAGAAGCGTTGAATATGAAGATGGTACCGTATCCGATACTATAGACGAAATAATACTATGCACAGGTTTTATTACACCTTTCCGTTCTTCATTTAAAATCATTAAAACTAATTATAGGACATTCTCTCTTATATTTAGGTTACAACAATCAATGCCCTATTTTAAATACAATCTCTGATATTGAAGGGAAAATAAATAATGAAACAACTGATTTATATCGTCTTATGTTTCCCATTACCGATTATGAGCCTACCATTGCAGTTGTCGGTCTATTCGGTGTGCCTGGTGGAGTTGCGGGCGTTTCGGAAATGCAATCTAGATGGATTTGTAATGTATTTAAGGTTTATATATTATTTTATTATAGTAAAGTTCTTTGATAGGACTAATACGTCTTATTAAATAGAAAACGATTACTTTACCTAATAAATCGTATATGAAGAAGAAAGTCAAAGAATTTCAAAGTGCGATGAAGAAACGATACAAACATGGAGCTGAACCATTTAACTATATATCATACATTCCAACAATGAACACCTTGGCATCGGAAATAGGATGCAAACCAAATTTCTGTTTGTATATTCAAAATATTAACTTATGTCTCACCTTTAAATAAAGTAATCTCTCTCTTTTTTCTTTCCTTTACCCATCTAGGGAAATTATTTCTAACTAAACCGAAATTGGCATTTAAACTATATTTTGGACCAATGGCCCCTTACCAATATAGATTATTTGGACCAAATAAATGGGAAGGTGCGGAAAAGGCTTCAACGAATATTATTCTCGATACGTTTTCATCGATAATGAAGGAGAAAAAGAAAACAAAGACAACTAGCTCAATTCCAAAGTTATTTATTTTAGTAGGTCCGTTCATTGCAATTATTAGTTCTTTAGTTTTAATGCAGCTTAAAAATGAAAGTTTCATCTAATGATAAATTGATGCTTATATACAGTATATATATATATATATATATAAATCAAATAATATGGCACTATTATGACAAATTTACTGTTTAATCATCATCTATATTTCCATAATGAATTTAATAAATATCAGATTTTTTATGATTAATTAATAAACAGCAGATGGCGTAATAGATTGAATCAATAGGATTTTTTTGCACATATGAATGTTTACTTGGCCCAATATTCCTATTACAAATGCTGTTCAGACAGCAACAGTACTTATCCAGATGCTAGTAAATATGAATTCAATTGTGAACCTTTTCCACTCAATTAAATCCAACTCACCGCAAAAAGCTATACAAAGTTGGATAAGGGCGCATCCATGGTTCACTGCGGCTGGTTTAATATCAGGATGGTGGATTTTTAAGATAGTGAAAAGGCCAAGGAATTTACCACCTGGTCCAATAAGTATACCTTGGCTAGGTGGTTCGTGGAAGTTATTGCTTAATGATCCTTGCAATAGTATAGAGGATTTGGAACAAGTATATGGGAATATAAGCTCCCTATATATTGGTGATCAGTTAGCAGAAATTAATGTTTTTTTAGTGTTAAGAAAATACACGGGTGTATTATTTATTCGAAAGGTTGCACATCTTCATTTCAAGTTACGACCTAATCGAGAAGACTTTTGTAAAGAGAGAGGACGATTTCAACGCAAGACAAACAAAGGATCTCTTATCGAATTTTCTAGAGATGGAAGATCGTTAATATAAATTTAAATAAAGAATTGTATTCCAATTTATTTTTATTCAATTTTTTCTTTTATATTTAGTGATCCTTTCCCAAACTAACAATGAAGAATTCAAAAGGAACAAAAGTTTGGTTTGTGCCATGATAAATTCAACTGACAAATTTTTCGATCGGTCCCACATTCGGGAAACCGTAGAGGATATGCTTATAAATATATATGAAATGAACGAAACTGCTTTCTGTCCACTAAATCTTCTTAGGAAGGTTTGCGGGGTCTCGATTATGTCGATTATTATGTCGAAAGAATACGGTTTAGATGATGATGAATTGGGAAATTTAATTAGGCTTATTGGTGTATGGTACGATAGTTTAGGAACTTGGAATTTTCTCTATTACCTTTTACCTTTTCCTTCTCTTTTTCTAAAGTTTTTCGCCAAGGATACTTTGGAGGCCAGTAGACAAGTTAAAGAATTCGTTAGGGAGAGTATCAAAGAACACGAGCTATGTTTGGATACGGAAAACCCTAGGGATTTTATTGATTATATGTTAAGCGAATACAAGGGAAAAGTAGACCTAAATCGTATCATAGATACGATGTATGTAACATTTCCTGACGCTATACATACAATTTCGTTTCTCGTATATTTAAGCCTATGCTATCTCGGTTACCATCAGAGAGTACAAGAGAATGCTCAACAGCTTCTCGATTTAGTAACAAAAGGAACCGGACCAAGTCTAAATGATAGAGAAAAATTAGCATACATAGAAGCAATCATATTGGAAACGTTACGAATAAGTAATATGGTACCTATGCTTACCGGTCACTTTCCGACTAAGGATAGTACTCTAAATGGTTATAAAATACCAAAATCTTCGACGATTGTGGGTCTTTTAAATAGTACACATTTTAATGAAGAATTCTTTGCGGAGCCTAAGAAATTCAAACCCGAGAGGTTTCTAGATGATGAAGGAAATCTATTAGTGAACAAAAAACTACTAAGCTTCGGAATCGGTAAAAGTTAACAGTCAATTCTTATCTGATGTCAGGTTATTTACATTTACACTTAATATTTCAGGTCAAAGGATGTGTATAGGAAAAGAAATATCAATAAAAGAATCATTTTTATTAACATCGAATATCCTTAAACACTTTCAAGTCTCCATTAAACAAGATTTATCGTTGGACGATGACGAGTTTGAAAGAATAATCATGTCTCCTATTTCAACGAAAACTGAGGTTATTTTTAAACCTAGGAGGACACATTAAATATCGAAAGAAATCGCTTCTATTATAAATCATGCCTCAACTACGTATACTTGAGTAAATTTAGAGAGTTTTCAGATATCCTTGATTTGCCTTAAATCAACTAAAATCTATCGATTTTCAGTTGACTTTACAAGCACTTTAATACACTTTATGATTGATAAAGTTATCATTTTTCTTTAACGCTCCTTCTCAATTTTCTTCCGTCTCCCCTTTTCCATTCGTTTGTTATATAATAACTAAATTGGGTCAGCAATAGTTCGATAAATTTATTTGAACGGATAAAAATAATAATCAGCGCTAGAAGTAGAGAAGAAAATTTGCTCTTCTTCATAAGGAATTGTTAAAGACAACAAGAAATTTATGCAAATCTCCTAAATGAAATTAATAAAGGAACGATCAAATCTTGATACATATATATCACTTCATTTTTCTACTTATGTCATCTTTATTTGACTTTTTGCCCTATTCATCGTTCCGGGAAAGGGAAAGACAAAAGCGGAAAGAGGCGAAGGGTATCAGAAGTTTATCAACCTCAAAATCCGTTTCGACGGCTTCCTTTCGGTCGCAAATATCATCCTCAAACTTTTAAGGATTTCATTCGTTGACCTATAATCATAGAATCTTTTTTTTCCGTTTTTTTATAACGGTTTTGAAGAATTGATATCTTTTTTATTTAATCTCTTCATACAGCAATGCTCTTTTGGATGATCTTTCCTCTTTAGGTCAAGATAAGTTTGACAGTTAAATCTTGTAGTCCGTTCTAGAGATACATTACTTATCTCGTTTTATACGGCCAACCGGAAGATGGCGGCGTTATTTGTTAAATTGCGCGCTTAAAATAAACGCCACCTGTCAATGTAACCTTTAACCATATCACACAGTTTGCCAAACAACGCCCGAAGCGACCATCGTAAACCTTCTAAACGACAGAAATGTTTAGAAAGATGTAACGAGATATAAATAAAGGAAGAAAATACTTGATTTAAATATAAATAAATAGAAAATTAAATAAAACTACTGTTGAAAGAAAAATTATGAAAAAGAGGCGAGGATGTTGCGCCTTACTCCATCTCCGAGAAGATAACGCCCGTTTCATTCTCTTATTTATTCTCATGATTTTCTATACGCTCTGTGGAGCAGGATTGTTTATGTTACTCGAACGCGATAACGAGATTAAAGAAGGGAATAAATATTATCGAAGGTATGAAAAGTTTCTAGAGGATAATCATGAAGTTAATAAGACGGAGTTGGATATTTTACTTCGGTTGCACGCTGAAGCGGATAGGACCGGGGTTTTGAATGATAAGCGGCCTAGATGGGATTTTGCGGGTGCTTTCTATTTTGTCGGAACAGTTGTTTCAACAATAGGTTTGTATGTGGTCTATAAAACTACTTAAAATGTACCTTTCTTGTTGTTTTCTTTAAAGCTTTTCCTCCTAATTATTTAAGTGTTGAAGAGCATTAGAGTGCTCTCTAATTCTTAGGCTGGTTTATCCTCTCTTATCTTTTCATTACTTCATTTGAATATATCAGTGTGCGTAGAAAAAAGTTGTTACAAAATTCTTCATACTCGCTCTCTCTCTCTCTCTCTCACTGTAATTCGTTTTCCTACAAGTACATATGTATATCTCTAGCAGATTTAAAGCTCATAGAAACGTACTCTGAGTAAGGAATAATGTTTTTTTTTTACTTAGTAGAATAATCTATCGATTCCCTGGACAACAAAACAAAAGCGAGATTCACTTGAAGCTATCATTTAGCTTGTTTTGTTTTGAGTTTTCTAGGCGTTGGCAACGAGGATATCCTCCTTATCATAGAGAAAAAACTCATAATTATTGAAATTTTGGCAACCTTAAATGCAGTTTAATGGCAATGTACCGAAATAGCTTAAATGCCCACTATTTTTTTTTATTCTTATATAAACCTCGCCCAAAATAATATTTATATATTTCATAGTAATTGATCTATACAGTCTATTCGGATTAAATTACTCGTGATTATAAGAAGAAGGAAAAAATTTGCTTGTATTTGCTCATTAATAGAGAAAAATAGACGAATTACGTTGATATTTAAAAATATATTGATACTAAAGTTTTTTTATTTGATAGAAAATCTCTGTTAGAGAAGGATGTTTATTATAATATATACAGTATGCATATATATACTGTATATAGACTGTATAAACTGTATACATAAGTGTTAAGTTTAGAAACATACTTAGGTAACTGTACAGAGAGCGAGAGAGAGAGAGAGAGAGAGCCAGTCTTTCTCTGACCTCCCTGCGTTATTTTAATTACTAGCTAGCTACACCTATAAAGGAATTAAGGGAATTTGTAATTGTTCGACGTTTACTACGGAGAAGAAAATTAATACGTTCCAATTCTAATTGGCCATGGATAAACTTGACTGCAAAATTGGATGCTAGCATTAGAGCCCTTCTTAATTTAAAAAGTGTAGATTATATACGGATTTTATACATCTTATACTTTATTATAAGATAGAAAAAGAATATTATATACTGTATTGCACTTATAACTTATACATTGCATTTAGAGTTTATAGATAATGTTGTCTATAAGTAGTACAATGTCTAAAGTATTGTGTGTTGTACTAGAATTTTATTTATATACTCATACAAACCCTATATTTAAGAGAAACCAAACATATGACCGAAAGCGAATATGCCAATCATATAGACGTGATTAAACAAAAGCTTTGCCACCGGTGATGTTTTCGGCAAAATTGCCCTGTTTGAAAATTGGAGAGTTGAAATAGGACAAAGGGGCAGTATTCGTTTGAAAAGAGGTTTAGACCAGCAATATAAATAACGGAATGTGAAAAGGGAGACAGAAAGGCAGACAGGCAAGGAGAGAGAGAGAGACACACACACACACAGACAGACGGACAGACAGAGAGAAAAAGTGGGAGGAGACAGATAGAAAGGGGAAAGGAAGTGAAAAGATTAAGATAGAAAAAGAGTCGAGTTAAAGTGAGAGAATGAAGATCAATTGACTCTTTTTTTTCCGATTTGCGATATTTTTTAGTTAAAATTAGCCTAATTTGAATGAATTTCTTTCTTAGAATTAGCAATTTGTATTGTACAGCTTCTCTTTTTGTCCATCTCACACAGTCGATAGTTGCGAGGTTTTACGAAAGAAACTATGATGGACTTATAAATTCTGTCTTGTGTAAACTTGCAATTACCTTATTAATAATAGGTGATTCATCACTTGATTAATAATGTAACAACGTATGTACTGTTATGTATTCTCTGCTGGCTCTTTTCTATTTTACGGTTCTTGCTTTCATCCATCTATCTTACGAAATTTCTCCTTTACTTCAAATCCTTTTTCTATTTACTATAAAAGCACAAGAATTTATTGTTATTATATGTGTTTTTCAGTAAATTATAACTCTACACTTAATTGCGTTAATTCGTTGTAAACCGCCTTCTTAGAGGTTGAACAAATATTTTGGATTGACAGCACAAAAGGCAAAATTAACAAAAATCTATAGTCGGAATTTTCAATATAGCGACAGTCTGCTCTATCTTCTCTGTTATATTCATCTTATTCGCTGTTATTTTCCCTCCTTTCCTTTTCTTCGCTCAGAATAGAATTTTATTTGTTCTAGGCAATAAAAAAATAAATGAAATGAAAAACTAGAAAAAAGGAGAAAATTATTCCTTTTTTTGCGGTTTTGCAGTTGATCAATTACGTAATTTAGAATATTAAAGCATGACAAAAATTCGATTGTAAATATAAAATATATAAAGGCCAGCTGGTGACTTTTTCTTATCTAGGAAAGATATCTTACTGTTGTCACATTAACATCTGTTACTATTTAAGACTATCAATAATTGTTTGACTACATGTAAAATAAAGCCTAACAATTTTGATTTTATTAATGCAGGCTTTGGCATGACGACCCCTAGAACGACACCTGGGAAAGTTCTCCTCATTTTTTACGGAATTATTGGCTGCTCAGGAGCTATTTTATTCTTTAATCTGTTCCTTGAACGAATTATCACATTTTTAGCTTATATCCTCCGAGCCATCCATGATATGGAATTACGAAGAAAGGGTCTTTGGTCTGAAAGACGAAGAGGTTCTCAAGTTTCCGACGATGATTCGCTAGATTCTTGGAAACCGTCTGTGTATTGGGTTCAACTGATTTTGTTACTATCTGCCTGTACAGTAGCTTGTTGTGCTTCGGCCATGTATTATCCCGTTGAAGAATGGAGCTACTTTGAATCAATTTACTTTTGTTTTGTCGCTTTTGCTACAATTGGTTTCGGCGACTATGTCGTCTCGCAAAAAGCAACTTATCAGCGCGTCCATTTGTACAGATTTGGTAATTTCGTATTTCTAGTAATTGGATGTTGCTGTGTTTATTCTCTAGTCAACGTGACGTCAATAGTGATAAAGCAAGTGCTCAACTGGATTATCAAAAGGCTCGACTGTGCCGATTGTACGTGCTGGTTAAAGCGGCAGAATAAAGCCAGGGGTAGGAGGAACGCCATAACGCCAGGCGCCGCTAAAAACAGGCATAGAGACTTGGAAGTAGATTCAAATTATGATTCCGAGCTTGGATCCAGAAGGGGAAGCAATGAAATGATATCAATGAAAGATTTCTTGCAAGCCAACAAAATATCATTAGCCATGATGCAGAAGCAGTTAGCAGAAACTGCAAATCGACACCATCACAGGGAATCCAACGGTTTACAGGGAGGTGTTGGTCCACTGGCTATTCTCAATAAGAAACTAGGTCAAGAGGACGCTTAGAATAAGTTCTCTACGTAATTATTTAATTTTCTTTCATATGACTACTTGTACCTGTAGACGGTTTATAGACATTATACAACATGAATGTGTAAGTACAGAAAGAATTGTAACATCTAATTATTATCGTACTACAGTTAAAAAAAAAGAGAAAAACAAGAAAAAAAAAAAAACCACCCTGCATAAATATGCTGTTTAAGCAGTATTACACACTGTTCACAGTACATACTTTATTAGTATTATATTAATTTATTCAGTCATTTTCTTTTAATTACCATCAACTTCTTTTTTATATATGTTTTTTATACATTCTTTCTTCAAAAGAAAAGACATACAGATGAAATATTTATAAAAAACCCTAAAAAGAAAGCAAATCTAAACGAGTTAGATTTTACCTATGTATTAGAAGATGACAAACTAATCATAAATGAAAAAAACCTTCTATTCTTTTCTTAGCTTTTACTTTTTTTTGCCAATATTTATTATCAATTAGTAAGCTACCAGCTAAACTTTAAGGATTACTCCTATAATATAATCAAGATATATTTCCTATTTGTTTAACAAATTCATCCGTTATCCAATAGTCATCTAATTATAGCCATATTTATTATTTCAGTATTAAATATTTATAATAACTACCAATAACAGTATAATTGGTTTCTTTTACAACCCTTCTCCTTATAATTTATGCGTTATATTTCTATTAATAATTAATTAATATATTGAATATTCATAGATGCTTTGGTTTATATTTGGGTATTTTTTCTCATTAGGGAAGGGGAAACCTATCTTTTTCATCCTATATATATAATTTTTAACCTCAAAGTCCTATTTTTGCAGATATGCTATAAAACATACAAAGAACTGTATTAATATGTTTGTATTGTTTAGGAAAACAATTATTTTTATGGTTACAGATATGATTTTGTTAATATTTTTAAATAAAATACTGAAAATTAGAAAGATTTTCAAATTTGAGGTGAAAGAAAGGGTGAGAGGCAGGAGTGTAGAAAGGAAAATCAGAAAGGGGGAAGGGAAGGGAGGGGGAGAGTGGAAGAAACGACAGAAAATGAAGAGAAGTGAGATTTTGATGTTTCTTTTCGTCGAAATATCAATTTGTTCTCTTATGGACAAATATGAAAAATACGCTTTCAATTGATAGAGGTGTCTATTTTTTTGCGAGAATATTTTTTCATTAGGAATCAGAAGATAAGATTATGAAAAAGGCTATCTTTCTTTTTCTGTTATATTATTTTTTACCAATTAAGCATTTTTGTTACAAAAAAACCACATTACTATATCCTCAGGGTATCTTTGTACCTGTATCACCTATATTGACTATATTACTAGGTGTACTTTTACTCATAAATCGATTAATACAAGGATGAAGTTTTCGACTCATAAGAAAAATGTTCTCATCTCACTATATACAGTATTATAATAATTATTATTATTCGTATTCACGATTATAGCTTCTGTTCGATCTCAGATACGAAATCTGTTAAAGTAATTTCGAAGCGTCAAACGTCAGGATTTCTAATCAGTTGAGAGTGAGAGGAAGTTAGAAAGGGGAAAGGAATTGGCAAAAGGGCATGGAATTGAGAATGGGAAAGGACGAAACAGGAATAAAAAAAGCTGATTAAGAAAGTGAAATTGTTAAATTTTGTTTACTTTTTCAATTTTTGATGAATTTGAGATAAATCTAAAAAAATTAGGCCCATTTCGTATCTTGGAAATTGAGGTCGAGACTTTTTCTATTCTGGCTTGTTTGTCTTCTTCTTATTAATGACTATCGCCCGCGCGACAGGCGAATCTGTTGACCTACTTTAACCCCTGCATTTTTTCTGTTAAGAAGTAGAAAGATAAATAGAAAGAAGAAAAGAAAGAAAAAGAAAGAGGAGAGTATAATATCTACTTGCCCTTTTTAGTCTTTTTCGATTAACACACAAACACTTTATCGATAGCAATTTATTTTAATGAATACCTTGTCTTTTAGACAATTTGAAAATTATGTCAACTTTAGGAGTAAAAAGAGGAGGGTAATAAAAAAATATTTCTATTTATATTCACGCAATAAACTCCAAAGAAATTTAAATAAGGAGCTAGCTTTTGCATTCACATCTAAATTTACAATCTGTCAAAATCAATAAAAGTTCACTGTTTTGAAAACTTTCCTCTCTATATTTCATATTTATCTTGTCAATATCTTTTATATATATAAAAGAAATATATATTTTTCATCTTTCTTTCCTGTTGTTGTTGTTGCTGCTGCTACTGCTCCTCCTCCTCCTCCTCCAGATCTCTCCTGCCTGATTATTGTAACATCTTATTCTTTCATCTTTTATAAAAAAACCAAACCTTCTTCGTTGCTTCTTTCCATCTCTATCTACTCTTCTCTGATATATCTATAAATATTAGTTGATATGCTTTTATATTTAGAATAATTATAAATGATAAAAGGAAAGAAAAGTTAATTAATCTATCATCTGCAACGTTGAATACTTTACATAATCAAAGTACTATTACAGAGTGTTGCAAATCGTTTATACTCTATGAGGTTGTCTTAGTAGCATCACGAAAAGAGAGAATGTTCAGTTCAAGTATATAATATTAACTTTCTGCAGACTCATCACCAGTGATTTTCCTGAGAAATTTTACAGTTGTATACTTTATATAGGTAAATATTATTTCATAGACAAAATATAATACAGACACAGACAGCAAAAGTGTTCTCAGGCATTCTGACCTTCACGCGATATATGTAATCTTCTAAGCTTGACAAAATTTGCTCATTTACCCAATTTTGTTGCATATTTGTCCATTAAGCAATTGCCATTCTGTAATCTTAACAACAAAAACTTGATATAGTTTTGTTTCGTATTGCAGCGCTTATAGAAAGATCTCATTTACTGACTTTGAAGATAGATCCACTTGATAATTAGTAAGAGAATGAACAAGTATGTTTGGTTTTTGAACAAGGCGTTGAAGTGGCACTCGACCGTTTTATTCCTAGGTCCGACCTCTAATAAATTCTCTGCTAGCGTTTCTTTTAAACTCTCGTTCGTTCGCTCACTCTCTCACTCTCTCTCTCTCTTTCTCTCTCTCTCTCTCTCTCTCTCTCTATATATATATATATATATATATTCATCTATCAGCCTCCTTTTTACCTTTCTTTCTACATCCATATTTAGATATAAATATATTGAATATACATAAAGTTAATTTCATATTTATTTTGCATCCTTTTGTGTTACATTAGATGGTAGAAACGGTTAATGACTAGACATTTTTTTCATTATAGGCCAAATCGTATCAATTACACAAACGTTTTACGCCGGATATCGTTAATTGAGAGTCAACAAAACTTTTCAATGTACTTGTTAGCCAACAGTTGGCTATTCCACGAAAAACAATACTCTTCTTAAGTAGATTTCTTAATGTTAGAAAAAAACAACAACTTTATTAATTTATTTCTCATTTTACTACGCAGTCGCTTTCTTCTTGGAAACGCTAAACGATTAACGGGACGCTACTGATAGAGAGATCTAGAATGAGTGAGAGACGGCGTTGCTCTAATTTATCCTCTCTATCAACTGTAAATGTGAAAATGGCTCCAATTCTTCGCGGGAAATTGAACCCAATAAATGAGGTCATATTGATATCTGTTAGCTTGACATTCAAGCAAAACAGCAGAGGTGGAAAACACTGTAAACACAAACATCTCAACCTGTTAGTCAAACTCTCGATAATATATAACATTTAATCGGATAAATACACCTCCCGCAAAGCTCGTCAGAAAGAGAAGGGGAGAAGAGAAAGAAACATAAAAAATGGTTAAACGATGGAATAAAAAGACGAAATAAGACAAAGGCCTAAAATTGGGAATTTTCCATTCTCTTTTGTTTGTAAATAGAAGAATATTGATAAAAAAGTGCCCAAGAATGAAATAGATGGAAAATTTAAGATCAATTGATCTATTCATTTTAACTATCTTTGTCCTCTTTTAATAGCGAAATCAAGTAGTTTTAGAAGTGGAGCGGAAATAATTTCTAATCGGTTATCAATTAAACGTTGGTGTTTTCATTGTCAGCTCGATTGAATCATAATCATTATAATAATCTAAAGTACTTAACAAATTATCTTAAACATTCTGCTTTTATTATTCTTATTATTATAATTTTTATGATAAACAAATAATAAATGTAATATGAAATCATAAAAAGCAAAATGAAAGACTATTATTGCACTTTCTTCTTCTGCTTGCCCTTCCTCTTGGTATTTTCCTTTTCCCTTCTTCCGTTAGTTTTGTTGTTATTTTTTAAATTAAATAAATATTTTAAAAGATTTTTAGAGTGAAGAAAAAAAAAATCACTAATAGTAAGTAAAGTATTACTAATCAAAGGTCTAAATAGGTTAATACGGTTGCAAACACTGTGAAAATTGTACCGTTCAATGATGTATTGTGTTTGGCTTGTATTAGCAAAGAGTGTTTATTTATTTTTCTTAGTTATTTCCATCCAATCGATATAAATCAATAATCAAATTCAACGTTATTTGATGGTGATTTAAGGACAAAATATAACGACGCATTATCATTACCTGTCACATAAAAAAAATCGTTTCTCTACATTTCCACTTTTCCTGACTCCCCACCCCCTCCCCCACCTCTCTTCCTCCCTATTCTAAACCGTCTCTAACAGCGTCTTTTTTCTACTATTTTGACAAATAAATAAACAAGAGACTAAAAAAGTTTCTTTTAAAATTTTCCAATTTCCGATTCTAAACGAGTTTTCATTCGATTAACTTCCTTGGTAAACCAAGTTTGATAGCTAAAAATGAACAAAAAACATACAGCATCACTTTTTTCCTGCAGCATACCCAACATTTTGCAGTTTAGCCACAAAATAAAAAAACACTGCAAACAATTTCCGCCTTTCGCGCTACGCTCCGATTCTTTCGTAATATATATTTTTTCAGCTGCAAAGCACTATTGCTATACAAGAAGAGTCGGCGACTGTAAAATTTCTGCAAGCACAGCAATTTGTTATAGTTCACAAAAAAAACACACGCACACCAGCAAACATACACACATATATACATTTAGATAGATCTTGCATAAAGATACTCTGGTATGCGTATACAGTATATGCCTTGCTTATTTATATATGCATAGAAATGCCCTTAAATACAAATATTACATATGTGCTCATAGATTGCAATAGTTATATAATCTTTATAAAATATGAATTTACTATAAATAGATCAATATAAATGTATTCTCTATGTATAAGCGGTATATTTTCTATTACATAAACAGAGTATTGTGTTGGTATGTATCAGATCATGATGATATAACTATATATTATGAATACAAACTATACATATTGTATATACATTTAGGTGTTTGTATACTACATACACACATCTCTAAAAGCATGCATTACTTAAGTAACCTTGCGCTCATAGACACATAGGCATATACACAGGCAGACATTTATATATAAACATATACATTCACATACACGTAGATATGGTAGATGTTTCATATAGACGCCCATAGATATACACATGCATGCACGCATACACACACGCATACACACACGCACACACACACACACACTTATATACAGTATATTTATATACAGTATATATATACATATCTATGTATATTACATGTATATACTGTATAAACGTCTAATTACTCGCTTCACATTCATATATAACTCGTATATACTGTATATATATTGTATGTATAGTATTTATACTAATGTATAGATATACATTTGTATATGCATACATAGATACGTACAGTATATACATATATATATATATATATATATATATATATATATATATATATGTACATACATACACACACCCTTTTTTTCAATTACTTTATTTCATTCTGTTTCGTCCTTTTTATATTTTTTACAAGTCAGTCTAATTAAATGGAATACGATAATGGCATCGTTTTTTTCGTAACGAGGTCGTGATTGATTGGTGCCGTCTAGACGAAAACAGACGCCTGAACTGGATCACGTGATGCTCGCAATCAAGAAGCGTCACTGGACAAAGTTGCAGAGCTAGGCAAACTGCTTGTTTTCCTCGACAATTATATAAAAAATAAATGGCAAGGACTAAATTGAGTAATATCTTAGAGAAGATAGGAGAGGAGAGAGGGAGTGAAAGAGGGAGAGAAAAAGAGAGAGAAAGAGAGAGAGAGAGAGGTAAATAGTAGTTAAATAGAATTTTGCGAAAAAAAATTGAAGGAGAGGAAAGAAAGGAAAACTAAACGGAAAAATTCATTATGATTAATTCCAAGTTTAATTGGAATTAATTATAAGACTTTACTGATGAGTAACACGCATCAGATTTTAGGGGTTTAAAACTTACTGGTAGAAGAGAGTGGAGGAAGATAGGATTTACAAGGATTTTGATCAAAGAGAGAAACAGTAGTAGAGTATGCTGGCATATACGATTGGCAAATGTCGAATTATAGTAAATTGAGATGAAGAGAAGCGATCGAGTCAACTTTTTCCGTCAATTGGGTCGCTAATCAATGACTGACTTTAGACCGTTTATTTTTTTTTCGGACAGTCTATAGCTTTGTCGTCTCTTTTATCTTTTCATTTCTTTTCATAAAAAGTAATTAAAGTAAACTTTTTTTCCCTAAACTTATTAAAAATGTATGAAACTTTCTTAGTTAGACAGAGGCTAATCTAGCAAAATTGGTAAATTGAACAAATAACTAACTCTACCCATTTAAAAGTGAGTTTCTTTTTATTCTATGCTCTAATCGCCAACTATAGAATCATATAGTAATCATGGCTTATCTCAAGTAATTAGGTCAGCTCCATTAACGTTTTCTATTATTCATTGACTTATACCGATGTATATATTGAAGGGTCTAATCCATTTGATGTCACTTTAACATTTTATCATGTACAAATCTTGTCTAGACCAATTGCCTGTTTGCTTTACAATATTATATTCTACCAATTTGAAAGTTATGTTAATTTATACATTTTTTCTTCAATTTCTCTTTTGATTTAGCGTCTCTTAACGGAATATTTGAAGCGTTTTTCCATCTCTTCTGTATTTTCTCTCATTAAAACATCTAATAAAACCGTGTTAGAAGCATCACTTTATCGTCTATACTTATGTACGCATGAATGAGTATTTATACGCAAATATCCCAAAGGCTTATTTTCCTAATTGATATTCAAGAAGATGCATACGTATTAAATTATATTAATTATATTAAAGCGTCTATTAAGGTATTACAAGTATTAACAAAGTGTTTTGTTTTCATGCAATAGCTATTTTTTCCCCTTTAATCGATGCATTCCGTTGTTCTTTTATCTCTTTTCTCCTCCTCTCTCTTACAGTCATTCTCCGCCTCTTCTCCTAGCTTTTCAAGTCTCCATATCTATCTCTCTTTTTCTCTATCCATCCTTAATTCGGATTTTTAGCTGACGAATAGTTTCGTTTCGTTCTAGTTTGCTTTCTTTAATTTTATGCGCATGCGTAGTTTATTAATATTAAAAGCGTTTGACTTTTACCATATCCTTCATCTATGAAAATAATCTATGTTATAATCTTGAAATTAAATTTATTCAATTTTGTTTACCGGCTATGAAAAAGGTCAGGAGCAGTGCCAATCTACGTATACACTTCCTTTTCCTGTTGTGATTAACAAAGGTCATTAACCTCTGAAAAGTTTTTTCTCTTTAACTTTTCCTCTGTATTGTTGTTGGTTTAGATGAGAGAATTTGATTAGAAGGCCTATATATATATATATATATATATATATATATATATATATATACAGTATATATATGTATATAAGCGTGTAAGGTAAGGTAACTAAAAGTATCGAAAAGTGAAAGTCAACGCATTTTCTCACGAAAACGAAAAGAAAAATATATTAATCGAAAACATAAGATTTTCCTCACCTAAAGCCTTGGTGCATCAGCCGATCCGTTTTACGCCTATATTTTTCTTTTTTGATGCTCTTCTAAGAGAACTTGGAGCGTCCCAAAGGTGTCTTTAGGATTTTTGTTCGACTTTAATTGATGGCCGAGTGTTAACGTTCGATAAGTATTTTATTTTCGGCTACTCTATTTTTAACAACAAAATTTAAAGCAAACTTACGGATATACGGTCCAAAGCATTCAAATCGAAAGCACGGATTTAGAGAAAGTCCTTAATGCCATCTACCGGGTTGAATAATTCTTAACCTTTTTCCATTAGTTAGACGAACATTCTTTATCGACATGTCCCTTAGAGATTGCTTTCTAAAAATCCTTTCGATGAGTCCATTTGTGTTGTTTGCAAGAAAATGCTTCTATGACTTTATCCAGAATACTCCTATATCCCTTTTTTATATTTATCCTCCAAAGAAAAATGGAAAATCCCAAAAAACTATATTTTAATAATTATTTATAATTTTCTTTAAATTCTCATATTTATTCTATACAATCACGTTTTTTATCTTTACTGATTTTATCATATGATCGGTGTCGGGGTCGAAAATCTCTATCATTAATTTCGGCTAAACGAAATGCCATCTATCGGATAAAACTGTTGTTAAAATAGTTTTTCTCTTTCAATTGTTTTCATAATGATCATTGTAGGTTGTTAAGAAAAACCAATATAGAAATAGATTTACTTAAATGTATTTGAATATACGGTTAACTCAAGATAAACATATAGGCACACTGTTTATTAGTATATATACTGTACTGGTAAAATGTTTTATGTACAGATCGTTTATATTCTCATTTTCCATGTATAAGCTGATAGGGATTTTATAGGCCTTGGAAAAATTCTAAGACCTTGGATTTAATGGTTTTAGAGTCTTATTATTAGGATGATTCAGAGAAAACGAAAGAGAGAGAAAGAGAGAGGGAACGAGAGTGAAAAATCCTACAATAGAGAATATTATAAACTGTTTATGTACTTGGACATACAGGCTGTATATATATATATATATATATATATATATATGATGTATATGAACATCTCTAGGAAGCAAGAAAGATCGGAAGGAAAATATAACTGAAAAATAAAAGCAATCAAACTTATGGGCTTAAATTGTCTTGAAAATGAAACCAACTACAATTACTATCAATCAAACTTCCTCATCTTTCTTTTTAATAAATTAACTGGTCTTAATAAGTTAATAAATAATGTATTTATTTAATTATTGTTATTTATACAAGAAAATTAAGCCTTTAAATATAGTTTTCCGTCTAAAAAGAAGAAAAAATAAATAGCATAATTCTAGAAAAAGAGGGAAATAAGAGGTTTTCTTTTTCGTAAATTGAGAAGAAGGAGAAAAAAAAGAAAAAGGGAAGATATATTCATTTCGTAAGATTTATAAAACTTAATAATTTAAATCAGTTTAACCGCGTATTGAAATATTGGCGTCTTTAATAAGAATCCACACATCTTGTTAGGCAGATATTGCAATTCTTCTAATGAATCAAGGCAAGATTTTTTGTTTGAAAGTTAGCTAGAGGATTGGATAAAAAGAAAATTCGCTATCTTTTAAGACTAGACTATAACTAAATGGGATGTGGATAGCAGGGGTTGAGAGTCGACAGCTACATTTACTGACGTAGCAATTAAGGGACGAAAATTATACTCCCTATCTCATCAATTTTAGACTGAGGATAATTGAAAAACATAATATCCAATGGCGAAACTAAGATTAAGCTTCCATCTCAAAGCATGGATTATACATTGAAAAAGTCAGCCCATGAACTATAGGGCCATTGAGTGTAGAAGATGCAAAAAGGAAGCTTAAATAGGAGAAGAGAGATAATTAGTCATTTTTTAAAATGCTTTTTGGAAATAAAGAAGTAGATTTACGGAACATTTAAGGTCAATGCTCTCTCTCAATTAAGGGAAGGAAGAGGATAATAAATAAAAAAGGTAAAAAAGTGAAAAGAGGAATTGGCAAGATAAAGACAAAGATAAAGATAAAGATTTTATGATATAGGCAGGTATTTATAGGTATACAATAAAAAAAAACACTGCTCGAGAAAATATTGCTTAAAATCTTTTTTTACTGTAATTTAGAGAAGGTTAGATCTCTCCTCTTTCCTAATTTCGTTCAATTTTCAGTCTTATTCCTTCCATGAGAGAACAAAAAAGCAAGGTAAAGAGAATGATATGCATTATTTTCATTCGTCAACGTCAATACTATTTAGTATAGGTTTGTGGGATTTTTGCCCTAGTTCCAATCTATAGAAATGCAAACAAATTGATAATACAAAACAGTTCTTTTTTTGTGAAATACTTGTCTAGTCATATCGTTTCCTCCATCACTTCCTTCTTAATTACTATAACAAGCATTTTTTCCGTCTGCGAGCTAATTAGCCTATAAGATGTCACGTTATGCACATTTTATAATGGGAGAGGAAGGCGAAAGAAGGTAAGGAAAGCGAAAGGTGGCAAAGAAACCGAAGAATTTTAGTCGATTCTTATTTTTTTATGCCACTGTAACGGTTTTTATTTATACTTTTTATATTTTTAATTGCATTTATTAAGGTCATATTTTATTTCTGTTTTCTTCTTTCCTCTTTACACGTTTAATAAATTATATTAAGTCTATACGGAAATTTTTAGATTTAAAATTTTTTATCCATAGGCCTAGAAGGTCTTTTAGACTTAATTACCATAAAAAACGCTGTAAATCTTGATGGAAGATTTTTTATTAAAAAAAAAAACCTAATACAATAAAAAAAGAAATATTATATATTGTTTGTTATTACATACTTGCTGTGCTACTTACGACCCATAGAGATTTAGGGCGGGGCTAGACGATAATTAATTATAGGTATAAGAGTGCAAAATGTATATCATGTTTCAATATAGTAGTCTCCTTAATTTTTTTGAAGATGTACAAGTTTCCCTTATTTTATAAATAAAAGTTGATTTTGCCTTATACTTTCTCTAGTTTCCCTATAATATTTATTTATCAACGCTTTGAATAAATATTCAAAGTAGATCATACCTGTAGAAACTTTCACGACGCTTGGCGACGCCACAACGTCATCTGTGGCGTTCTGACGAGAGATGCGCAACGAACTGCATGAAGGATGGGTTCCGCCTCGTCAGCTAATCAAGCTGTTTCTACAAATCCACAACTTCCAACAGGACCTGTAAAATCGGTTGATTCTCGTCTACCTTTCACTCATTACAAACAAGTTTTCACTCTAAAAAACAATTGGAAGGCAGTTTCGAGGAGAATGGACGAAGTTTCCAAGGACTGTTTATCAAGGTATTTATGTTTTATTAATGAAAAAGGCAATTAAAAAAAAGTGATTCCACTAATTAGTCTTCCGTAAAAAGATCTATTCGTTGAGGTGATGAGAATTATTGAAGCATCAGTGCTATGCAGAAATCAATAACACTATCTAATACATGTGTATACAACCAACAGCCTAGGGAAATCAATAAATGAATGTTGAAAAAGAGAGAAAAGACGAAAGAGAGGATAAGCAAGGGAGGGAAAAGAATAGATGGAAAGAAAAGGACAAAAAAATAGAGAGACAGGCTAAAAGAAGACTGAGATAGGGAAATAGAAACACAGAAAAAAAGAAAAAAGGAGAATAGAATACAGTCGGCTAAAGCGGTTAATAAAGGAGAAAGAAAGATAGCCAGAGAGAGAGAGAGAGAGAGAGAGGGAGAAGAAAGAATTAAGAAATTAGCTAAAAGATTTTCTAAAGAGAGAAGAGGCAGATAAAAGAGTAGGAAATTTCTTGTTTTTATGTTTGCAGTGTAGACAATATATACACAGTATTTTCGTTTATAGAGAATTAACTCTATCCAGCAAAATATATATAGCTAGCTTCTAGAAGACAATTATCAGTCTATATATTTAATATTAGACATTAACATACATTCTATATGCATATGCTAATAGTCTCGTACAACAGATTCTGATATATCTCCATTTGATTTACAAATTTACTAAAATAAGGGAATAAGTGATAGCATTAGTTTATGAACCTGATATTTAGCGCTCTATTAAACAAGAAAAGATAACCGACAATTTTCTCTTTATTACTGAACGATCAAAGCTTAAATGTCCATCTTTTCTTCTCTTTCGACTTTCTTAATGATTATCTTGAAAGAAAATTCCTTCAGCATAGTTTTATTTTTCAATATTTAACACTTCGTGGTCTCGAGTCACAGAATTGATTTCGAATATAGTGGATGTATTTTCATCATAATACAGCTTCGAGGCAATTTATGGCCTTGGGCAAGATCAAAAAAGTCGACTGACTAATTCATATTAAAACTGCAATCTTTTTCAGATTCTTTATGGCTCATCCCCATCATCTACAACTACACTCCGAACTGGCCAAAATGGACAAAAGTACATTAGAAAGCAGCATAGAATTTGAGAACTCTGCTCTAAATGTTTTTCAATGCATCGATGAAGTTGTTAAGAAATTGGAAGAGGATGTTGACTCGGCTATAGCGGTATTAGAGAAGACTGGAAAATTTCATAAGGGAATAGATGGCTTCGAAGCTTCATATTTTCAGGTAAGAAAACACAGTTATACCATCTATAAGAAGATCAGTGAAAGTGTAATTTAGCTCAGTCTTAGTCATAAAATATTTAAAATTAGAGCGATGTTTATTAAAAGTAGAGAAAATTAAGAGAAAAACTTAGGAGAGGAGGGGGTGGATATTATTTATAAACGTAATATAAATTATATATCTCTACGACTATATATATATATATATATATATATATTCCATTAATAATGATAAATTTTTTCAGGATATGGAAAATCCGTTTGTGGACTCGATAAAAGATTGTTTGGGAGAGAGATGTACAGAAGCTACTGACGGTTTATTACACAATTTTTATGCGTTTTTAGTTACTTATTTGTCAAAACCCTTCGAAAGGTGACAATTTGGTAGATTTCAATTAAAAACACAATAAAATTTAAATAAATTTTGTACTTATTCAAATATTTCTGTCTTTGATAATTATCTCTAATCGTCCTTAGAAATTATTGATTATATTCAACTTTGAAGCGGTTGTCCTTTTGAAAAGAATACTCTTTGAAGACTTTGTAGCGTATTTGTACCTGTAAAACATATTTTATTCCAATATGCCCCCTATTTGCCAAATAACAGTGATAAATAATAAATCAGAAAGGGATAGAAAGAGTAAGAGAGATCTAGAGTTGCTGTAAGAGCGAGATAGAGAGATATACATTTGTATATATAAATATATAAATATATATATATATATATATATATATAGAGAGAGAGAGAGAGAGAGAGACGGAGAAAGGGGGGAAGAGCGAGTGTCTATTTTCTGAAGCTTTCGGTTTTAACGTATTTGATTTAGTTGAAAGCGTTTCTGTATATGCTACAACATACAAAGAAAAATACAAACAAACATATATTCAGTATATTTATATACAATATACTGTACATATATATATATATAATACATTCAGCACATTTACATGCTGCACAATAAAAACATCATGTAGAGAGGAAGATAGAAGTAAGGAGATTTTGTCACATAACGAAAGAAATTATTGAAGATTCTCAGTTCCTATTCAAAAGCTGAGTATTGGATTAAAAAGTATTTTCTTTATTATTTTCAATGGTTTTTTTTATATTAAGATAGAAAAAGAAAACTATGTTTATCTATTCATTATGCCAATAAAATACGATCTGTATTGGATGTTATTGAAGAACCAGTGTTCCCTGCAACGATTTACGTACGAACAATAAAGAACGATATATTGATCCAATGTACCAATCCGTATGTTGCAAATAAAGATTTTTTTCTTAAACCTATGCTCTTACGTTCATTTACGTTATATTTTTTCATTTCTTTCAGGAATTACATCAGCTTTCATAAACTCACTCAAGTTTTCATTTGTTTGCCCCTTTTACATTCTCTTTCTCTCTATAAATAGCTTAATATCGCAAACTTTGTAATAATATAATACATTCTGAAATCAATCTATTATATTTTTTTCTTTCTCTTTTCTCTTTTTAGAAAGAATAAAAATTATTTTCCTCTTCTCTTCTTCCCTAGTTTCTCATTTTTCTTTCCTAATTCACCTAGTGACTTTGTTTTCTCACTTTCCCATTCACTCGCCCTCTCTTTTTCCTATATGACCTATGACAAATATATTTTATATCTGTGTACGCAAATAGGCTAAGCATTGTTCTATTAAGATAGAAGTTGAATATGTAGATTTTTGGCGATAGCGATAAATATCTTGTCTAAATTTTGTATGATAGAAATCGATGAATACGAACATAGCTAGAACAATAATCAATAAAAATGCTCTTTGCAATTTTTTTTCTTTGTGATAAAAGCAAAAAAGCTAACGGGCAAAGTCAAAGAAAATATTCTAATAAAAAAACGAACGAACGTCTACAAATGTTAACGATACCATCAACATTTTCTTTTTATAAACGCACGTATATGATTGTTGAACACCTTAAAGGGACATTGCCTTCTCTCTATCCATCCTGTCTTTTTCCCTCTCTCTCTCTCTTGTGGGCTTTGAAATTACGCTTTTCTAGTAGGGAAAATTTTCCCCTGACATTAAATAAGAAGTAGAAAGGGGAATAAAGAGAAATAAATATAAAAACAGGAAAAAATTGTATGGAGTGAGATGAGAGAGACGATTGCGGTAAAGGATATAGAATAGTACTGTTGTATGCAAGTAAATTAATAAAATAGTTTTCATCTCGACAGCAACTCGTGTCTAATTTATCTTCAAAAAATACTTATTCCTCTTAACAATCGATTACCTTTTCTTTTTCCTTTAAAATCTTCAGTTTCCACTATCTGTTTTTCTTTTCTCCTCACTCTCTCTCTCTCTCGCTCACTCACTCACTCACTCACTAACATACTCTCTCCCTTGCCGTCCCTTTTTCTCTTTCCTGTCTTTCTCTCTATTTATCTAACCATCTATCTACATTTCTATCAATCAATCAATAAATCCTTCGGAAATACATCCTGTTTATTGACATTTGCCCAGTTCAACAATAACTTAAATTTCTATTAGTATTTTATTTATTTTTGTCATCATTAGTAGTATAAATGAATTGTTTTCCTGTTTTAGTCTAATTTTCATTGAATATTCCATTGTTTATATAATTCTCTTTTTACATTGATAAATCGGAAGTAAGATGAAACTGATAATCGACAAAAGTACGGATATAACGATAGCTGAAAAGTGATAATATGTACTCTGCTCTTTATTCACAGTCGACTTATCAAACAACTCGGGAAAGAAAGCGTTAAAGTAAAAGAATCTTTTGAAAATTTATCCGACATAATGTTCGATTTATCATTTATCTTAAAAAAAAGAAGGGAGGAAAAAAAAAAGAACTATATTTTTTTTTTATTATGAACGCTTTGAAAAAAATTTCCACTTTCTTTTCCACAAAAGTTAAATGCCTTTTATTACCTTTTCTCTTTAATTTGAATCAATTAAATAACAAGGTAGAAATATAAAAATACTAGACATTTAGACCGTTAGATTTATTTTAGTATAACCTATAGCCAATACTACCTTAAAAAGTAAATAGGTACATGTACAACTTGGAAGGCACATCGTTATTGTAATAAGTATTTTTTAAAGAGCAACTTAGTGAGGATTTTTTTTAGGTGACTTTTAGAATTTAACAGGTATTACAGTGACCTTCGATAGCATTTTGCACCATATAATGATTAAAATAACGAAAGTAACCTATTAGACTAAAGGTGGAGGAAGATGATTCTGGTTAAAAGAAGAAAAATTTTCCACAACGCCATCTATATTTTTTTGGAAACGTTATTAATAAGGTGTAATAACAGGATTTCTAGGGTAGTTTAATGGAATATTATTAAATATTTTCACTCTTGGTATACATATATATCTATATATATAGAAACTATAAATACTTAATTGATGAGGTTATACATGTATTATATATATAGTATAAATGGTATTTATGTAGTGCATGTTATACTATATATTTATATATATATACCGTATATTGTGTAATGAAGTAGCCCCTAAATTAAACATTAATTTCTAATAAATATATATTAAATACACAAAAGTGAAAAGATCGATTATTAAAGTCAGTAGGTAAGATAGAGGAAAAAATTAAAAAAAAAACAGGAAAGAAGAGAGATGAAGAGAGGATATATAGGTCCCTTTATAAAGCGACATTTAAAACAAAAAGGTACTACAGAAAAAGATTAGTGAATACGTCTAAAGAATAGAAATGTCAATTAGAGGAAATTAAAGAGAAATGTACTAGATAAGATAAAAAGAAAATAAAATATATTGTAACAATAGGTATTAATGTGAAAAATAAATATCGTACTTAAAATCTACCTTGCGGCTATGATTGTATTACTAAATCTAAGGCGCCAAATTTCTTTTACTAAACTCCATTTATTGGAATTATACTCTAGTTTCCCATTAATTATCTAAAGTTTCAATTCTAATAGAAGACAGTATCGAAATTCCTTTCTCATTAGCCTCATCCTTATTCATTTATTTTTTCATGGTATCCTATTCAGTCGTTTATAAAGATTTTTAGAAAGATATAAAGTTGAGCGAAAATTGAGAGCAGCTATAAAAGTACAAAAGGGCGATCACTAGGCAAAGAAAGCGGTAAAATAGCACAAGACCCTATCGCCAATTCAGTACGCCATTAACGACTCTATTGACTCAGTTGTAAAACAAGACAACCGGCCTTAATTGCCTACATTAATAAATTAGCAGCCGGAAAATTAAAGCGAGTTACAGCAGATATGTAATACGTAGAAGGGAGATAAAAAAAGGAGAAAAAAAGAGAACATAGTTAAATAAATAAGAATATAAGTTTTTGTAAAGAGGAGAGATAACTAAATGAAAAATAGACTATTATCAAAATATTTCATTCTCACTTATTTATTTATAAACTAGCTGTTATAATAAAGTATTTCTTTCCTCCTTTTTTTTTTTTCTCATCACTTCGCTTCCTTCTTCCATCTATCTGTCCGTTAAATCTGATAGATCTTTTAAGATAAAACATTTAAATTCATCACCCTTATTTATCTTTCATTTCTATCTTTCTCTTTAGTATTAAATTACGGATTTTAATTGAACCATTAATATAGCACAATCTAAAGAAATAACATAGGAAAGGGGGCGGAAAGGACCCAGAAATTCGATGCTCTTTCATACTTGAATGATTACTAAATTAGAGTATGACAATCATTAGACAGAGAGCCTGATGTCTATATTAAATTTCTCTTTCCCAAATACCAGTTGATTCTATATAACTAAATTCTGTCTTTTAATAGTCCTTACCATTCTTTTTATACTTGTAACATACATTACAATGCTGTAAAGTTATATAGTAAGAGAAAAAAAAGTTGGAATAAATATCATCATTTTACTTCTTTCTTTGATATATAATTATAATTTATTGATTCTATGAAGTTTTTTATATTGTTAACTCTGCTAGGGCCAAAAAATTATACGTATGTTACATGCTTTTACAAGAGTTTTTTGGTGTTTTTCATTATTCGTACAAGTATATAAAATACGTATGTTTGTATGTAAGTAAGTTTGTAAGTATGCATGTGTTGTTGTTTGTTTGTTTGCAGTTTGTCTGCGTGAATGCATATTAATATAATTTATTTCATTCATTATCTATCATATTTTATGTCTCTATTTATGAATACGTAAAATTCATATATAGGTGTACTTTTGTATAGGTATAGATACAATGTTTGCTCTTTTTTATGTTACATTACGTAATATACGTTTAACTGCAATATGGCACAATAATTTTGCAGCACAACAGCAACGAACAACACTATAAACCGCAAAACTGTCGAAAAAAGAATTTGCACAGTTATCATTTAATAGGTGTTCCCTTATTCGAGCTCGATCCATCTAAATCGTTTCTTCTTTCTTGAGGAGCATCTAAAATCATTGCTCTCCTTGCTGAATAAACTCGATGGTCTTGATCGGAAACGGAATTTGTATTTGATCGTTTACTTAGATCTATGACGCCCTCTGGTGTTTCTCGAACTTCTTCTTCAGGTTCGCAGCATGCGCATCTTATTTTCTCTGATCCTTCCGAAGTTGTTGAAACTGATTTACGCCGCTCTGTATGTTTTTCAATTAGATTTTTGAAGGCTTCCGACGGTATAGGTATAGGTATTGGAACTGGAATCGGGAAGAGAAATGGCATAGGTACAAGTAGTGTACTCGCTGGTATAATAGGAGGTGGGGGAGGAAGTGGAAGTGGAAGAGGTGGAGGTGCTGGTAGAACAGGGAGGGTCCTAATTTCTTGTTTTTGTCCTTCTTTCGGCTTAATAGTCGGAAGTGGTGTATGCATATCTTGATCACGCATCTGAATAGATTTAAAGTTAGCCTTCCTTGTAATGTTTTATAATTATTACTCATTTGTTCAATATTACAGACCTTTAGTCTTCTTATATATTCTCGATCGGTCAGTCTGGCACGTTTCTCGGCTAGAACTTTACTATTCCTTTCTGAACTTGCTTCTCTCTTTCGTGACGAACCTTTTGCATTTGAAGCGGTTCTATTCCATAATTCCGGAGTAATAATAATTCTATCGTCCTTTTGCGGTTCAGCTTTATCCTCTTTGGCCGAATTTAAATGTTCTTCTGTTTCACGACAAAATATGTTCATTTTATATTGATTTAGGCAAGATTCAGAGCAAAATTGCAATTGTCCATCACATAAATCAACTTTGCAATGGGCCGATTTGGCTCTATGGCACCAATCACAACTTTTCGTTCGCCTAACGCGGTCATCATCTGAATTCTTACGTGTTCGACCTGAATAAGAGAAAATTCTCGTTATCGCCTAAAGATTCTGTTTTATTCCTGCCTCTTTTTTAAAGCCCAAACAAGTAAAAACAAGAATGACCTAACTTTTGTTGACAATGTAAGGAAAGAGTTTACTAGGAAAATGATTCTTTAATAGCAAATGAAATTTAGTAGCTAGCTGACTTATCTGAATGGAATAACAGAGCAAATAAGCTATCATACATTAAAATAAGGACGAAGAGAAATGAGATAGTAATGAGACCGAGAGAGAGAGAGAGAGAAAGAGCGATTGCAGGTACAGTATATACTGTATATACATATATATTCGTATATACGTGCCAGGGATTTATTCCAGAAAAAGATGGATAGAAAAAGAGAATAATAGAATTGAGATAGTAGCAAAAGTTGCAAGCATTTTCTTTCTGAAGTAAATTCTTTATACAATATTCAACCGGAAAATAATTTGGAAAGGAGGAAACGGAAATGTTGAAAGGAAAGTAATAAAATAATATAGGTATTAAATGAATTTTTAGTAGATTGGAAGAATCGATTAAATATATATTGCAGCTATTGAACAGTTCATCCCTTTGTTTTGTTAGCATGGTGTCTTCGTAAACTGAAAAAAGTTCACTTTCATGATAAATTAATTTGTCACCTCTGCTCTAGTTTCGGGATTGTGTTCGTACTAGAGAATACTTATATCTTAATTTGTTTTCTTCTAGAATTATTTGAAAGGATTAAAGGATTTAATAAATAAATAGATACACTATCTGAAACAAACTGGGAAAAAAATCAATGAAGACGACGCCCGCTGACGCCGGAGATCGAATTACTCTATTTAGAAAAGCGTCTACGATTTCAAGACCGCTTATTGGAAAAAGTATACGGCTACGCCAACCTCGATATTTTTACCAACAGATCTGGATTTTCGACGCTTTAAAACAAAACTGTTAAGAGACTCAGGGTCAGGTCACGTGATATCGTTATACAATACGATTGGCTAATTAAGCGTCACGTGACGCAAAAACGCACTATTTGAATTGAGGCCTAGAAGGCCCCCGGTGAAAATGGATTTTAGGGATCGGATTTCGGCGCGTTCGAATTCGATTAAATGCATAGGGATTTTTTTCATATATATAAATAATATATTATATACATATATAGTAAATATGTATGTAAATTTCCTTATTCTTTGTCTTAGATTAGTCAAATATGCATTTCTTGACTCATAACTTAACTAATTAACTTATTAATTAATAAATTAAAAATCTTGAATTTAATAAATAATTCTTTCATTTATATTTTCTTAAATTTACTAAAAAGTTTGTAAAGTTTTCAAAAACCTAGGCAGGAAAAGCGAAAAAAGTTCAATAAGTAACTGGTATCAAATTGATACAAACTCGCCAAAACAGCTTCAATTTCAATAAAAAAAAAACTATTAAATATAAGAAACACTTGATGAAATTTATATGTATCCAATGTGCAAATTTAGATGTATAAAGTGAAATTCAAATATACTATATATATATATATATATATTTATATAATGTATATGCAAATTATTTTACAGGCACTTTATACTTTTAAAATTGTAAAGTGAATAATACCATTTGAAAAAAGAAAATATGCATCTTTAATTACAAGAAACTTGTAGAAACGGTTTTTAACCTAGATGAATATTGATCATGATAATTCAAAACGTAAGCTCATCTTCACGACTTCAGACCGTTTGACTTAGCTCTGCAGAAATCGATCACGACTTCTTGTATTTTAATTGAAGATCGTGCAAGGAAAATATCTCTGATTTGGGCATGTTTATTAAGCACGTTAATCGTGTAGCTAGTATTGTTTTTCGTTAAACAATTTGATATAATTCCGGTCAAAAATATCCGCCCCAAAACAAAAAGAAAATAAAGAATGTATATCTAATATCTAGGCTTCTCCTCTTTACTTTTATTCTCTTTCATCTTTAAAGAAATACATAAATATTATCAACAGGAAAAAATAAAAAAAATTGGAAAGACACGTGACTACAATGTAGTCGGCGATGTTTATCTCGCCTCCGGCTCTTTTATACAGTATACTTGATCCCGTGTTGCACATCTATACAGAACTACTGGCTCGAAATATGAACCAAGTTGAAAACATACTATATATAATCCAACTCTTTTATCCCATCTTCTAACCTTAATACAGTATTACCTTAGACTCTTTGAGCTTTATCTTTTTTTCATCATACTTCATTTGATAGAAGATAAATTAATAAGATGAGAAAAGTCTAATAAGAAAATGTGAACAAAATCGTTGGAAGAAAAGGAGAAGGAGAAGTAATAGTAGTAGTTATAGGAGTATTAGTAGAATAGGAATAGGTAGAGGAGGAGGAGGAGGAGGAGGAGGATTTTATAATGTTAAAAATGAGTCCTACTGAGGTTAATCGACAAATTTGACATATATTTTTGTCTGATTCTATCTATCTATATATCTCTTTGAAACAAGACATTGAAAAGTTTCCGTATTAAGTTTCTTCTATAACAAAGAATTAAAGAAACAACGCAATAAGTAAGACGAATATCTTTAATTATAATAAACTTTTTTATGACTGTTATAAGATTCCCAATCAAATTTGAAGTTTTTTTAGAAAATTGAGATTAAAAGCGAAAATAAAAAGAAACAAGTCTCTTTTGCACAGATAAAGATGTCGAAAGGATAAAAGATTCTGCTTTAAATCTTCCCTTATTATACCCTCTCATCAAGTGTTATCTAATTACACAAATGACCTTTAACTCACCTTCGTTCTCTTGCTTATCAGCTGCATCGTAACCGTACCATTTTGCCAGTAATTCGTTCATAGTCGTCTCGGCATAATCCTATTTTTTAAATAAAAAAACGACTATCATTCTAAAAAGGAATTCTCCAGAAACCGAATCCGGCATTGTACAGTGCCTATTAAATACGTAATACGAGCGTAGCGTATCTGTAAATATACGCTTTGTAATCCTAAACGATGGTTTCAAATTTCAATAAAATATATAAAAGCAAGCCGACCAGAGGATATATTTCTCTATTGCGCATGCGTAGACTTATATAAGCCCTGCCTAACTGTAAACTATACACGGTACTGAACGTTATCGCGTTACGTTATCTAGATACGTTAGCACATATGTTCGATTACTTCTTGCTCGTTTCGACTATCGGACGTTTCTTTTTAGCCTTATCAAAAGTTTCTCTTACCAATACCTCTTCTCCTTTACGCCCTTTTACTCCCAAAGCTCCAACCCCCTCCTCATCCTTCAATCATCAACGCCATCTAGATTAGAAGTAAATAGCCTGATAATTCGCGTACTATGCGCTCTATATTTCACGAAACAAGTACTGAACCAAGAAAACAGTTTTAGAAAGATGCGAGTTGTAGTTTGAGAACCAATAAAAAAGAGGTTATAGGCCGAAAAGCAACATCTAACCTCTTCTTTTAAAAACAGCAAAATATTTGCATTTTTAAACATTCTTTGCTTTAAAATGTATGTAAAGCCGAAAAATCTATATTTATTAAGACAAATATTTTAACTATAAACCTTATCTTACAAAGTAAAAAGAAAATGATATTAAATTATCAAAATTCCATTCTTTCGCTTATTTTTCAACTTTTTTAATTGAAGGAGAAAGGGAAGAAAGACGTAACTTCCTAATTATATCCATAAATATATATATCTATGTATATGTGCGTATCTATTTATATTGTTTATTATATGGTAAATGTATATACGGTATACTTATTTAGGGGTAATGAACAGTTTTGTATCCAACTATTAAGAATCTCCTAATGATTGCAGTACACTTTCTTTTCCAGTTTTTTGTGCGTTATTATCATTAGCATATAGTACATATATTTAAATATTATATTTATGCTAATAATACCAATAATAAGCCTAATAGTCTTTCGATAGAAGAGCTACTTATTTATTAAATCATTAAAAATGATAAAATATCTCTTTTATTAAAATGAACAGAGTAAAAAGGGAAAGATCTTGGTAAGAAGACAGGTTTCCATTTTACTCTCTATTATTTAACTATTTAATACTATTTGTTTTCTTTTATATAAGAAATTAAATTAATATCTGCTTCTTTCGGTAAATCAAAACATTCTCTTTTAGGGGGAATATCTTTCAATAGAAATTATTATTAGCGCCATCTGTAATTGAAATAAGCAGCGCTCTTTTTTCGGTTGGGAACGAATACAGGGAAAATGCGCTTGTAATTTGTGAATGAAAATCATCTTAAAAAGCATAACATTTGATTTAAAAAGATAACTTTCACAAACTAGAATCCCTTACTTATTCTTTCAAGTTGTAATATCTCTTCTCTATATATCTTCAATACACGCGGAATTGTTGCATAAAAGCCTATTTTAATTAGTTTTTTACTAGGAAATTTAATAGTGGAAATAGAAAAAGACTGTTCAAATTACCTTGATATCGTCCTGGCCTCCAGATTCTTGCTTAACCTTGAGTTTTTTGGCAGACATCTATTTAGTTTACTTGAAAAGATAAAGTGAAGAGTATACTGTGCCACAAACTCCCTCAGACTGAGCATATTGACTAGCAACCGGAGCTTGCTGCTAACCTGATACGTCGGATCGGGTGTCGACTGCACGAGCGCCGCTCTTCTTTTGTTGCTGCACCTTCTCATCCGATTCAGGCTAGCAGAGTTGGGATTTTTGGTGGGAATCTGTATTTTTTTCATTTTGTTTTTCATTTTTTAACGTCCGTTCTGCAATCTCTTCTTTCCCTTGGTGCCATAAGCCTATCTCTCGTTCAAACCTTTTAAGTAGCTATTTACTTGTTTAACTTTTTTCTCTGCTCTTCTTCTATAGTTTCTTTCGCTCACTCCCTCACTCACTCTCTCTCTCTCTCTCTTTCCCTTCCTCTCTATCTCTCTATCTATCTCTCTCGCTATCCCTCTTCTTACTCACTCTCTCTCTCTCTCTCTCTCTTACTCTCTCAATCTTTCGCTACACATATACAGTGTATATATATATATACATATCAAATATAAATATATAGCATTCTATATATCTAATACATATATATGTCTTATTGTCTTCTTTTGCTCCCACTCATTCTCTATACGTATCTATTTGTTAATTATTTGTTAAGACATTTTTTCGTAAATCTTACTCCTCCCATCTTCTATCTATGTCACGTCTACCCCTTTCTACATAAGTTCGCCTGCCCTTTGTGCTTCTCTCCCATATTTCCTAATCGTGTTACTTCTACTGAATCCTCATCTTTCAATAAAATGTGTTCAAGGTCAGAATACATGGCCAAATAATTTTCTCTCTTTGATAATTGGGCTAAGATTTAAATTGTTGTGCAGAATGCATCTCTATACACAAGCTACCGATATATTATTTCCTTAATTCAAGGGGGATGGTCATTCAACTGAACTGGTAAAGACGGCTGTTCCTCTGGCCTGAATGGTTTAATAAAACATCTGCTTTCTCCGTCCATCCCGCCTTCTGGCGCCATCTATCCAAGGTAAGAAAACCCTTGTTGTTATATTGCCCCTGATCCTTGAGGATACATGGAAAAAAATTATAAAATTGTTAGGCAGATGAATTAGATAGAGATCAAAGATCGTCTTTGAATTCTCCTTTCTTTACAATAGTATAGTTCGATTCTTTTTGGATATCGGATATCGGATTTCTAGCAGTTTATATTGTGTCGACTGGCCTTAATCAGTGATTAATAAAAAAAAGCAGTTGAATAATTCTTGTTATTGTAATAGTTGTAATTTTAGCGGGGTACATCTTACTATTACATTACTTTCACAAATTTTCTTAACCGATAGATGTCAGGATTAACAATTACAAGAGGGCGCAATACAAATAAATATCCCATTCTTGAATATCCTCGTTAGCAACAGAAGATCAATAATCGATGGGGTTTTGGATATATTCTCAGCGATAGGCTTAAAGTCTTCTGTCCAATTGAATTATTTATAGGCTTGAACATGCGATCTCTATTTGTTGATATTTTGTGATCAAGCCTTGAATTTGCGCTGAGTAAAAAGTATTAAACAAGGTCAAGATTTTGCTGTTAGTGAGTAAAGTTGACAGTTTTGCAATGGCCATTTGTTGCAAGTAAGAAAGCTGAAAATTAAAATACTTTACCAAAATTGTGACTGCAATAGGAGAGAAGAGAAGATCCTTAGTAAGAGAGAAAAACTGAAAATCAAATTGGAAAGAGCTGATCACCAAATTTCTTCCCTAAAATAGAAGGATACTTTTAGTTCTAGTCATCTAATGGGACTTGTGAAATGGGTTGTGGTTCATCAATTAGTTATGGTAAAGCCATTTTTTTAATGATAGTATATATATATATATATATATATATATATTAATTATATATTTGTAACTATTTATAAAGATTAATATATTTCAGAACTTTTCAATATATTCCAAATCTTAATCACTGTATCAATCCTTTTATAATGACTTTTTTATGACTTTGTTTTGAAATATCATATCCGTTATCCAGATCCTAATGAAATGTACGGTAAAAAGGAAAGAATACCCTTCGAAAACGTGAAAACTGAGGAAGAGACGGCTAAGGAAAAAAAAGATAATGACCAAAAAAGTAAAAAAGATGAAGAAAACAAAGGGAATAGTTCAAATTTAGAAAAAAATAGAGATAAAAAGTCCATATTGAAAGGTGATTTGTCTCTCAGAAATGAAGCTAAGATAAATCGACGAAAGAGTCGAGATCTTCGGCTTAGGAATTGTGAAAACAGAGCTAAGGTAATATAATTTATGCATAATTTTTATTTATAGATCTTGTATTAACAATTCTTTTTTTAAAATCTATAATTAATATAGATGCTAGTTGATCAATACTACGAAGAGAGCGAACGGTTCTCTGTTTCAAATTCAAGAGCAACATCTCGAGTTGAACGAGTTGAAGATATATCTATTCAATCTAACTCTTAGTATACGTAAACAATAAAATTAATCAGTTTAACTTGTTCATAACATTATTATAAACGTTTATACCGGTTTTATATCTTGTACAGTTGTTTTTATATGTATTTTCTTTCCCAATCATATGATTCTAAATGATGATACATATTTTATATCTGAATTTTCCTTTAATTTATTCAAGATTTCTTTTTTTCGCAAGCTTTCGTTAGAGATTAATAATAACTGATTTGCAGGGTGAATATTCTTATAAGGGCGAGAAGGGATTGAACTAAAGCTATGGTAGAGCTAATAATAAACTTAGTGCGATATAAAAACGTGATTAAGACAAACAAATGTCCTTTTTCTATTTCTAAAAAACATATATCTCTTCTGTCCAGTAAAGTAGTAAATATATAATAATAGAGACAATGATCTCTCATAATAGTTGAAGTCTTCTGGTAATACAATAACCAATTTAAATGACTCAGATACTAATAAAAAGTAAGTAGTTAGTATGTGTGCATAATATCTGTAATTATTTCGTATATTATTTTACTATATAATATAGGCAAAGAATAATTCATTTAAGCCGGATCAGTTCAAGTAAGCATCCTTGTGCTTTAAAGGTTAACAGTATTAAATAACAAAGCTTTTTAACTGGAATAAACGTAATACGGGACTGTTTATATAGCGCTCTTATATTTCGGTATACGATATTAAAAAAATGATAAAAATAAGTTATCTTCCTATAATACAGTTTCTGCAAAGTGCAATGAATCGCTTATATAAAAGTTTAATCAGATATTATAGTTTTTAAATAGTATACAAAAAGAACAAACTCACGACTTCTTGTTCTAACTTCCTTATTTTAAGAAAGAAGTTTTACGATTTTAGTAAATTACAGAAATTTGCTTTAATTCCTTTTGAAATCTTTTAGCAAAGGCTTTTTAAGTTAATAATGTCGCGGTAATCCCTGTAGGTTATTTCCTACTGTTTCTTTAGCTTATACATTTACGAAAGAATTCAGAAATCGAAAAGTAAGAGAGACAGAGAGAGAACACCGGGATTAGAGACTTACTATTAGAGAAAGAGGAAACTACACAGATAGACATACATTGAGAGAAGAAGAGATTTAGTAGGAAAACAAACAAAGGAAAAGAGAACTAAAAGTTTATTTTCTCTGTTCCTTTTTGTGTCTCTGTCATTCTTAGTTTTCTAGTTTTCTTATTTGTACACTCTCTCTTTCTCTCCCTCTCCTTTCTTCACCCTACTTTACATAAACCTTTAATTAAAAAAAAGCGTTTTATTACGAATGAATAGAGAGAATTCTTGCCAAGGTCTTGACTACTATGAGTGCTTTATTTCATGGAAAATGACAAAGAATAGCGTAACATACTGCTATGTTAAATAACGTTTATTTACACAATCGATAATTTAATTTAAGAATGTGTGCCAGAAGGCGTACGGTAACTACTTCATATTTGTTTAAGATATTTTGTAATCAAGTGTATTACATTAACCTCCAAAATATTTTTATTCATTTGTTCAAGTACAGAGGGCGCTTTGTTATTATTAGCCACCACAAAGTAAACTACAATGGAAGTGTTTTATTTTTCTTATAGATAATAGTACAAATATTACTGATAATAATGTTCGTTCGTGGATCATACATATATATATATATACTGTACATATACAATATGTACAGTATATACATAAATTATCGAAATTAACTCTCTCTTCTTCATTATTGGACATTCGATCCTTATTATATATCCTTATATGACTTTTATCTTTTAATTGCATGAATTTGTTTAAAATTGCAATATGATCTATTTATTTATTACACTAATAACATCTAGCATTAGAAAAAGTGAACAGGATAGTGACCTTAATGCTTTAAATATATAGTTTTGACCAAAATTAATATTAGGAAATTGGATACTATTTTTATGAATAAAGTAAATGTATAGGTGTACTCGAGTTGTATTTCAATTATCTTAAATCGCCAGTAAAGTGATCATCTAATTAGGTTATTAGAGCAGACATTATTTTAATCATTTATCACTTATGGAATAGTAAGAAGGGTCGATTATAGATATAATTATGTAAATGAATTAATAGAATGAAATTACTGCGAATTCTGTTTCAAGAGTTTCATTTCAAGGTCAATAAATTTGCTACGGAAAATGTATATAAATGTAAAAAACCCATCTGTGCACAGTACCATTGTCATTTGGCAGCAAAAACTACAACTTTGAAAATGAACAGCAAATCAACTAAAACTCTAATTCTACTTTTTTCACTTTGTTTGGTAAAGTTCTTTCTTTTAGTTTCTGTTGAAATACTTTTTATATTCTTCTTTATTTTTAACAGTTTGGAATGATATCAACAGTTGAAGGAAGCATTCAGGGTGTAACTTGTCATTCGCAACAGGATTGTGCAGCTGATCCAAAAATGGCATGTGTATCCTGCGGTAATTATAATTTTGGTATCTGTTGGAAACTTTCCCAAGCAAATTTCAAAGATGGCTGCGGATTGTATAATAAGTAAATATTAGCAGATAATAAAGAATTGGTATATTTCTTCCGTATTTCAATCTTCTATCAATAATCTTGGTCTGACATAGATCAATTAGAAAAAATATTATCCCTTTTAAAAAGTAATACACATATATGCAAACTGTTGTTGTAATAATTTGAATAAAAAACTCCTATTAGACTTTACATTTGCTACCCTTTTCTTTACAAATCTATTTCAATTAATAATCTCCGGCTAAAGTAGAATTTTCAACAAAAATCTTTTTATAGTTATTTTTAAGTAACTTAATTATTTTTTTCTTTATTTTTTTGTTAGTTTTGTTGATATAAATAGAAAATAATTCTTTATTTTTAAAACTATTAAGCTTTTTGCCATAAAGTTTTTATCCCTCTCTTTTTTTTTTCAAATAGATTACACCGTTAACTTATGTTACAAACATATCTATTTATAATAAAGATAGCATCGGATTCTTTCAATTTTATTTCGCATCACAATTACTTTGCATTTATGATATTATCTTTAAAAAAATGTAATGATTATAGGCTAATAGTTAACTTGTTGTACGCTATCTCTATTATTAGTACAGTATATACTTTTATTATAGTACAAAATAAGAGATAAACTTTGGAGAGGAATGTTAAAAATTCTTCCCTCAAAATTTGTATTAATAAAATAACGATTAACATGAAAAAAGTTGAATATTAGATAAGAAGTGAAAGAGAATAAAAGGAATTAGTTGGGAAAATATTCTTCTTTCATATTCAAAAATTGAATAAAAGGAAATAAGAGCACCAGTTTCCAAAACAGAAAGAGAAAAAAAAACAATTAACAAAATTTTATGAATAGGTTAGCTCGTTAATTGCTAAAATATTCGATTCTTTGGCAAGTTTTTACTCGGCTATTAAACAATATACATATATATATATATATATATATATATATTGTATATACAGTAAATACATAACTAAAAGAACAAATTAATAAATCTCTTCTTTCCACAATTATTTCTTCTAGGAAGGAAAGAAACTTAAGAGAATTAGTCAATCAGAAACAATCAATTAATTCAGTATATTGTCTAATCCAAACCCAATTTTCTGTAGCTGCTATTCGTTGATGACAATACCTTTAAAGATTCGTCAACATGAAATGAGTTTGTATCAGTCATTTTCATAATTGTTTCACGATGATTTAATATATCTTGCTTGAATTTTTCTGTTTCGATAAATAGACATTTAACAATTTGTTGATTGAATGATTAAAATTAACTCTAACCAGTCAAATCCTTGAAAGTTCCATTTGCCTTTGAGGAATCTTCGTCGGGTAGTAATTCTGCAGGAAGTATCTCTCGCGGTACTTCTCGATCGTATAGACTCTCTAGAGTATTGTGGCGAACTATCCTTTTGAAAAATTTTCCGGGATCGAGAGGTTTCAGGATTGATACAAAAGAATCAACTATTAGGTTATAGTTGATAAGATGCACTGCCTTAAATCTCACAGGTACGCATCCCTAAAGAAATGGAATAGGCTTAAAAAACAGACTAGGGGGTGTGGTCATGAGGGCGGGGGGGGGGGGAAGTAGGGTGGGGGTTAAGAAGAAAAAAATAGCAAAATTTTACAGAGAAAGAAAGAAAGAAAAAGAGAGAGATTATAGATTAAATGACTATTTATGTATGTTCTTTCGTCATAGAGGGGCAGAAAGGAATTTCCAGCTTTTCTTAGCATTGCCAAAGCATAGAAATAATATGTATTTCAAGATTATAAATTTTGCAAGTCTCGTAAGTTAATGTAACCAACAATACTATGGAATTTCGTCTTCTTTTAATACTATAGAAAATATTTATATAACACTTTTCTTTTACCTACAAAGGCCAAACAAATTGCGAGAATTGACCTTGACATTTTACAAGCAAAAATGTAACTGTCCTAGATTTCTAATCATTTAAACTACTTCTTTTTATTCCTGTTACTTACCATTATATTTTTACTAATCATTTTTTTTTTATCCATGTCTATAAACATAAATCTTTTCCACGTATAATCTTCTAAATCCATGATAAAGACGGTACCTCTAATTTGTGTTCGCTCCGAACTCATCCAAGTCCATATTCCCGCAATCATTAAGGCTCGTAAAAGATGTGCTGAGGTATAATTTGTTCCTGAAGTATCTAATAGTCCCATCTTTATGTAAAAAACTTGACTCTTATTCTTATCCAATCCTAATGGAACCATGAAGCCAGTATTAAACAAATATTGAACTTGCTCCTCATTAGGGTCTAAATTGGCAAAATAGTCAGGATAATTTTGAAATAAAGATGAGTAGGTCTCAATTTTTTTTCTAGCCTTAATTTGAGAAAATTTGGCTTGCCTTAAGAAAGGTAGAAGGAAATCTGTTCGTAATGGACATTTTATATATTCTGTGTCCTGTATCCAATCACTTAAACATTGAAGAGCTGTCAAACGATCAGATGGTAATTCATTCAATTCGGCTTTAGCTATTTCTTCATCGTCTGCATCCAATGAACAATTATAATCATTGCGAACGAATCGTCTAGGTTTATTTTTCGCCATTCCTGCGAAAGTTCGTTTGAACGGTGGAAACAGGCCTTTATTTATTAATAGCTTTTCAATAGATAGAAAAAAAATGCTATTTTATATATTAAAATAAGTTAATATTATGTAGCATACCTCAAATAACAAAATTTGCAATAAAAAGGATTAAATATCTATTTCAATATATTCAAATAACTTTCAATTTGATTGAAAATATCAAATAGTCTATTATTTGGCCTCTATTTATTGTCTTGAACTTATTGATTGTACACAACACATCGCTGTGCTGACATCTATAGGAGAACAGTAACATTGTTTCTTTGACTATTGACATTTTAATATGAGTAAATGGATTCATATAGATTTTTATTCGTACAAAAGTAGGACATGGTTCCTTTATCGCAAGCTTTTAATTTTATTAGATTTTTTTTAAAAAAAAAAATTAGAAAAAGACTATTAAAGGCGTCTAAACAATAATTTAGTACAACGTAAAGAAATCAACATAAAAGCGAATGGATTAGATATAAGTAGAAAAAAATAGGCTATGTAAATAATAAATTAAAGAAATGTACTGTATTAGGTTAAAGAGTTATTATCTGTTAATCGATGTTGTACTTGTATCACTCGTTAAGGGGTTAAAAATTATCACATATTCTTCACTGTTGATTCAAATATCAAAGGTAGATTATTTCTTTCGATTGATAAAGGAAGAGATAAGAGACAAACTCTTAAAAATCGTGTTCATTTGGACTGAAATATAAGATAAAGACGTCATGAATTCTCCTCTACAATACGTGTTCTTCGTTCTCTTCGCCCTAAATAGTGAATCTTTCGCAAAAATGGTTGAACCCTCGCAAAGTTATTGTTACTCTTCGGATATTAAACCAAACAGAAATTACGCTACGAAAACAACTTACTTCCAATCAATCAACTCCTCAAATAGTATTTTAGAAGAGTCGACCAATGATTCTAATTGTACTGTAAAATTTATCTATTATCTGAGCCGTCATGGTACTAGGCATAATGGAGATAAAGGTATACGAGAATGGCAACAACATTTACCCAAACTCCGAGAACATATTTTAAAATTTCCCAATAAAACCCAACTTTGCCAGAAGGATATTGAAATTATCGCAAATTGGAGTTTGAGAATGAAGCCGGAAGATGATAAAGATTTGGTTGAAACCGGCAAAAGAGAACAAAAGTTTATCGCTCAGGAAATGAGAAAAAGATTCCCGGATTTCTTCGCTCAGAATGATTTATTAGAAGATTACGAATTTCGTCATTCGAAAGAGAAGAGAACCCGTGATTCGGCTCTAGCCTTTCTCGAAGGCTTGTTTGGTACGTCAAATAACGTTCAACTCACCAGATCACCCGAAAAAGATACTCTCTTACATTTCTACAAGCATTGCGATAAATATATTGAAGAAGTTCAAAATAAGCCCCGTATTGAATATGATAAATTCCTAAAGGGACCCGAGATGCAGGCAGTCATAAAAAGAGTGAACGAAAGACTGGCTTTAACAAATCCAATTGAATATAAAACACTTGAAAGTATCTATGATAATTGTGTGTTCGAGTATGGAATTTATAATGATGCTCCGTGGTGCTCAGTTTTCCAACGGGAAGATATAAACATCATAGAATATGCTGAAGATATAAAATATTACTGGGAGGATTCTTATCCTCATAAGGTCACTGTGGAACAAACTTGCAAGCTAGTCTCGGATATTTGGAAACATTTACGAAATGCAAAAGAAAAGAAAGATAAAAGGAAGATTGTTGGAAGATGGGCCCATTCGGCTACTATGAATACACTCTATACAAGATTGGGATTATATAAGGATGAGAAGCAACTACTACATAACAACTACGAGCAGCAAAAGGATAGAAGATGGAGAACAACTTTACACACTCCGATGAGCTCAAGCATCGCTTTCGTTTTATTACAATGCAAAGATGATTTCACGGTTCGAGCTTTTCATATGGAAAAATTGATTAAACTGGACGGAATTTGCGCAGAAAAGAATTGTAAATGGAGTGAAATTGAAGGAAAATTTAAACCTATAGCGGACAATTGCAATTTTGAAGAGATATGTAAAGTATCTAAAGGGGATTCTTCCGCAATAGCGACAAAGCCTTTTATTCAATTAATTACCCTAATGACTTTAATATCAATTTCATTACGAATGTTTTTTTATGTCTAAAAATGATATTAAAACTCCACCTGGTGAGTCCAGAGTTAAGAAAAGCAGATGTCATTTTATTCTTAGAATAGTTAATTCTTTTATCGCATTTAGATAATTAAATAGAAAAGAAAGAGTTAAAAGAGCTAACAACTCAAGCATATTATATATACTAATAAGATTAAATCTTTTGAATTATTCTATAATAAAGAAATATAGGTCGGATTGTGCATCAGAGAAATCGATCGTCTTATTGATTGGTCCAAGTAGAAGCTGTTTTTTTTTGGGAGGAGGCGCAAGGAAGGAGACTAAGTGAGGAGAGAGAGGACGGAAAGCAAAGAGAGACATGAAGATAGAGGGGACAGTGTAAGAGAGAAAGAGAGAGAGAGAGCGAATAGGATAGAGATAGAGAAAAAAAATAAGAGAGAGGGAGTACGAGTGCAGAGGAGGAAGTGGGGAATAGTAAGAGCGGGGCAAAAAAAATTGGTAAAAACTAGAACCGTCTGGAAATTAAAACGGATATTAAGGAAAAAGGTCGGTCGATAACGTATAACCTTATGTTGGGGGTTAGATTGTCAGAAATGTTTCAACGGCTAAAGTATAGGTTGTGGTGAATATTGGATGAATTAATAAATGGAAAGATTATTGTTCGCCCATTATCGGTCTCAACTGACACGTTGTTGACTCTATTGATTTTCTTTGCTGAGCTTTCTGTTTGTAGTCGACGCTCTTTTATACGAGATGATTATATCGTATTGTTGTATTTCGTCAAATTTTGGTGAGAAACCTTCATTGTACATTTTCTTTACTAGCTTTCTTCCGTTTTTTCAATAGGAAATGAATAGTAAAAAAAGTAAAAGAGAAAAAGTGAAAATCTAGCAATTTCTCACCCATTTTCTCTTTTCCTTACTTGCTCTCTTGTCTCTATTTCTCTCTCTCTCTCTCTCTCTCTCTCACTCTTACCCTCTTTCTTTCGTGCAAAATCCCAATTTTATTACTTTTTCCTTTTCCCCTCAGTAAATTACTATTATACAAATAAGAAATAAAAAACTGTAATATATTAAAATAAACCAATTACTCAAACTAAATAAAAACAACTTGATATAGGAAAAAAATCTTAAATACTCTTTAATATAGATATATATATATCTATGATGATGATAAAGATTCAATATACACTTATAAATAGACATATAGAAGTTCGGTATTTAAAAGAAAATTGAAAGACAAAAAAAATTGACCAAAAAAAAAAACAGAAGTTATTCCATCTGCTACTCTTGTGAATAGAGTTAATTATATTCGACCTTAGAGACAGTGGCTGAATTTCATTCTTGATAAAATATTGCCATAAATTAGTCTTTTCTTTATCCTACTTATATAATTGATAAGATTGAGTTTATTTTTATGATAATCTGCTATAATCTATTATTATCTTTAAGTGGAATAATATATATAGCGTATTTTGTATAATTATATACAAATATATATATATTTGCAGTATATTTTATACTGTACATAGAGTAGAGTACATAGAAATATGTACTATATGACTTTTATATATATATATATATATATATATATCTTATAAATAATAAAAGAAAGTTATTGCGCGAAAAGTAGGGTGAATTGTTGGAAAGATAAGTAAAGCATAGAAGAAAAGATAGTTAGGCGAGGTAATATTCGGTTAATTAAACTTTTTGAGTATTTTCTGTCGTATGTATGCGTAAAATAAAGCATACAGTATTATAGTAGCTATTATTTTCTATTGTAAATTCGCCTATAACACGTAGAACGTTTATTAATAGAGAGTGTACTAGTTGCTCGCCTAGTAATAATTAGATCTGCTTATAAAAGCGAAACGGGTAATGGAAGCCGTTATGGTATGGTTTTTCACTGGATCATTTCTTTTTCCAATATTGCATACTCTCTACCGGAAATTTCTAATAACTTTGACCTTTTGTTATAATTCCTTCTGTCAATACATTCTCTTCTCTTGGTGGAGAGGCCTAAAAAGCCGGAAAAAGGCAAGAAATGATAATAAAAAAAGCCTTCGAACTGTGTGTATCAGGGAACGTTTTTACACTCGGTCTATCTTTACACCAGATTAACAAGCTAGTTGACTTCAAAAAGCTTGTAAATGTAACTATTTGATATTGATTTTTATGACTTGGGACCATCAAAGTGATAAGTTTCTTCTTGAAATCTGACTATTAACTCTGATGCAAATTATATGATCAATCCTTGTTTTGTTTAATGGAAAAAGTTTACTTTTCTTTCTTTATAAAAAAAAACTACAAAAGCTCATAGAAATATTTTGTTAATGACCAACTTTTGTGCTACTTTTAACTACAACTAAAGCAGCTTCATTTTCAATTTATCATCCCCTAAAGAAAGGATCCCCCTGCCCCACAAGCATGAGAAAAACGTTATTTTCCACTCTGCCTATTTACATGGGATTAACAGGAAGATCGGAGCATCAAAGCGTTCTACAAATGCGTTTCTATCGATCGACCATTTTTTTTCTATTAGAGAAGGTGTTCCTTGTTTCAAATTCATTCGCCTACTTTTCGTCTCAATTTCAATCTACAGTCCAATTCAGAAGTCTGTTTGAGACTAGATTCGATTGAGAGTAGCTGGAAGCTTTTGACTTTTTCCTTCTATCTTTGCAACATTGTGTACTTTGACATTGCTGTCGGATAAAGCATCTCCAAACTCTGTAACGTCTCGTCCTCATTATAGTAATTGGAAAGAAGAACAGTCAGTATCTCGCTCCCCCCATTGCTATGACTTTAGGGAAATTCAAGACATGACTTCGACTTTATTTTATCAAGTTTTAACCTTGTCGAATATTGATTTTTTTTATTTGAAAGCTTAAATTCTCTTCCTCTTCCTCTTCCCATTCTTTTTCCTCTATCTTCTAACGCTTTAATTTTTTCTATGGTTATATTATTTCGATCCTTCATTCTCCTCATCACTCTCATTAACTCGCCTCCCCCTTTCTCTCCTTTTCATTCCGCTTTTTTTTCTTCCTATCCATCTTTCCCTGTCTACTTGTCCGTCTAACTGTCGTTTCCTATTCTACTATTGAGTATTTCTTTTATGAAATTCGAAGAATTAGACACAAGTTAAGCATTAGGCAACTCCTTAGTGACGTAAAAATCGGATCAAAGACTTTCTCGAAGTAATTCGGCAACATGAGATTGCTTATAATTTTATCCCAAATCGTTTCAACAGCTGTAATTACCGGTCTAATCGAAACTTGCTTATTTACTCTACTCAGTAAAGCCACTATTTATCTTTAAACACTCTTTTTTTTCCTTCTCATCGATAACAAAAAAGAAAAAATACATCTTTTGTTTCAGTGTAGGATTACGTAACATGAAAATATACGAATATGTTATAGTAAATAGGTAATATATATATATAATATAAACTTAGAACATTTCAATAAAACTTGACAAATACTGTCTATATCAATTTTCTTGCTTTTTTTGGGACATTTTGACTGACAAACATTAGAATATAAAGTTTAAAAAAAGTATTAAAATTTATTCATAATTAATGGAATTATGTATTTAAAAATATCCAAATTTTCTTTTTTCCCTTCTTTCTATCTTCCGGTCATTTTTTTTTCTTTTCTCCTTTTTGTCATTTTCCCTTTTTTTCTGTTTTTTTATCATAATTTCTCTTTTATTCTTTTGTTTTTCACTTTTCTCTTTTATTTAAATAAAACGAGAAAATATTGATTTAATAAAAATTAGACGACTTTAAAGAGCGTTATTTTTCTTTCGTTTCTTTTTTCTTCAAATTCGATCTTCCCTTTAAGCATTTCTTTTTTGTAGCTTTCCTTAGATTTGAACCTATATTTTATCATTTACATTAAATGGTGATGTAGAATTTGAGGCATCGTTTAAACTTGGTATTAACTTGTTAATTTCTAATTGAATTAAATTTGTCCTCATTAAACTTTTTGGACTAGAACATGAAAGACTGTGTGGAGAAGGAAATTTTATCTTCTCAATCTTTAGCCACTCAACCAATGGCCGAATATTCACATCACAATACCAATTATTATGAGTTACGTCAATAAGACCGAGATTAGGCAGTGTGTCCAAGAGTTCAGCCGGTAAATTACGCAATCCGTTATAGCTCAAGTTCATTTCTTGAATGTTTGTCCATTTGGAGAGTACTGAAATATTTTTTAATAAGATTTCAGCTAATGTTGAAGAATTCGATAAACTTAAGATGAGCAATTTACTAGCATTCAAATCCAATATAAATTCATTAACTGCAATCAAGAATTATGTAAAGAGTACTGATTACTTTGCAGTTCAAATATTTATTTTAGCTTTAGTTTACCCCAGTTGATTTTTTTTTAGTTTGTAACCCCAATACTGCAAAGTTTATCATTACTCTGACTAATGTTTTGGATGGAATTCATGTGCAAAATTCTCAAGTTTGGTAATGATCCAATGGATTGTAAAGAAGATATTGGATTCAACGACAGATCGAGAATTTGTAAGTTTTTCAGATATTGGAACGTGCCTGTCCGTAAGGCCGAAATTTGATTATCCGATAAATCCAGAAGACGTAAATTACGTGCAGCATCAAAGGATTGTGACTGGATTTCGCTAATCCGATTCTTTTTTGCGTACAGACTCTCCAATTCGATCTGCAATAGCTCCTTGGATATTTTCTGTAATCTATTTCTGTTAATGTTAAGTAGTTTTGGAGAGTTTCTTGAGAAGATTGTTAATGATGTTAGATTGTTGTCATTTAAACGAACATTTAGAAAAGATATTTCAGATTCGCTTGATAAGTTTAATTGTTGAATGGAAGAGGAAGAGAGGTCTAAAACCTTTAAACTCACTGAGGGTGCAAAGTTCAAGTTTAAAATTGAATTTAACAGATTCTTTCGCAAGTTCAACCTTCTTAGATCCCTTAAACATAAAAAGGCGTCGGGAGCAATATAGTTTATTTCGTTTTCTTCGAGGTTGATCACTGATAAAAGGAAATTGGACGCTTTTAAATAAGTTACTTCAACCTTGCTAGTTGTATATATTTGAAAAACTTTTCTAAGCTACTCTTTTAGGAAAATAAATCGTAAAGCGTCTAATTTCCTTTCAAATTTGGATTCCCAACAAATTCCTCGCTACTTAACGATGTTAAGCGATTTCCAGCGGCAGAAAAATACAATAAATTTTCCAAATCCCGTAAAACTGCTTTCAAATCCGTTAATCGATTATCCGCCATATTTAAAGCTCTTAGACGCCCCAAACCGGAAAAAGTATCATTATCCATAATCTTTGCCAACCTATTATCGGCTATCGATAAAGACGTCAGATTAGGACAAGCTTTGAAAATACGGTTATCGAGAGTGAAGATTTTGTTGGAATCGGCTACGATGTGTTTTAAATTGCTGAGTCGTCGCATACGACGCCAGTTTAAACGTCTAAGATAATTTTTAGCCAGGTTAATATATGTAAGATATTTAGGTAAGTTGGATGGCATTGCTTTGATCTGAGTTTGATCGCAGAAGGCCCTCCGGCGGATGCAAACGCATGGTTTTGGACAAGTGCTCAACGAATAATCAACCTTCGCTAGCAGAATGGAGAGGAGAAGGAATAAGAAACGCATTATTCGATTGTTTCCTTTCTGGCTTCGTTGGTTTCCTGACAGAGTGGAGTATACATTTATTATTTATTTCTTTAGTATTTTTTCTCATTTTTCTCTCACTCTTTCTCCTACTCTTATATAGATATAAAATCAGATTCATATAAACGCTATACCTCTCTCTCTCTCTCTCTCTCTCTTTCTCTCTCTCTCTCTCTCTTGTAGTCATTCATTCGCACAGTTTCTCTTTTTCTATCTACTGCGTTTTATTATTTTTCCATTTTCGCGCAGAAGCTTTGTCTACACGCATCCAGAGTCATACATCATCGAACAAACACAAAACATCAGTTCAATTTTACTTTTACCTCTATATATAAAGAACAACTGACCTTACAAGTCTATTTTAAGCTTTGCCCATTTAATAAACGTATACTTTATATTATTGTTGACAACCTTGAAAGAGAAAAAAAATTATTCTGTTTATAATCTATATTTATAATTATAAAGATATCTTAAGCCAATTTACATCATTCTACAACCATTTGGTAAAGATCTATCTAGGGATTTTTGCGCATATAAAACAAAGTTTATTCGTAAATGGTTGTGAAAGGAGAAATATAAGGAAATTTAAGGAAATATAAGTGAAAAGAAAAAAAGGGAAGGAAAAAGAATGATTCAAATTAACTTGAATGAAAGAATATTTAAATAAACGAATGCAATAAATTCAATTTTAAGAGGAAAAAAGAGACCTTTTTCCTTTTTTTTTACAGATTTTTTAAATTCATAAGGGATCGAGGATTCATGTAAATTTTATGTCGTTTGGGAAACGTTAGGAATTTATTCCCTTTTTGCTTGTTTATTAGAAGAGCATATATATATATATATATATAAATTTTATATATATATATACTGTATATATACCGCATATGTCTCTACAATATACTATTTCTTATATAGTACAAAGACGCTATTAGCAGAGAAAAATTTCTCTTAGATGGATAAAAAAAATAAGACAATTGCATAAATAGAAGATTAATATAATAATCCTTTGATGCAATTAATATGGTGTAAATACTGCTTATACTGCATATATAAACTATCTACTGTATATTTGACTATAGATTTTATACTACTATTTATATATTCTTTATTATACATTGAATATAAATAAGATGCTAAGAGTCTGAATATACAACTATCTTTAGAATAGTAGAATGTTACAATAGAACCTTTATACGTCTTTTATCTATTTCTCTTGTTTTAGACCCTTGTTACAGGAAAATAGAACCTTGCATAAATTTATTATTAAATGTATAGAAGGCAATTTGTTATTGTCAAGAAAATCCCACGTGACAATACACATCTGACAAGAGGGCAATGAAAACCTTTTTCGTACGTTTTCCTCTCCTATCGTAAAATTCTCGCCTTTTTCATCTTGGCACGATTCTGACTAAATGCTACACTCTAATTTATAGTCTACTTTTCCCAGCTTTTTACAATCCGACGCCCCATATGCTGATCGAACAAGCTGAAATTAAAATGCTATTCGGGAAAGGACTCGTAACTAGCTTTTTGATTTTGCTCTCGCTCTCCCTCTCTCTCTCTCTCTCTCTTTTTCTCTCTCTCTTTTCTCTTCAGACAGTTTTTGCTATAAACTCTTATTATTCTTATAGAAAGCCCATTTCATTTATCCTACATTTATCAGCCTAATTTATATATTATTCATAAACAAGTAATTTACTTAAATATTCCTTCTATTAGACACCTGAATGTTATACCTTCGCCGATGTATGGTATTTAAAGCGACTCCATTAGGATAATAAAAATGAAAAATTAACGCGTTAATCCCTATAATCGATAGCAATCCTTCTTAATGCTTAGCTTATAAACCAATGTATCATTTTCATTGCCTTGTTTAAGAAAGGACTCATAGAAAGTTTGTTTTTTAATAAATAAATATTAAAAGAGGGTTACCCACTCCTGTTGGCTCTACATTGTGTTATATAAACTATAGGAAACAATTTGCTATAAACATACTGTTTGTACTGTTTGCTATAGAGTAAAATATCTATAATAGTAATAGTGTTGCTTACTATGTTCTATATAGGTTTGCTTACAATAGCTAAACATCTTGTGGTGAAAAATTAGCTTTTGGCATTCTATAATTAAGTATTTATGATTTATTGATCCCAGAAGCATCAATCCTTTTACTTTTAAAAGAAATGTAGTTAAAAGGGTTGCAGAAAAAATAAAAGAAAAATAAAAATAACTTTAGATCAGTCAACTATTTTATAATTAAAGGCGTCTCTTCTCTTAATCATTTCAATAATAAAACACCCTTGGCTAATTAAAATTCCTTCCATTAACTATAGAATATTCATAAAAAATCATACTAATTGAGTTTACAAAGTTTACAGTTTCGTTGATAATATAGAATATTTCAAAAACAAAATAAGCTTAATGATTAATAAATATTAATATTTACTTACTTAAATAGTAAAATATTTATTCGAGCTTTCACAGCCTTTCTTCTTTCTCTTTAAATGAATATCTTAAATTGATTTTTCGCTCCTTTCTCTATTGTTTTTTTGTTCTTAGTTTCTTCTTTTCTTATTCTAGTTTTTCTTCTCTTACCTTGTCTCTCTTTTTACAGCTCCCGCACATTTATTGCTGTCGTCTTTTGGTCTAGTCCGGGCTAGAAAGGAATGAGGGAAAATATAAATTATCAATAGAGGGCGCTTTTGTTCCATGATTGTTACTGTTCATTGGAGCGATGAGTTTGTTTGTCGCTTTTTATGATATTGAATATTTCAATAAATTAACTTGTTAGTATCTCTAATTATGATGCTCAGCCATCTGTAAAATTGTTCTATGACTGATTTCTCTGTGTACTTGAACGCAATCTGGAAGCATCGCTCGACCGATTGAAATTGCTGCAATCGTTTGTGTTTATTGAGCGGAAGGAGCAACGATTGCTATTATAAAAAATATAAGCGATAGATGGCGCTGAACAGAGAAGTTTTACCCTCCTTGTCACCTCGTATGGCCCTGTCAATTTTTCCAAGAATTAGCATTAGTGAAAAATTGAAAATAAGGATAAGTAGGAAGAGAGACTTTAACCAGCAATCTATCAAAAATTTGAATAAAGCGAATAACTATTTAATTCCGTAGAAATTGATATATAAATAGATTCGGGATATAGATGAGCACTTGTACGTTCCTTAATTACTTTCGAGAAATTATCGACGATGCGAAAGTAGAAGGAAATCGATACTTGAATCACGTTGTTAAATACTACTTAACGCTTTCCTTTTCGTAATGAGAAGAAGATTTTCGATGAAAAAAAAAATTCCTTCATCTAATCTAGAACATTTCGTGCAATGAGAAATTTGGAAGAAGAAACGAAAACGGAAGGATAGAGATAGAGTAAAAATGTAACATAGCATTAAATTAAATCTCTTCTTCAATCGTCTTTTATAGCAGAATAGTTACAAAAAAAAATCCTTTTCAACATTCTATCCGAATTTACTTTCATTTTCCAACCGCAAAAAAAAAACAATTACTAAAAGTTTTTTTTATCTCGAAGAAGAGTCGAATAGAGGATGCAAATGCTTAAAAGATAATCTTAACTCTGTGAGTGAAAATAAGAAGAGATTTTGGAATATATAGATAGAGAGAATGAAAGAGAGTGAGGGGAGGGGGGAGGACTGTTAGGAAACGAAGAAGAGAGGAGGATACATCGTGGAAAAGAAGGAATATCCACTATAAGCTTAATTTATATAAAGTAATTACTTTTAGTTGAATAATAATAGCAACAAAAAATTCACTTTTTTGTTAAACTTGAATTTGAATATATATGAAATTGTATATAAAATATTTAGTATATTATATATACAGTATGCTTTTAAACTCATTTGCACCCAGGTGTCGTGTAACATGTGCAACAACAGTCATTCTTTTGAAAGGAAAAAATATACTATATGATCATTCAAATGTAGATTATTGACTACATAACATTTATAACTCCTCTTATGTAGACGTTTAAGTTTAGTGATTAATAAGTAAGCGTATCCTTGTACTGGAATATAGATTCGTGTATAATACTATGATACTTACATTATGGGATTAAATCCGTCGAGATATCTTGCCGAAAAGCAGCAAACTTACTCGGAGAGAAAGCAGTTGCTCAAAAAATACCTGATCCGTCTTATTCCCTACGAACTACACGCTCAATATTCGATTAGTGGTACGGCAATCACGATACAATGTTGCAGTAGAGACGCTACTAGTTGGTGGATGAATACATTAAGGAAATCTTATCCATTAAGGTAAGAACCAGCTTTGGATTCCTAGTAGATCTGATAAATATAATCTTTTGAGTTGCTTGAATAATATCAATAAAGGGTTTATGCTTAGGAAAAGTAATTATATCAAATTGTGCATTGTATAGAATTTTTGTCGGTTAGACACACCTTTTGCCGGCTTAACTACGTTTTACTTTATCCCGAAGACGATGTTATTTTGAAGGTTGATAGGAGAGATGGAAGCTTAATAATTGCAGGCAAAGATCACTGGGAATGGTTTCTATGTAATTTTGAAACGGTGCTAGAAAAAGGACTAAATGACTGCCCTTGCAAATTGGCCTTTTCTGCCGGTAAAAAAGAAAATAGAATTATTTATTTATCTTTCATAGTGAAATAGTAAAATATTGCTCCCTTATCTTCTTTATTCTAATTTTATTATTTCTTTCTATCTTATGGAAAGGGAAAGGAGAAGGAAATATCAATAGAACTATTTAATCAATTAATACAAAAGCCGTTCAATCAATAACTCCAACTTTAGAAATAAAAAGGCAAATGAACTCGGCGTAGGCTATTAGCGTACTTTTCTCAACGAGTAAAAGAGTTGGAGATTAATTTTTATCCTCCCTGATTGAATGAAAGTAGAGATTAAACAGTCTAAATTGATAAAAGAAAAAGGAACTATATAAGAAGTGGAAAAGTACGCGTTGTATATATAGATGGATACCCTTAAGATATGAATATATATATACAGTATATATATATAATATATATATATGAAGAGAGCTAAATATAGCAGTGATTTCATATTTATATATAGATAAAGATAATGGTGTATGCGCTCAAATGTTAAATTTTCACAAAACAAAAGAGTATTTTTTTTCACAGATTTTCGATTATTATTGAAATTAGATTATAAAATTATATTACTTTTTTCAGTTTTTTGTACATATTTCAACGCCAGAGGGAGTAAAAGTTTTACTTACCAACATCGCCTGCACTTGTTTCTATCAGATTAAAGTGAAGCGTATAGAGTCGATTTTAGTAATTGAAGTAAAACTCTCTTTCTCCTTTTCTTCCTCTCTTCTCTCTTTCTCTCTTTCTCTCTCTCATTCTCTTTCTATCTATCTAGTACATATCATATCATTTGAAATTAATTTACCATAGGGATACTTTTTTATCTTAGGAGATATGATAATAAGTTCTAAATCTACATGAATATTGCTGTAGGTGTAAACTAAATTTTCTTGGATTGATTAAAGATTACATTTGCTTCGAATTCAGACACACAATAAATCTCAGTTTTCTTTTAGCTATTAACCACGAATTACTTTTGGGCGATGGAACGAAAGCAAGCGACATGCAAGCTTTTCTACCAGTTTCCGGTTGTATAAGACATGGTCCTGGTTTTATCTATAGACTCTGGAAAGGAATGATGGATGAGTGGCTGTATAGAGGGGGTACTGTTTTTATAGTATCGCCATTAATTGATGCTAGACGAGTGGCTGACATATTACTTCTTCTGGTGAAGCATGCATCAAAGACAAACAACTGTAAAGTAAAAATGCTTTGTCTTGAACAATGCGATGGAAGATGGAATTTTAATAAAATATTTGCAACTGCCAAAAATAAAGTGTTAGGGGTCAAGGGCCCTAATGGAAGAAGACTAGTTAGAGGATACAGATTAAATTACGGAATTAACGACAGGCTAGAGGTAAAACACGCCAACTTTCATTGTAAATTAATTGCCCATATGAGATCGGATGGAATAGTAGATATATTGCTGACAAGCGCAAATTTCCATAGATGGCACTTGGACGTTGATAATGGAGATTTTGTACAAAAGATAACATTGACAATGGATCAATTTAATAAGAATTACTTACAACATATAGGATTTCTGGCTACTCTTTAATTTTTTCTTTTTGTTTTTTTTTACTTAATCTCTTCTAAATCACACTTCTTACTCTAATATCTACTTATAAGCTCCTTTTTCTCTCCCTCTTCTCCCCTCTCACCGCTCCCTAAACCCTCCCATCCCCCCTCCTCTTTCCTTTGCGTAATTCTTACATGTATTAAACGTAAAAGACTATTTCAAAAATGTAAATATATAGATTATAAATGTTTTATTTAAAAATATCTTTCTTCTTAAAGAATAAGAAAAGAGTTTAATGGGAAAAAGAATAATTTTCTTTTAAAATCATTAAATTAAAATGTTTCTTTTTTAATATGTTTTCTCTCAAATCAACAAATATTTCATTAAAAATGGTAATATGATTATTATTTTAGAATAAAATATTAAATTTTCCGAACTATTTTTATCGACTTTGCAGATTTTCTCAAAATTGCAGTTATCCGATATCGGTTTAAATACTTTTTCAATTTCATTCCAGTCGCAGTCAATTTCTTTACAAATTCCTTCTAATTTTATAGTTTTTTCATTATGATACACTCTTACTTTATAGTTGGTATCACAGCGAAGTAGGACAAAAGCTATGTTACAGCTCATTGGTGATATTAAAGTCATCTTCCATTTTCTTTTTAAATGTTCCTTATAATTGCTATGTAAAAGTTGTTTTTCATCCTTGAACAAACCTAATCTTGTATAGAGCATATTTATCGCAGGAAGGTGGGTCCACCTACCGACAATCTTCTGCTTCGAACCACTTTTAGCTAAACTTAATTTTTTCCATATATCTCTAGTTAATTCACATGTTTGTTCATAAGATATTTTATGAGGATAGGAATCTCTCCAAAATGATTGAAGATCATTGGCGTATTCAAGAACATCCAAATCATTTGGTTCTAATAGGCTACACCAAGGAGCATCACCGTATATGCCATATTCAAAGGAACAGCTTTCGTGTAGTAATTTTAAGGTATTGAAAGAAATTTGACTATTTTTGCCAAGCTTTCTAGTTACTTTCCTTAGGACTTCCGCAATTTCTGGTCTTTTAATAAATTTATCATATTCCACTAGTGATTTATTAGATACTGTAGCTTCATACTTGTCACAATGCCTGTAGAATCTAAGTAGAGTATCATTTTGGGGTGGTTCTTTAAGAGTGATATTTTTTGCAGTGTTTTCATCGAATAGGCCAGTTAGAAATGCTTTAGCAGAATCTCTATTCCTTCTTTCGGAAGTTGGACGAAATTCGCTCTCGTCGAGAACTGAAGGATTTTCAAAGAACTTCTTAAATCTATTTTTAATCTGTCGTCCTGAAAGAGATATATAGATTAATAAATTATTAAATAGAGAGAGAGAAAGAGAAAGAGCGAGAGAATATAGTTAATAATAGGTATCATGACCAATGAGTTACAGAAAAGTGGATAAGAAGCCACTATCTGTTTATTTATTTTCTGATGAGATAATACTTTCTGGTTATAATGTAAATAAATCGAAACCTATATAGATTTGTTCTTGTCGACCGGTTTCCACTAATTTGAATGCATCTTCCGGATTCATTCTTGGAAACCATTTATTTATCAAATCAATATCCTCTCGACATAATCCTGTAATTGAAGGATTTTCAAGAATATTTCGTTGGAATGACGGAAAATGTCTGTGCCAAAGTCTTATAGAGTTTCGATTGTTTTGTCTCGTTCCATGCCTAGACAGGAAGTAGAAATATTCAACTGAGCAATTATTCTGAACATTCTCTTCCGCCTTTTTCTTTGAATTTAGTGACTCTGCGTAGGACGTTTTATCGGCATAATTTCTTTTTGGAGAGTTATCCGTTCCGTAGCAATAATTTCCGTAGATGGGTGTCGATATGATCAAATTTGTAAGGATTACACACAACAACCTCATTCTGCAGTATTTCAATATAAATATTCCTTAAGCGATGCTGTATAAAACTTTTGATATGATTAAAAATCATGTTAATCGAATTGCGGGATAAGATACAAATGATAAGAGATAATATTTGAAGTCGTAGATCATTATATTATCGAAGAAAATCGTGTTAATATTTAAAGTTCATTGTGTAATGGACAAACTACATGATCATTGTGGCTTTATTATTTATTTCCTTTTATCTTAGATATCAATAGGCAAATGTAAATTATGTTTTTTGTTATTTGTTTTTTTATTGTCGGAGGAAGAAGGCTGCTCCACATTGTAACCATACAGCTTGATCACCTCCACATGGAACACCCACTTGACCAACTAGTTTTTCCCTTTCGGCACTTGTATAGATGGGCAAGACAATACTCTCCTCTAGGCTATAAGGTTCTGACGCATCGTTCGGCAACCATGCGATAAGGAATTCTGGGACTGGCGATAGACTAGGGGAATTACGTTGATTTTCCACTAAACGTTTACCGTCAAAAACGCATCCCTCAACTCTTAGACCTCCTAATTTCATATGTATAGACGCTCCTTGAATTTGTCCTTTCCACGATGCTACTAATTTTAGATTATCCATTGAAGTGCCTGTCTTCCTTGCCGTCATTTGTTTAAAAGCATTTAGGAAGACGTCTGGACGGAATAGTTCACATAAATCAAGTGTAGTCGAAAAGATTTGGTCTTTTTTCACTTTCTCTATCCATTCTTTCGTTACGCTATTTGCTCTGAATACAATCGCCCTTAAATAAGCCATAATATCTTCTGGTCCTTCCCATTTGGTCTGCCATTTCATGGGGGTTTCATTATTTAATAGATCAGCAGCTAAGTTTGCAATATCTGATGTCAAAAGCATTGTTCCTCTAATAACTTTACTTAGGGACGACAGAGCGTTATGAATACTATGAATAAGCGATAAAGCATTCTGATATTCGAGTGTAACAAATGCGGTAATGGGGGATTCATTCTCCTTACTTGCCGTCGTATCAGCCTTCATCTTTATGAGATCCGAACCTGAGCAAAAGAGATTTTAAATTGATTTTAGACTGATATTTAGACGGAATACACTTAAAACCTTGATTTAATTTTTTCCACAAGTTTAGAACAGGACCTAGTTGATTGGCCCATAATTCTCTATCAAATTTAGCGCTACCTCCAGCCGATCTTTGTAATGTTCGTAATTGACCGATGACAGAAGTTCCAATACTTTGTTGAGTTGCTCTTTCGATGTTCTCAGGTAGACCAAAGTAAGCTGGTCTATCAAGCTCTTGTAACTTAGATATTTCCGTCATATAATCTTCAGAGTTTGTTGACGACTGCATTTTCATTGGTCCTATTTAAAAGCAGATATTAATAATGAAAATGATGAATAAATGAATAAATAAATAAGTAAACAAGTTAAAATAATTTATGCTTAACCGAGTTTTCTATTTGCTTTAGCTTGAGGAGATATCTGATTTGTATTAAAATACTGTAAAAGGAAGCTTTTGAGTACTCTTTGATCGAAAATGTTGTCTACTCTTCCTCCATAAATAGCGTTTTCCATCAAACCGTGCACAAAATTCCAAGGAATCTGGTTACCTTTACCAGTTCTCTTAAATAATCTATCAATCACCTCGGCTCCGGCTCTTAAATCCGAAAAACTAAACTCGTAGAATTTTGTCCAGCCTTGTGGTAAGAAATTTCTTCTTTCGCTCATTACTGAATGGAACCAAGCAAGAACAAACATTGCTTGCGATCGTTCCGAATTTCCTCCAGCAGATATGAAACTAGGTCCCCATGCTTCGTATGTTCTTAATAGATTCTTCTTGACACCAGGTGGGGCTTCGTATGTGATTTTTAGTGTAGATTGTAGCAAAATGGGTGGAAATTTTGGGTGAGATTCGGCGGTAAACCACAACCGGAAGTTTGGATGTAATTTCAAACTTTTTATCGACTATAGTTGAAAAAAGAAGACGAGAATTGACAATGAAAGTGGACATTTTAAATAATTCACCTTTTCTAATGTACCCAACCACGATGTGACCAAATGCAAATTCTTTAAACACAGCCATGAACCATTTTCTGAACATTCCTTTAACAGTTTCATTGCAATTTCTGCTTGACCTTGACCCATAGCCACTTGAAAATACTTATCAGATCCTACTATCTCTTTGGCTAATTCCTCTAGGTCTTGGGAGGGGTCGGCTCCTGTAGATATTATTATAAGAATAGGTTCATCAGGACTGGTTTCATCTTCGTACAATTTCTTTAGATTCACGTTCGGGGGCGAGAGTTCATCCATACCTATAAGTTCATAAGATAACGGAGTTTTTGATATCTTTTTTTGATTTAAAAGTACTTACTAAGCGCTTTACAAGCAAATGTTGTCATCGCCGACTGCAGTCTGTCAGGTCTAATTGCAGAGATTGTTAAGAGGTGCTGAAAAATGCCACAGTTTTTATCAATATGAGATGGAATGTCATCTTCGCATTCTGCGCTTCTTGCGAATTTTGACCATCCAGATAAATCTTTAAGACTTAATTTCTCGAATAAATCAGGGAATGCGTGCTTCAGCAAAAGAACAGCTTGCGATCTGTCCTTTTCAACCCAATCTGGCAATTCTATATCTTTCTCGCCTTTAGTATCAACAACAAGAATACCGATGAAATATTCCCATTCATTCTCTTCAAATATTGTCGGAAACATTCCATGAACCATATGAATGGCAAACATTAATCTATCTGCCTTAAACAAAGATCGACTAACATAATTATAAACTAGCTTTAGGAGAGATGATTTCAATGTACTAATTCTAGATTCTGTCCCTAAACCATCCTGTTGTTATAAATTATTTAAACAAATTCAATAAATAATTAGCAATGTACGGAAATTATACGTACGTCTTTAGTATCTAATGCTCTGTTGAATAAACTGAGAAAGGAGTTTAAAGAAAATCTATACATATTGTCAATTTTAAATAAATCACTTATAACAAAGAACATTTCACTAGCATATTCTGCTAGTGGAAGGTAAGCTCCTCTTTCCTTATCCAAAAAGATTTGTAATTCCTTTGATTCAGCAAGAGATTTTGATATAGTTGTACTACTCTCTTTCGTTTTATTTAATGAATCTAAAAGTTCCTTATTCTCAAGTATATTTCCTTTAGCGTTGGCTAATTGTTCTAAAAGAGACGCTTCTAGTTTCTCTAATTCAATTTTTAATTTTTCTTCAGCTTTCAATAATTCAGTCTTTTTTACTTCTAATTCCGGTTTCTCATGTTGTATTGTTGCTGCTAAAAGTTGTCCAGTCAAGCCAGCTTTAGTAGTTGTAAAATTAACTATTGTTACTATTGACGAAGCGTCTGGAGCTAATTCAGGCGATGGATTACGAGTTGTCAAGAAAATTTTAAACTCTTCGTTGTAATCTATAACTTTATCGCCTATTTGAACAACAAATCTCGGTCCTTGTTGAATTAGGTCACCTCTCAAAATAGGATATAGTAATGGTTCGATACCGTCAGCTTCCGTTATTAGTAGGGTCTTACCAAATCTAACAGATAATTCTAAAGTTGTTCCAAAACTACTATCTTGCTGATTAATTACTTCTAAACGATTGTTTTTCATATGTGTTTTCAACCATTCCGTTGCTCTTGATGACGGATCTATCATGAATGGTCTCAAAGCTTTTCCAGGTTTTTGCGGGTTAATTTTAAGCATAACCATGGCATTTTCTAAACTTAAATTATCGGACGGGAGACCTTCACCTTTCCAAAATAATTGTTCACTCTCAGTGCTCAAAAATTTTTGAATATTCAAATCTTCAATATTCATAAATTTCATCCAAGACTGAACCTTTTCCGTTCTACAATCTTCCGAAGCATTCGAAAGATAGGTTACGAAACCCGCTCCTATGATAGCTCTCAATGGTAGTTCATCTAACTCCCTCTTTAATTCTCCTACCTGACCGCTCCATCTATCGTATTCACCTTGTAACTTTCCTACAAGTGATTCTGCAGCAGCAATAGTTTCTTCAGCCTTTTCTAGCTCAATTTTTAATCTTGTAGCCTCGCTAGTCATTCTTTCGAATGTTGCCTTTAAATTTGCAACTTTTTCATCAACAGCTGCTAAGTTCTGTTTTAATTTTGTTGCTTTATCTTCAATTTTTGCCAGATTACTTTGCAGTTTGTTTTGTTCATTTTCTAAAGGCTCTATATTTTCTATAACATTGGCATACTTAATTTGTGCCCTTACCCAGTTAGCCAAAGGTGCAGCAGCTTGCGAAGCCTTCTTCGCACTCTGAAATAAGGAATAAACTTAATTTGCATAACATTTGTGTAACAATCAGTTACTTACAACAGGATCAAAAGATCTCTCTTTCTTCTTCAATAAATCTTCTACCGTTTTTCGTGCCTTTTTCGGAATTTTACGTGCATCAAACTGTACAATATCTTGCGTCACTCCTCTTTTACCCAGAAAAGCCTTCATACTATTCCAAGAAGTGTCCTGAATACCCATTAGTCTCAGTGCTCCTTCCAAAATATCTCTAATAACTTCCGGTGGAGATTTCAACGCTCTTATTTCGTTGAGGGATTCTGGTCTTATACAACCAACAGCCTCCTTAGCTTCTGCTAGCAAAGGCTCAACCTAGTAGGAGAGAAATCTATTTTTTACGATACATCATGTTTTGAATGTTACTTACGCCTGATAATTCTGCATCAATGTCTTCTTTTCTTTTTGTAATATTAATGGTTTCTTTATCTATTACAATTTGCAATTTTTCCATCTCAACTTTCTGATCTCCAGCGTCAGCCATTGTTTTTGTGATTTCTTTCAGTGCCTTATCAGCCTCCTCTTGTTTTTGAGTAAGGATAACACTTTGTTCTCCTGCCTCTCTTTTTAAGTTATCTACCAGCTCTTTCGCTTCATTCAATTTAGAAATACCAGCTTGTAAATGACCTCTTCTAACTTCAATGGTACTTTTCTTTGCATCATATAAATTCGAATACATATTTACGAAGGCCAAAAATTTTCGAGGTGTAGCGTCCAAACTTTGACAGGATTTATGAATAAATAGGAAACCGTTTAGTAGTTGATCCCCTCCTGATAACTTTCGTTGATTAGCTATTTGCTTTTGTTCAGTTGTAGGTATTGAACCTCCTTCATGAGATGGTTCTGTTAGAATGAGATGGGGAATGCTAATCATACTAGAAGAAGACCATTCGTCCATCCATATTACAGTACATTCTTTTAAAATAGCAGGATTACTTTGTAGCTTAAGGGAAAATGTAGCATTCGAGCAATCCATAATTAATACAACATGAAGGTTACTTCGAACTCTTTTAGCAAATAGTGATGGTAGTGTTCCCCTATAACCTTCTTCTATAGCTTGTTCTTTTAAACATCCCACAGCAGCATCTAATTCTTCAACAGTATATAATCCTGGTATTTCGCCTGCAGCTAAAACGGAATTGATCATTTCTAAGAAAGATCCGTGAACCAATTGATGATCTTCTAGTAACAAAACAACTTGATCTCCATCAATACCGGCTTGTTGCATGACAGTCTTTAAATCGAGCTTAAACTGCTTCATTCCATATGATCTAGAAACCTTTGGGCTAAATAATGTCATACCCTGCATATGAGATACAAGAACTAAGGCAGTTCGACGGCCAATACCGCTTCGTCCTAAAATTATTAATATTATACTATATATGGTACTAATTGTAATCCATACAACGAACCTGCTAAGAGTAAGGAACCTCCTGGAACTGTTAAAACTCTGTTGACCCTAGACATAGCTTCATAAACTTCTTTAAATATTACCAACTCTAAGTCTCTCTGATCTCTGGAGTAAGCTACTAAGGCTTTATCAAGAATTTGATTAAAATCATCCAAACCAAAAGTCCCTAGTGTCATGCCATTTTCCGGAACCGGTTTTCCCGGTCCTTCACCTTCTATATCAGCCGCAAAAGTTGTGAAATATTTTCCTTCTAAATTATTTAATATGGAGGCATCCCAATTTACTTTTAGGCATTCTTCGAATAGATCATCAAATTGTTTCTTTGCTTCCTCTCCAACAATTCTATCTCGGAATAATCTGTGAGCTTCGTATGCCCACACTTCAAGAAGATAGTCACCACTTTGATCCTTTACGGCTTGAAGATTGTACCTAGTTAATTTCGATAAAATTAAATTATTTAATTAATATAAGGCAGAATTTTACCTATGAAGACCTTGAAGCCACGCAGTTAAGTGTCTTGGTGTAAAAGAGTAATGACTGTAGTCGTCAACGGAAAATGTTGACTTTAATTTTTCGTACAATTCTATCATAGCTGATGCTAAATTATGCAATTTAGCATCATCGCTCCATATTGGATGCTTAGGTAGTTTGGATGAAAGAATTGTTTTTAGGGATTTCGCGTAAATAGCTTCCAGTTGATCTTTGTCAGGATAGTCAATAGAACAAACTCTAACAATTGAAGAGTATCTTGTTGATATTTTATGACGTCCCATTCCTGATGCATTCATACTTGCGGCTATAAGAATTCCTTCGATCCCCACGAATTCTAAATTCTCATCGTAAAATCCTTTATAAAGGAGAAGCTGAAAGCCAATTTTGTTAATTAAAAAGACAACCTTATCAAGAATCTACTAACACTTTGTAGGAATGATATTAACATGCAAGTTCCGTACTTATCGGGTTTCGGAAGATTTAAATCCTTAAGGTAGAGAACTAGATTTTCGCTATCCTTGGGTTTCATCATTTTACCTGTATTAGTAACGATTGTTGTACAAAGTGCCGTTAACTTTTGAATAACATGTTCCGGTCCTGTCTGAGCGCTACAAAAGAGTGTTGCAACTTGAGTTGATCTCATACGATCGAAACAATATTGTAAGAGTAAAGTCTTTCCGCAGCCTTCAGGACCAACGAGAATAAAAGGCTGCGACTCCTTAGTTTGTACCCAAGGCTGTACGCAATCCAACGTTCGTTTTACATCAGAAGTCTTTACTATAACAGAATTCTCTTCATCTGTTTGATCCATTGAGTATAAGGATAGTCTAGAAAGATCAGTATCATAATAAGTATCTAAAATTCTTGAAGGATCAGGAGGAGTTTCACCAATCCAATCAAAGATTTCTTTTGCAAAAGTTTCTCTAATGGTAACTGGGAGATTTGACCCAAATCCTTTAATGAGACATACTGCAAATTGTGGGCTATTTTCGGCATAATGTAAATGAGAAAGACCACTTAGCACAATACCAACGAGAGTCATTTCAACGATGAGATCAAATCTTGCATTTTTTAATATCCAATCTAAAGATTTAAAGAATAATTGATCAATCCATTTTTGAAAATCTGCCCTTTTCTCCTGAGGTTGTTTTTTTAACCAAAAGCTAACAACAGCTCTAACATCAGTATCTTCGTCACTTATGAAAATCATACCCATTCTGTATAAATGGATAATATATTTGTTAAAGAAAGTATCAATATTATAGAATATTAATTAATATGAGAAACCTTGAAACAGTCGCTGGTGACGCGAAACTTAAATCATGGCATTCGAAAAGGAAGTTTGCATTTGGACCAAATTGAATTCTTTCCCCGCTTGGCATTGTTAGCAAGCGATTATCGTCAAGTACTGAATTAAGGGATTCAATCCACTCAGGATCGATATCTCCGTCACAAACAACCCATGATCGAATCTCATTCGGCTCCTTGATTACTTGCCTAGACGCCCAGGTTAGTACCCCATCTGACCACTCTCTCGTGTCCATATCGATGTTTCCCAGCAACATCTGACGTGGCATAGCTTTTGGATTCATGACGTATTTTTTAACAACTGTCCCTGTTTTACCCATGGCACTCTGTAAAAGTTTCCAAAGGGTAGATTTCCCGGAGCCACTTGGTCCGACAACGACCACACCCATTCTTTGAGATAACTGATCAAACAATTCTAAACATTTTTTTATTTGAGTGTCGTTAACATCCAATCCCATTTCATTGCAACATTCTTTTAGAGCAGCTTCCAATTGCTCGTATTCAATACCCTTAAAGTTTACACCGGGGAAAACGTCCGTCAACAGCCCTTCAAACCTTTTAGCATCAGAAAACGTTAATTTTGACAAAGTGTTAATACGTAAGGCTTGAACGCAAAGCGTCGCTTCCTAAAATTTAAAGACAAACTATACTAATTAAAAATTTTATTTGCCTTTCTAGAATCTTACTTGTTCATTTGTGAACTTTTGACCCGAATTATTCTTTTTCAAGTTTTGTAACAGCGATCCACAACCTCTTAGAATTGTTTTTAAAGATCTAAGACCCCAATCGTAATGTTGTTGAGGAGTTAATAATTCTTTTGATAAATTAAATACAGCAACAACCTTCCTTCCCAGACTCTTTGCGAATTTATAACCCTCGGAAAATAGTGTTACTTCGGCAATGAGATCATTATCGGGTTTAGACATAGCAACGGGTCTAAACAATTGCTTTAAATTATCGGGTAATTTTGAACGACCTCCGTAACCTTTTCCAGCCGGATTCAAAGTGATAAAAATACCGGCATTATGATCAATGTCTACTAATTTATTCATAACGGTTGCTTCAGGAGCTCTGATTTTAATTGCATCTTGTATAACTTGAATTTGCATAGATACGGCTGAAAGAACCGCCTCATCCAATCTATTAAACTCGTCAAAACATCCCCAAGCGCCGCACTTTACTAAACCTATAAAGATTCTTCCCATTGACTGAACATCAATACCTTCATCGCAATTAAATACCAGAACTTGGCGACCAAATAAACCACCAAGGGCTTTCACGGATTCTGTCTTTCCTGTATAAATTATCTCGTAAGTTATATTTAATGATGAATTTTAAATAGACTATCTTAAAGAATTATTGAATTTAAATCTAATTACCTGTTCCAGCTGGCCCATACGGATTTCCGCCCATTCCCATTGACATTGCTTGAGTTAAAGTCAAGTAGCATTTATCCGTTAAGGGAGTGTGTACCAATTTCCCTGCATTTCCCTGATACTCGTAAGTATAATCGAATTCGGCATCCACCATCCTCATAATGCAGCAATCATCCTTCATATAATAGCGCAATTGCTTTTGCCATTGCCATTCTTGAATGGAGGTGATTTCATTGCTCATTTGTTGTTCTATGACATCTATATTATGAATGCAGTCGAGAATCAGGGATTTTAATTTAAGATCAAGAACATGACCTTGGGAACCAGCTTCAGATATATCAACATTAGTATATGATTCCAATTGTCTAGACATATCTTCGTGGAATTTTTTAAGACCTTTTCCATTAATCATTTTCTCGCAAGCACCGGTAAACCGAACAAACTCTGCTACGCTCAAAATTTGAGATGGATAAGCTAATGGATCAGCACCACCAGAGTTTGATTTCATGTCATCGAGGCATTTGACTAACAGGTCTTTAAGTGTATTTTTCATTTGAACGGCTAGATCGCTTAACCAAACTTCTACAGCGTCAACAATTTTTACAGATTCATTTAAAGGAACAATTTCTCCTTCGAGCGATTTCATTGCGATAATTTTTGAACAAGTTTCATCGAATTGAACGCTATGAATTCCAGAGAATAATTTTTTTAAGTGAGCTTGAATAACTTGAGGATTAGTAGATTGGCCAAGAATTTCTAACATATCATCATCGCCAATAAAGTAAAATCTAGGAAAGAGACCTCGTTTCTCCTCTAAAAGTTCGTTTAAAGACTTTTGACATCTATGTAACTGTTCAAGACTTTGAATCAAAGCTTGACCCAATCCTTTTATATCAACGAGAGATAAAACTTTCGTATTATTCTGTATTTCTTTCATCCAACCTCGAAAATCTGTGTCGACAGATTTAAATCTACCTTGTTCTTTAGGAAGAGCTCCTCTACTAAAAATTGGTTCAAGATAGACCCACTTTCTTTGAATTTGATTTAAATTATGCAAGCATTCATCAAGACAAGCCAATCTAACTTCCCATATTGAAGCTTTATCCTCAAACACCTTATAATAAGGAGAATCTTTAAGAGACTGCAATAAACTCTGATTATCTCCTACAAGCGATAACAGATCTTTCCAGTCTTTTATTAAACTTATTTTCCGTTTTAGTGTATCCTCGTAATCAGACAGTGCAAAATGGGCGCTGGCTCCCCATATATCCAATTCTTTTAAAGCATCTCTAATGGATATTTCTCCTTGCGCTCTTAAATTCAATTCCTTAATAAGTTAAAATTACGTTTATTCTATTAATTTCTATTAATGCTATAGTTATTTAATTACCTTTAGTTTGTCTGCTTTTTCGATAATTACCGCTGTTGCAGAAATTATATCACCGAATGTTAATTTTTCAATTGTCATTGCTTTTGGCATTGAGACTATTGAAAAGAACTCGGCCCAATGTTCCGGGGTAAGTGGTTCTCCTCTAACCCATTTTAATTGGGGTATTAGTTGTTTATAACTATCAATCATTTTACGCAGTTTTATTATCATAGGAGAAGGTTCGTCGGTTTTTAACTTGTCATTCCATCCCGTTAAAAGTTCGTCAAATTGAAAATATCTCGATCTAAACGATACCCAATCCTCGTTAGCGTATGTTTGAACGGATTGAGAGAATTCATCATACAAATTCCACATTTCTTCATATTTGGCAATTTCCGTTTCGAGTTCAGAAATTATTGAAAATTCTGGGGTTTCTATTTCGAAATGATGGCAGTCTCTATCGATAATTGTTTTTACTTCAAGCAATTCTTTAAATTCTTGCCTCTTCTCTTTAACAGTTTCAACGGCGGCTTTACATTTGTCGTCTCCTTCGTCAACAACATCATCGGTAGGACGAAATTGTTTCCATCTAGCTGCGAACTTTTCCAATTGAACCTCGAAATCGGTAATCCTCGATTTCATATTTGACTTAAGAACGTCTAATTGATCTTTTATCATTAATTGATGAGATTCAATCATCAATTCAAACTTATCCCATTTTCCTTTTTGTAAGCCTAACGAATCGACTCCTCCACCAGCAACTTGTCTAAGTAGTTTATTCCTGCTTTCGGCATCCTTGAAAAGAATTACATTTTATGTATTAGAGCATTATTTAGAAAAAATAATGTAATGGAAAGAAAGAAACCTGCATTAAGACCGACAAATCCTTCTTATCAGCACAGAGCTCTAACCTTGCCGCGTTTGCTTCCCCTATTTCCTGAACTGTTTGAGGTCTTGTACCAAGCAGTTCCATACCGTCTGTAAGGAATTTTTCAATTTTTTCGGCGTGACGAGAAACTGAACGCCTCAAAGTAGCCACAATTTCATCATAAAGCCTTTGCATGTGTTCTTCGATTGTCATTTTGACGGGAGATGTATTTATGAGAATGCAGCCAACTTTTACTTCAGATGGAAGCTTCTCCGAGGCTCTTCCCTTAGCTTTTAATGCTTTGAGATTATTTTCGAAATGACTTAGATCAGTCAAGTGGTTTTCTAGAAAATCTTCAAGGTCCACTGTGCCAAAAACAACCCATTCTTCAAATTTCTTAATAACTTCCCTTAACCTGGAGAAAAGAGCAGCCGATTTCCTATAGGTTTCAATAAATTTTGATCCAGCCCTATCAATTACAGCACTAAATAAACCCGAAGCCTCATCACCGAATCCCTAGATAAAGAAAAATGTTACAAAACTAGCGGATGCGTTTAATAAAAATTAGAGAAAACCTTAAAATAGTTTGGTATACCAAGGAACTTTTTCAATTCTTTATAATATCTTGCTTGCACTTCTTCGAAGCATGGTCGAAATTGTAATTTTTGACTTCTGTAATTATAGTAAGACTATATATACTGTATACATTTATATATTTAATTATTGTATATTTAATTGTGTACATCTTCCATATCTATTCATAATCTCTTTTACTTCTTAAACTTACTTAAAAACTAGATCAACGTGAATTTCTTGTAAATTGTCATTTACAGTTTCTAATCCAACTAGGTACTGATGTTCTAAAGATTTGTATAATTGTCTGTCTAAATGTGCTTTCCAAACTCTCATATTTGCAGCCGGATAACCTTGAGTTAGGAGAGAAGCAAATATCTGCCTTATATCCATAAGATATTCCTTCCATTTAGCTTGTTGTTTGAGCAAATCGATGCTCATAAGTGCACTAATCTAATTATTATGGGAAAATCATTAATTATTGCAATTATTTGGCATGCGTTAATCGATTTTTAGATGGAAATAGTAAACCTTATCAAGAATTGAAAAGTGATATTTTCTTAATTTACGATTCTCAACAATTAATTTAAAAGAAGCGTTTTGTAATTTTTTAATATACTCTTCCAATTCAGAGGGTTGATCCCAAGTTACTTCAATTTCATCACCATCTTTATTTTTTAATTTAGGATTCTTAATTAACCTTTCAAATGCAACTGCTGAATCTAGCATTAACGCTTGTTGGCACTTTAACATTTGATCATCAATTGTATTGTAAAAGTGAGCAATTTGTTTTAAAATTATTGCTTGTTTATAGTATTTATCACCAGTGGTTGCCATTGTTTGTATTTTTGACGGTATTACGTAACCGAAATTACCTAGAGTTTTAACTTCTCTTAGTAATGTAACAAGCCTGGAAATATAAACAAAAATGTTCGTTAATCGTTTGTTTTTTGCTCTTCGTTTCTAAAAATAGATTTTATACCTATCGCCAAAGTTAACCTTTAACTTTCCATCCCTTAAACCTAATTTCATTGCTCTTCCCTTCGTTTCCAAGCTAATATCGGAATCTTTTTCATCGATTAAATCGCCTATTCTTCTACACCAATCATCAAACACTTTTTTACGCCAACTTTGACATTCCATTTGACATTTCGAGGCAAATTTTTGTATTTTATCAAATCCGTTCAAATCGGATAAAAGCCATTCAGAATTTTCCGAAATTTGTTGAAATTTCGTTTCAAAATTTGTACACCAAACTATCTGAGCAACTATTAAGGGTTGATTATTTCCTCGGTAAAGATTTTCACTCCCCTCTCCGACAACCTTTTGAAATTCTTCAACATTTTCCTTTACATAAACTTCTAGCTTACCGAGTAAAGCTTCCCTATTTTAAGTTTGTAATAAATGTTATACTTCCTGTTTTAAACATCTATGTTGCCTTTAAAAATGCCTATATACCTCTCAGTCAGCATAATTTTCTTGACGTAATTCTGTTCGACCAAAGGTTTATATTTTTGAAATGTCTTCATTAGCTAATTGAATAAAGAATATTGTTCCTTGAATGCTATTTATAGAATTTTACGATATTTCTTTACCATTTGTAAATTTCCGTCAAAGCTTTCTAATTGTCGTCTTAATTTACCGACAACTTTTACGGCTCCGGGTTCAAGGAGTCTATTAAATTGATCTACAGCCGCATTCCATAGTGGCTCAGTATAGGAATTATATTTGACAGGATTTAGACCAGAAAAAGGAACGAATATACTATTAATGCCTAATTCTTTACATTCCTCGTCAGAAAGTAGATTTTTAAGCTGTTCGTGAGCCGATCTTATTGTTATGATTTGACGTAGTCTCAGCTTCAGTTTAACGAGACCTAGAGATTTATTTAAAACAATATTAATTCATTTTCATATGTCTATAATTAATAATTAAGGATAATCAATCGAACCTTGAGGAATATATTTTTCACCTTTCCAAGGTCTTTCGGAGAATCTGTTCCAGAATTGTTCAAAGAGTGTTGAACACACTCTTATCCAGGCATCGCAACTGTGCACTGATAAATTTATTTGCAATCTTATATTGCTTTCTTTGTCATGCCAGACGTCTAGAGATGTTAAACTACGATTTATAGATTTTGTTACAGAGTCTGTGATTACTTCTAAAAATCTTCTCATTCTCTTTTCAGGATAAGGCGGAGAAATTTGCTTCCATAAATCATCCAAAACGTCCTGACATTCGTCTAAAGTATCTGAAATTTCTTCTAGATCTAACGAGTCTAAATCCGCCAGATCCTTTGCAACTGGATGGAGTACCTCTTGTATTTGTTCCGCTTGCTCATTTCGTTTCTTTGCTGCATCGTTCCAATACTGAATTTCATCAGCGGGCGAACAAATAACATCCGAACTGGCTATCGAGGGGTCTGTCCTCCTCAAATTAGCTCCTAGGCCGTCTTGTAGATCAGTAACAAGCTGTTCAAGGGTGGGCTCCAATTTCGACTTTGAATCGGTTAGAAGAAGGGGAGCGAAAACTGACTTTAGTGAATGATAAAAGCTAGAAATAGGTGAAGAAAGCATAGAAGATATAAGTAAAACTTGATGCATATTTTGAGGTGTAATAGACTCTGGTTTAGTCTTGAAGAAGAGTAATATCTTTTTATCTCTCTCCTCATCAAGACGTTCTGAGAAGGTAATTTTATCATTATTTATAATTTTTGAGAATAGAATTGCAGAGGAAGAATCATCAAGAAAGTTCATGAGATTTTTTTCATCTTTAGTTCCATTAAATATATTTTCAGAGAACGAAACACCGAAAAAATTGCAACAAGAGACGAGAATGTACTTTTTTCTTTTGTCTTCGTTCGAAGGTGCCATACTCCGGGAATAGGAATTAAATGATAAAGAAAGCCGTCACAATCCTTAACTAATTAGCAATATTACTTGTAATTGATCTTTTCTTTAAAAAAATCAGTTATAGGCATAAGATTTTCAAATCAATAAGTAAGCCTACGGAGCAAATAGATTAGAAAGAACTTGATAGCCTATTAGTTGAAAATGGTATGGATTATTTAGGTTTATTTATTTTATTTTGAGTGCTATTTACGGATTTATATATATATATATATATATATATATATATATATATATATATAAATATACATATATGTTTAAATGTATATAAATTTGTATTTTTTGTTGATTTTATGATATTTTTAAATATAAAATATTCTCAGACTAACAGGAATAAAAGAAGAAAAAATAAAAAGCTATTGCATAGCATGTGTTCTTTTAAAATATAGAAAAAATTAACCACAGACCAGCTGCGTTAACAATAAATATTTGTACATATAAAACATGAACATTTTACAGTTTATTCACATTAAGAAGTTGAGCACTCTATCTCGACAATATTCTTTGGAACACTTGCAAATTGATATACCAAACGTTGGCCGTCGACTTTATGGAGGATTCCTCTCGCGTAATAATATCTTAGTGCCCTTCCCATTGTTTCATAGTTCATGTCCGGTTTATTCTTATGTAAACCCCATAATTTGGAAACAGCTTTAGAGTCTACTAGTTTGAAAATACCTCGAGAACGGTCAGTCCATTTAATAAATCTCGGACAGTAATCTGGTGACTGCAATAGCTGCAGTAGGAATTCCCATAAGTAAGTTGTTGATTCCCGTCGTCCCCGTTTCGGTGGCGTAATAAACGTTGGTTTATTTTGTACCGGAGGAGATCGTTCTTGGACGAAAGTATAATTAAAATGATTCGGCACGTGGACTAGAGGCGGTGGGAGGGAACGAGGGTAGTGATTATCTATAAGTAACAAAAAAAACAAACAATAATGTATAAAAATCATATATTTGATTAACGCGGTCAATTATGATAATAAGCATAATCCAAGCATATCAAAAACAAGGGAAATATAACACAGAAAATAAAGCAAACATAAATAGTTAAAGCCTTATTTAACGTTCAGTTTAATTAGCGTATAAATTTTGGGAAAATGATAAAAACTAAAGTCTTGTCTCTAAGTGGTTAAATAAAATTTTTCAAAGCTTTTGAGTAACCGGGAAATCTCTTGAGGAGTTTTTATAATTTACAAGATTCCTTACTCAAAACACACTCACATCTATATTCTGTTAAGGAAATTGTTTAGTTTATTGTACAATATGTACGTTTTTGTTTAGCTTTGATTCTATTCTTTTATATACACCTGTAGAGTTGAACGTAAACAATAATTTTATTATTGTCTAATTTATAGGTCGGTGAACTTGGAGTTAGGGTTGAGAGACCGGCCAAATAACCTTTTGAAAATTATCTATTTTTTCCCGCCAATCAATTAGGCCTTTGCAATAATCTTTTCCTTTATCTATGGCATAACATATCTCTTTGATTTCATGACTCTCAAAAGAAATTATATTTCCATTCTCCTAATATCTATATAGAATTTGCTTATTAGACTTATTCTGCCTCTGTAAGAGATCAACAATTCTTACAATTTCCCCGTTAAGAAGGATACAAGGGAGTTGACTCATAAATAATCAATTAACCTAGTACTAGCTTATAATCCCTTCATTTATATATTTCTTGTCTTCCTCTATCTCGAATTCGTTGATCAGTTTGTAAATTCAACGAACAAGCCTAACAAGACTAAACAGTTTATCCGATAGTTATATTTGCATAGGGCTGATTTTTTTTTCACAAAAGATATTTCTCGGATAAGATAAGAATTAAGAAAAACAATTCAAGACAAATAAATAGATAGTATAAAAATAACAGGAAACTTTTCAATGCTATTGTTTCTGCTCCTCTTTTGTCTGCCAACCTTTCCCTTCCTATCTTTTAACTTTTACTTTAATATTTTACTTTCAGTATCTTAACCTCGTTCAAAATCGAGTTCACTCACTTGTTTTGAATGTTTCTCTTTTTTTCAGTTTGTTATTGTTTGTTATTTATGATCGTATAATCATTTTTAACCTTTTACACCCAAACAAACCTGGATAGTTTATGATTCATAGTCATATGAAAACTAGCGGAAAACAATGTGCCACATATGCATTCTATTTTGAGAACATATCCAGGAGTATCAATTTTTGTACATTTGCAAACAGCTGTTTGTCCAGGTTGGCGTAAAATCGAAGTAAAATGAGAAACGTGCGAATACAGAATAGAAAAATCGGTTCTTAAGAAAGGAATGAGGAAGTGATGAGACAAACATGGCCCGATTAAAATTTAAATAGACTTATGAGCTTTATGGTTTTTTTTAATTAGGACGATAAGAGTAATTAAATTAGAAAAGAAAGAATAAGATAGATACGTAATATACTGTATGTAAAAAAAAGTTCAATAATTTAGTAAATATTAAATAAGGTATTTCTATACTTGTCAAAAAACTTCTTTTCTGTTATTTATGATAATAAATAAGTAACAATTTTCCCCTTTTTAATTAAATAATAGAGGTTTCCTTCTCAAGGATATTTGCAATGTTAATTTAATTAATGAATATTTTATTTGTATAAAGAAAGTATAAACCTATTTCACCAGGTCATCATATTTCCTTTCTTTCCCTAAGTAGTTTACCTTCGTCATAAAACGTTTAGTAAGTTAAATTTAAATTTAGTATCTATTAAGTACACATTTTTGTTTTACTTTCTTTTCATTTACTCATTCAAAATTCGAATAAATCAGATAATCTTTTTGTATAATTGGTAAATAAAACCATTTGGCACTTTTCCGATTATTTTGCAAAATTATGACTCAACCTTATTGCAAAAGAAAAAAAATCAATGACGTAGAGGTTTTTTTTTGCTCAAATAGCAATACTTTTCAACTCTTAGCGGGGTTTTTTTTTTGTTTTTTTTTTTTTAAAAAAAATGTTTATCAATAAAAAATTGTTGCTTTTTTATAATGCACTATATACAGACATATACAGTATATATATATATATATATATATATACATATACTGTAAAGACACGCTTTTTTTTTTAAAAAAAACATATACACAACAGCAACAACAACAACAACAACATCAATAATAACAAAGATAAATATGTCTAAAACGACTTACCCACATACGATTGACGTACTGCAAATCTTGACTGATAGTTTTGATGGTGGAGACTAAGGTCAGCCAGTGAAAGAGGAAGGCCTGTGATAAAGACAAATATATTTCTTAGGAAATAGGTCAATGTTTTTAAGGAAACCCAGCCGGAAACAGGAAGTACTTAACGATTCCTACTTACCTTTTATTGGTCTGTCATCCAGGCATTCCGGATCAGATACTGATACTCCGCTATCAGCCGGACTTGGTGGGTGTGAAGCTAATTTGCATAAAAATTACCCTTTAAGAATATATTGTATACAGAGATATAAGACATTTTATTACAAGCTATAGCTAAGGAGAATCCTATCTTTAAAAATTGCATGAAAATAAAAAATAATGCATATTTTACATGTATCGAATGAAGTTGATGACGTAGTAATCTATTATGTGATATTTCCATACAGGCTTTTTAATAAGCAAACGATATGAACATTTTCAATTAGATTCATTCTGATTTTAGACTAGAGAATTATCTTGTTTTTTTATACTTGTAATTTTCTTCTTTTCTTTCACATGTTCCTTAGAAACATTCACAAGATGGATTCAGACTCGTTTAGTTCTAATAAAGTATATTACTTAAAAAAAGAACCTATTTAAAGATAAAGAAGAAAAACAGAGAAAATAGCACAAGTATAATTCAATAAGAATAATTATTTAATACTAATTTAAGTACTCATCAATTGATGACTGGAGGAAAGTGTACTTTATAAAAACTAAACAGGAAGTTTAAAATACATCCTTACTTATATAATTAGAAACAATATGTATATATATATATATATATATATAAATACACTGGTCTATATTTAAAAATAAGTTATAAGATATCGACTAAAAGTAAAGTGTAAAGTATAAATTCTCAATAAATTTCACCCAAATGTTTATAAATTCATAGTATTTCTATTATTCTATTTTTATTTATTTATTTATTAAAATAATATCTCTCTATTTATGACGAAAAACCTTAATCCTATAAACTACGCGTTTTAATTTTTTTAACTGTATCAGATACACGGCACATACATACTGGATTCATTTTGTTATATGAATATATACATATATATATATATATATATATACACTATATTATATTTATCTCTCTGTATATATACGTATGTTGTATATATAAATATATGCAATAAAAGATATATGATTACCTGACCCACACGCTTTGCTTATTGAATTTGCATTCGAGCCGATGACGCTAGGTCGATGTTCGTACTGTTCATGCACTGGAAAAAAATAAATAAATATCTCCATGTAAACCTGAATATACAATATAAATACTATTCAAACCAAAGTTTAAATGAACACTATATATCTCTGTATACAATTATTTATGTATATATACTGTATATATATACTAGTATAGAGACAAAACAGTACTTTTATACAGGTTACTTTGCTGGAAATTCTAAACATAAACAAGTAATGCTCACCATAAAATCTCTTTAGCAGGCTCTTTTTATAATTCACAGCCGATGGACTATATGGCGTTAAAGGAGTTTTGGGCGTTTCTGGAGGCGTCATTTCCGCTTTGGGTGAACGTCTGGCTAGCGATAAGTTTAGAGGCTCGTCGAGAGGAGAATTTGGAAAGGCCACTGGTTTGCATCCCCTTCTCACAGAGAGATAGTTCATTGACGTCATTTTAAAGACAGCAAAAAGTTAATAAATGCCTGGAAGCTCTCTAGTGCGAACGTTCAGAGTTTCTGGTCGCCTGGTACGTCTCGAGAAATTTAATCACTAGAGGGCAGTTTAAAATAAAGAGGCCTATTTCTCGTTTTTTTTAATATACAGGGAGGTTGATGTACAAACAGACAAACGTATATTTTTTAATAGGCCAATGAACCATACTCATACATATGTTTAATCGAAATTCACAAAAGGATAGTTTTATGAATAATCAGGACTAATAAAAGAATGATTTTTTAAAAATATATAAATAATCTGTTTATTATTTATTATATTATTTATAATTCTCAGTTTTCTATTTATTTTCATTCCTTTTTTGTTTTTTACAAAAGAAAACTCTTTTCAACGACTGTTCAATTCTTAAAAATTCAACAACAACTGATTTAATTATCTCTTTTGTTTAAAACCCGTTTATTAATATAATTATTATCATTTTCATGATTATTTCAAGGCTCTCGAACCTCCACCCCCTCCCCTTGTCTTTCTTAGTCATCTTCATATTCTATACTAATATTTTCCTTTTTTTAGACATACAGTATGTTTATTACATTGACAAACTATCGAAATGCAGCTCCTATTATAAATTAACATTCGAAACGTTTTTATGCAAACGTAATCGTTATTATAGAGTAATATGCCATAATAATCACGTTTAGACGCTACTCGACTTAAAAGAATGCTAATAAGGTTAACAAACTGTAGCTTTAAAGGAGGAAAAACTTTATACCCCACTCCGCTGAAGTTTTCAATTCAATAATTTGAAAAATTAATAACTTTAGCTTTTATTATTTAAACTGTCTTAACTTAATTTTTTTTTCAATTATACGCCTATAAAAAGGAAGATATTTTATCACTAGATGGCTGCTGAATCAACAATTTTTTTCAAAGTTCCGGTTCCCGATAGATGTCACTCTAGAGTTATTGCAGTCAATATGGCGTAGGCGATCGTTTTGCTGTTGGCGAGTCAACTGTGTACTTTCGAATCGGTGATAGGTGACGTCTAGTAATTACGTTTAGATTTTTATATGGCCCATATCTCATCACAGCGACACCATGAAAAAGGTAATGTCATATTTTAGAAGATGATCTACAGAGGGAAAATTCTGTATATATTCAGTATATATATATATATATATATATATATATGTACTATATATATAGTGTATATATTTAGTGATAATATATATATATATATACAGTATATATATTAATTTATATATATAAGTATGTACTATATACTTTATATATATGTACATATCCTACACCAGAATATGTATAAATTTACATATATATATATATATATATATATATGTATTTATTAAATATTCCTTATATAATATAGGCCGTCTATATCTCTGTTTACTATATGTAAGTATATTCTATCCATAACACTTCTACATATTCATATAAACTGTATTTATACATACATACCTAGTGTACGATAAAAATAAGGATATATATATATATAGTATAAATGAGAATAAAGACCCCTATTATTCTATGTTTATATATATATATATTTATATACTGTAAATGAAACATTCTATTATAAAGTTCACGTATATTCATATATACAGTATATATATACTGTATGTAGATACTAAGATAAGTTATAGGCTATTTTTAGCACAAAAATAAGAAAAAATTTGTTTTGAAGTGTAAAAGCAAACGAGTACATGCTGTAGGATGTGTAGTGGGAGTAGTTCATCAATAACTATTACATTTCTGTGTAATTTGTTAAAATATACTACAAATATATATATAATAAAAAGAAAAGAAACACTTTGTACATGATCTGCATATAAAAGCTGATATTAATTATATAATTTAATAGAACGGCTACCATTGAAAGTGTATGGTACATGTATTACTCTACAAATACAGTATATACGCATGCTTATTCTATATAAAATTTATATGTATTTTTATACTATACATGAGAAATTTTAATTCACTTGTATATTCCGTAAATGCAGACAGATATGATATTATTGCATAATAAACAACTTATAACATTTACAGTCACATGCAATACTTTATATACAGTATATGCAGTTAAGTAAAATATATACCATATTATTCATTTAATGTTTCTACTAAGTACAGTTTATCTGAATATCGTTTGGATTGTGTTTAGACACTTAAATGAATTATTTCTATAGGAAAACGGCGATATTTGAAAAGAGACAAAGTGTATAAAATACATAGTATGAGATATCCTTTGCACACCTGCTATTAGATTCTTTAAAAGCCTTAAACAAGATTATAAACGCTTGACAATTACGTACTAAAGAAGAAGAGTAAAACATTCTTAAATTATAACTAAGTAGATGCATAAAATAACTCTGTTAGAAACATAAATCAAAGAGGAACAAAAGGATTATTTAAAGTCAAAATAAAAAGACATGATATCTATTTACAGTAACTCATCTTTAAAATAATTTCACATGCTAATTGATTCTATAAAGAAATAATAATTCATAAATATTCAGATCATCCTCCACAAGCCGGACGCCTATCGAATGATGACAGAATCTCAAAATTCAACTGCAGAATCTCCTAGCAGTTCAATACCTCAGCCAGCTGTACCAGACTATAGCCGTTTAATGACTCCAGAATTCTTCGACGAAGATCTAGAAAGAATATTAGAAAAACCTGGTACAGTTCCAATAGGTAAGGATAAATGGAAATCTAGGGAATACGATCTCTGTAAACTATATTAATAACATCAAAGCGATCGGGATGACATGTCAATCTCCTATGCTTTATTCGTCCTTGGTTTTAATTTACTTTCCTAACGAATATTTCATAATTAATATACGGTTCGTTTATACGTGTATACCTATGTATTTATTTAACAAAAAAGAGTGTAATAGTTCAACAACAAAGCATTATTAATTATTTAGAACGGTGAATTTATTGTGTTAGAAAAAGGCCGAAGAAGGAGAGGGTGAGAAGAATTAAGGGAGATGGGAACTGAGCATCGGTAACAGGGGACAGAATAAACAGAAGGAGAGAGACAGACGAAGAAGATACGAGGGGCCATGGACTAGGGAAATATGCAAATGAAATAAAAAAATATCATAAACAAAGAGAGCAACAGAAAAAAGTCATACAGCACGTATATATTAATATACAGTATATCAACGTAGTGCACATTAAATAGGTTAGATGAATTAGAATAGTAGCATTTTGCTACTGCCTGCTCTTAATCCACACTTTGTAGTTTGAATATAGTTTACATTAACACATTAAATATTATCGAATACTTATACGAATTATCGACAATTTGGACGCTAAGCGATGCTTAAACTACACTTTCTAAGAGAATAAATATAGGCATAGATGATTCCATTCCTCTTTTCTAATAGTATTATTTTTTGTATTCATTTGTTGTTTAACCGACCAAAAACCTTATGTTTCTTTTAAATTAAGCGCGTTACACACAAAGAGCAAATGATTTTTTCTAGGCCATCGAACGAGCGTTTCTTGCCCTGGACGCGAGGCGTCACTAGCTTCTAGCTCATCTGTCAAATCAGACGTACCCCGGAAAACTAGGCTTTTTTTTTATAGGCTATCTAATTGACATAAATGGGTCGTAATAATTCTCTTGGCTAATTTTGATAAGAATTTTTATGAGAAAATGAATAAATAATTGAATAGTTTACAGTATACAGTCACTTTAATGTATTTCTTTATTTCCTCTTTCCCCATAGGCGTTAAAAAACAAAAAGGTAAACCTCCTTCGGCAAGAGCATCCGTTATTTGTGCTGTCTGCTCAAAGAAGTTCAACAATTCTTCGGCTCTCGCCAAACACAAACTCACACACTCGAATGAAAGAAAATATGTTTGCAAAATTTGCTCCAAGGCGTTCAAAAGGCAGGACCATTTGAACGGTCATATGCTAACTCATAGATCAAAGAAACCGTTTGCCTGTAAATTTAAAAGTTGTGAGAAAAGCTACTGCGACGCTAGATCACTTAGGAGACACGTCGAAAATGCTCATGCTCAAGATGTCGAAAAAATTGTAGAAGCTAGACGGATAATGAACGCCGCCTATAGTCCAATTACTCCCACTGGGCCGAATTCAAACGTATTTTGGGAAGGTAATTTTTTTGATGATCCCATGACTGTTGAGTGTAAAGAATGTAATAGAAAATTTAAAAATATGGCCGCCCTCAATGGTCATATGCGTTTACACGGAGGTTATCAAAAGAAAAGCGACGATTTACCAGACACCAAACAAAATTACGAAGCAGAAGATATACTTAACGATATAACGAACACCAGTGCTGAAGAAGACGATGATGTATTTTCTCTAAAACAGATGGCGCCTCTAGTTGTTTCAACAGATAAAAAACGGCGAACAATGTCAGCGGATGCTGACAAGTTCACTGCACCACAAAGACCTTACGTGACCAAGGAGAGTATAGTACAATTGCTTAAACAGGCTGGTATGGAAGAAATTTTGAATAAAGTGGGATTGGAAGTCGATACTGCAGGTGCAGACGAATGTCTCGAATTGCCGGATGTTGACGTCTTGGAAAATCGAAATTCGAAACATCATCGACAGTTAAATGATGCGTGCACCGAACCGAAATTATTCTATAAAAAAGAAAGTTTAGAACCGCCTAAAGTAGGATTAGAAAAGTACCAGACTGATTCTTGTCTAGAACTTCTTGATCTACCGATAAGCGAGGGTCAAGGATTCAAAGTTGAACCTGCTAAATTACTCCTCGATACATTCGAATCAGAGGTAAAAGAAGAAGTTAGTAGAGTTGGAAAAACTAAATCTTGTTCTAGTATTGAAATGTTGGAAGATAATCCAGAACTTCGTAGACCGTTTAATAAAATTGAATTTCTACAAGGTGACAAAAACAATCATATAGAAACGAACGTGCATAATCAAAGTTTCAGTAAACTTAGCAATAAACAACCTCACATTAACATAACGCCTTGTCGAAGTAAACAGGAGAAAAGATTTCGTAATGCAGAACTACCAAAAGTAAAGAAAAAATATATACCTGAACCATTAGTGATACCTCCAAATTTAAATACCTCTTTTGGCTTTGTCTCTCATCTACGCTCGCCAAAATTTGACGAGACTAGTTGTACAATTCCTCCCTACACACCACCTCCAATCCTCTCACCCGCCAGAAGAGGTTCCGGTTTATTTTGGACAGTTAAAAATCAAAATTGCTTGCTACCTTTAGAAACTGATATACTACCGCATATCAACATTGGAACAAACTATCAAGCTCAAATTCCTCAATTGCAGATAATGAAAACAACGGAAATTTACCCAGAAACATCTGTTTGGTCAGTTGAGTCAGCTAATCGCTTATGCGACTTAGAGTTGTCCAACTATGAAAAGATTGCTTGTAGTGCTGCAGTTCCTGGTACAGGAACAAACAAGGAATATGCCTTGCACGTACTTCACGCAGCCAAAGGAGATGTTAAACTCGCGATGATGCTTCTCTTAACGGGAGACGTAAAATCGGAAGAATCCGTCCGTAAACGTATCAATTATGATCTTCCGCTGGACGAGACAGAGCCGTGGAGTAGGCCCGAAATTGAATCTTTTAGTCAAGCTATGGTTAGTCACGATAAGAATTTTAGAAAAGTCTCCGAATGTGTTGGAACCAAAAATATTCGTCAGTGTGTTCAATTCTATTACTTATGGAAGAAAGTATGCGCAAATGAATATAAGAAGATGAAAATGGTTAGGAAGAGAAGACATCAGAATGAAAACTTTTTATTAAGATCAACAATGGATGATTAAAGGATTTAGAAGAGAATTTAATCATTTATTATTTAAATTATACAACAAATTTTAATTCTTTGTTTATTATATTTGTCTTTATGACTTTTTTGTTTTTCTTTTATTTATATTTTTTGCCTTTTAATGTGCCATATAAAAAACACGAACGGAAATTAAACTTTTTGTGATCCAGTTACCCAATCATTTCTTAATTTTCAATTAGTAACAGTTAAACGCCAAACACTCTTCTATAATACAATTCCCCGGTACTTTCCTCTCTTGTAATTACATAAAACAAGTTGCCAAAGAGAAAAAACTGCTCATCTTTTATTCAATAAAATAGACTACTTCCAGTATCTCTTCGCGTAAATGTTTTAACTTGGTTTAATGTTAAAACAGTAAACTGTTTTTTAAAAGTGAAGTGAAGAGAAGAGATAGAATAGGATGATGAGTTTTAATTTCTAATGTTTTTTTTTAATTAATGCTACTCTTCCGTTTGATAGCTGAAAATGAGATAGAAAAGACAATAACATTTTAATTAACTTTCCATTTATTTTGATCTTATGAAAAAAGTATATATATATTAATAAAGGAAAACCTCATTAGGACAATTATAGCTCTGTTAGTTCGGCTTTTCCTTATTCTTTCCTTTGGTGTTTATTTTGCAAAAAGAAACTTATGGTGGAGAAGTAGATTACTCCATAAAAAAAAACGAACAAAAAAACCACGTCGTCAACTTTTCCTTTTCGATTTTATACCAATTTTTTTCTTTCAGAAATTAGCCGACTTTCTAGAACTTGCAAACGACTGTCTAGAGCTCATTCTGCTCATAGATGCTTCTGGCAAGGCTTTGCTCATAAATTGCTTATAAGGTATTTTACCACTAAGATTTTCGTCGAATTCTGTCATTATTTGATAAATTTCCTCTTCGTCCAAAATTACGTTCACCAACTTTAATACTGATTTAAATTCTGCAAGGTTTAAATAGCCTGTTTTGTTTGTATCCAATTTTCTGAAAGCTTGTCTTAGAGTTTTCCAATCACTCGATAACTGTTGAATTATTTATAAATGTTAAAATAATAAGAAATGTAAATATAACATTACCAATTTAGCAAAAAAAGAGATTTATATAAATAGCAATAATTGTAATTAAATCATAATGTAAATATTGATTTTTTATAAATTCTAACCTTTTGTCTAAGTTTAGCTGTCACGCCGTCCATGCCTCTCTGTGGAGGCCGACAAACATCATTATCCGATTGCGGAAACTGTAGAAGAGATAACATATTATTTCCATGTCTCCACACTTGCCTCTTTAGAGCAAAGGGTTTTAGAAGTTCCACGTAGGAAACACGTCCATCTACCGTGTTGTATTTCTTCGTAAGTAAATCCAACTCATAGTTTGAGAGATGGACGCAGAGTTCAGTCATAACGTCGCGAAATTCCTCAATACTAACAAGACCAGTTTTGTAAGGATCCATAATTTCAAATTCCTTGCGGATATCTTCCCACATGTAATCAATTTTAGATCGAAGGCTGTCCATAAGCATATCAGCAGCACAATTCAATTTTCGGCTACGCATCATCAAGTCAGAGTCTCCCTTCCTCGGAGGTTGAATTTTTGCATTAGGGAAGGCAGCAGACTTTAGAGAATAACCAAAATGACGAGCAAATTGCAGAAAATCTAATGTATTATCCGTATTTGTTATTAACGATTTCCAGATGCAACGAATTTCTGCTCTATTTATGATTGGCTCTAATTTCAATCTGAAAAGTCAATTTATCCATGTTATATAGATATACTAATTATAAACCAAGGATAAACAAACTTTTTCAGCAGCTGATACAATGTGTCTTGGCTCATTCTTCTTGTATTTAGTTCATCTATCTCGAAGAAAACTCTTTCCACATCTTGATATCTATTCTTCATCAAATCCTTAAGTATAATAAATAATTCTTTCTCGTTTCTTGGTTCACGAGGTATCTCTAACAAACTTTCGTGATCCTCTTCTTCTTCCAATAACAGATTTTTATCATCTCCTGGTGGAGATGGATCTCTCGGCAAGGCGCCTATAGGCCTTGCAACTGGCTTGGCCTTTGCTGACGGAGGTGGAGTAGGATCAGCTGGCAGTACTCCTATAGGTTTATACTTTCTTAGCATTGCCCTCTTTGGTCCAAATAGACTTGGAGCTGGCTTTGAAGGTCCCCTGAGAATTAATGTAGCCAAAATTTACATATATAAAATAAAAATCTATCTATTTAGTTTAAAAGTATTGATAAAAGTTTTATTAAAGACTTACTCCGTATCGAACTGAGCCATAAATTCAGCATATTTCACATTACCCTCATCGTCTAAGGGAACTTTATCAATAAATAATCGGAATTGTTCGTCCGTCATCTCAATTTCAAATCTACTCTCAATAGCAGCTCTAAATTCCTCTTGGCTTACTATATCTTGACTAAGTTTATCGATTTTACTGTAATAAATCAAGAATAGGAATAAATAAATGAATGATTTAATAGAATTAAACAAAAAGTACGTAAACATTACGAATACTAACTGGCAATTATTAATCAATATGCATAATAAGTAAGAGTAAATATATGTTTCAGTTAATAAATTAACTTTTTTCTTTATACTGTACTTTTAACTTAATACGCGTAGCGTTGTTGAGTAAAGTTTAAGCCTTACGTAGATGTTAGAAATATAAATTTAATATGAGTAAATGGTAAAGAGATTTAATAGCAAGCACTTACTGAAAAGTTCCAAGAAGTGCAAGGAAATCTTTTTGAAAGTAGCTGAGTAGTCGAGCCTCAATTGCACTCAGAGACGAAAGATTGCTTGGTGAATTTGGACGATTATACCTACAAGTTTGATAAAAATGTATAGATAACCGTTAATGTTATTATAATTTTGCAATAGCGATTAAAATTGTCGTGATCACACATACTTATGATTGGTATTCGTTAAAATTTGATGCGACATGCCTTCTTCGCTTCTATCTTGGAATTTTAAGAGAAATTCTTTATAGGGAACACCAGCTTTTTTCGGCTCTATTGAACATCTTGCTAAAAATTCGTCTAGATATTCAATTTCCAAATTTAGTCCATACTTCTTGAGAACTGATATGAAATCTTTATGCGTTACTATGTCTATACAATCTTTGTCTTTGGCCTCAAAATCTTTTCTCATTTGAATAAAGCCTTCTCTGAATTTTCTCTTCAGCCACTTTTCAATGTCAATAGACCTTTGTCTATCACTTTCCTTTTTCAACATATTGGATCTTGAAGACTCTCTTGACCTTCCCGTATCAATTTGCCCTCCTACTTCTATGCCAAGTTCTTTCATTAGATATTTTCCGTCAATAGTTCCCTTGCAATAAGGGTCGTATCGTTTCCATAATTTATCAAACTCTTCATTGTCTAGGCCAAGTCCTAAACTATTCAAGACATTTTTGAATTCTGGTTTAAGAATATAACGAGATCCGTCTGGATTATGTTGAGGTATTAATCCAACGACATCTATTACGTTTTGTTTAGCTTTTTCTTTTAAGTGTTCATGCACTTCGGATGCTTTAAGAGCTGCTCTCTCTTGCCAATGTCGTTGAACGGGATCCACGTATCTATAGAAGATAATTAAAATAGAACTAATACTTTTTCAAAGGTGTTTAAAATTAGGCGTTTACATTAATAATAATACTATATATCTATATATTAATCTTTCTATATATATATATATATATATATATATATATATATATATATATATATATATATATATATATATATATATATATATATATATATATATATATATATATATATATATATATATATATATATATATATATATATATATAGAAATAGTCTACAAGTCTATACAATCCAAAAAATAGTATAGCTGGTAAGTAAACTTTGTGCTAGCATATGATTTATCTTGAAGCTATTTTACCTAGGTTGTTCTGGGCTCGAGGCGTCTCTAAAACGTGCTCCAAATTCAGTATAAGATATAATTCTACGTTTTTCCAAACCCAAACGAATTAATAGTTCTTCCAATTGAGATGATGAAATGGGCTTTTTGAGCATATCAACAAGAATCTTTTGAAGGCCCTCTTTTGAAACATTCCCTCTTTGTTCTGGATCATTGGCAATAAAACGTTTCTTTATTTCATTAAAACCATGTTTGCCTCTTTCTTTTAGCAAATGTTCCAATTCATCGATTTCTAAGCGTCTCTTTTGCGAATCTCGTGATGTTTGCGAAAGGCGGCTGAAAGCACGATTTTCTAGTTGACTTTTAGACCCTGTTCAGGACAATTATTGTTTAAATATCCGCATATAAAAATATTTGCATTAAGGACTAGCCTCTCTTTTGTTTGAACAAAAACAAGTGACGATTTATGCATATATGCTATTACGTATAATCGACAGATTATCCCTTTAATTATCTAAAGAGTTAAATAAAGTAAACTAACCAAACAAAGGCAATGTAGTTTTACCGGGATCGGCTCTAATAACTTCGACTCCTTCCGGAATTGCTTCGATTCGCTGAGGACGTTCTTCCGAAAATTTTCCTTGTCTACTACTTCTTCTGGACTCGGTTCTTCTTTTCTCATAGTTTCCTTCATTAGCTAAAGGTCGACCGGAACTTGCTCTACTTTCTATAATCCTATTTCCATCTCTGGAAAAACCTCTTACATCCAAATTTTGTGGGTTGCCGATTCTCGAAATGGGATGCTCAATAGGAGCCAATTGACGGGGTCTAGCCACTTCGGCTGACATTTTTAGATTGTAGTGATCAGCTAAGAGACTGTTTGTCGTCCTGGCGACGCTTGGCGACCATACGCGAGCTTTTGTACGGCTTATGAAACGAAGAGGATTAGCATAACAAAGTAGCTATTGAATTTTCTTCTCGTAACAATGGTATTAGTAGTGTAGCTTCTTTCTCAATAATATACAAGAGTTTAGAAGGCGTTTGAACGTTTGAACAGACCTCTAATGTAAATTTATTCTGTATAATAATGTTATCTAAAGTGATACAATATCTCCCGCAAGCCTCCGTCATCAGACGAGATCTAACAAAGGCACTTTTTTAGTCGTCTACTGATAATCGGATAATAAAAAAAATACTTAGGCCTCATTATATTTTTTACTAATTCACTCATTCACGCATTCATTCATTCAAATTCAATAACATTTTTTTTATTTGAATTAGAATCAAAATTCCCAAATTGACTGTAGGGATATTCTATTCAATTTGCCTGTTTATATGTAGCTTTTTTAATTAAGTTTTATCTGCATATTTCCTTTTAAAATCTTTTCCGTAAGGCAAAGAGTGGCAGATGGCAAATGAAATTAGAGGCAGAGAGAGATCAAGAGATCAAGAGAAAATGAATATTCGACTGATTTAAGACTAAAAAAACAAGGGAGAGAAAGAAACTGGTAATAGAAAGAAATATTATATAGTACTGATTAAGACGAATATAACATTTGTAATGTGAAATAGAGAGAATAAATGAAGTCAGAAACAAGGTCATTTAATGTGTTTTCTACTCTTTGTTTTTCTTTCAAGTTTCCTTTTTATAATAGACAAGAAAGAAAAAAGATCTTCTCTTTAACGCTCTCTAGATATATACAAACTTTATGATTTAAAGCAGATAACAGTGGAAAAATAAAAGAATTGTGACAAACCAATAAGCGTTTACCGAAAGGGAATAAATATTTGCAGTATTCAATAGCTTTTAGCTTTTATCAATTTATTGACCGCTACTCGCCTACAAACATAGACGTATAGACACACAAACGACTACGCACAGACAGATATATGCACAATTATCTATAGTAAACCAATGTAATTACATAAACATAAATACAAACACTGAAACATGTGCAGCATGTATACAATTTCTAGTATAATGTTGCTATAACTAATACCGTAAAAGCATTAAGGATCGTACTGAAATATTATATTTTAGCATATATCTTGTATGCTCTTAAACTGAAAATTACAAACTTCTCTACCTTATCTATAAAACGAAAGGAAATACAAATAGTTGATAAGAAACGATTTAAATATAAAGAATTATCATATAGCGTGATAGTTACTTTATGTAAATACATTTTACCATATGAAACAATGTCATTTTACTTGACTGTAGCAACTGTGAAATTTTTTCTTCGCATTCCTAGAAATTTAACAATGTTAAAATATATTGATTTAAAAAATACATTAAATATAAGTGCTTACATCGAGCCTTCTTCATTTCTATGACATTATGTATCGCATACTTTATTTACTTTTTCATTTGCTCACTTTTTATTATCTCCACCGTAGAAGGAAGCATTAAAAATGCTAATGAAAAGCGACATTTCTAAACTATTCCATACTAAAAATAGTAAGATTGAAAGAGCTAGATATCCTTTAGTTTATATAATATGATATACCCTTCATTCTTTGTTTGTAAAACTTCTATTATTGGTCACGATTTCTGTTAATAAGCTCTATAGTTCTTCTTTCTCCCTAATTTTTCCATTTCATCTTCTTTTTGTACCAATTTTCTATGAAGCTTTTATCAATATTAACATTTACTTTTGACAGTAACTGTAACAAAGCGTATTTAATAATTGTTGTTATTTCCTTTTTAATAAATCTAAACAAAGATATAAAGATCAAACTTGTTTTTCTTGTTTATACATACTTATTTAATTACCTTTTTATTTAGATTAAATATCTTAATTTAATGTTTCTCTCTTTTATTATAAATAAAAGAAGAAGAGAGAAGATAGATATTATTGGGTCAAAAAAATAGTATTTATCTATATTTATTCTTACTGTAACTGCAGAAAGCACATGATTATTAGGTACGTGATTATTTAGATACTATATACTAATATATAGCATACTCCCTATTATTATTTAAATAGCATTTACGTTATTTATACAGTATAGCTTATATAGCATTTTTCTTCTTAAATTAAACTTAATTTTAATAAAAGAAATGACGAAAAAGAGACGTTAGTACTATTATTGAAGTCTTTACATTTAATTTAATAATATAAATACAGCCAATTTATTATAAAAAAAGAAAAACGAAGGTAGTATTTCAAAGACCAATCTTTTTTAAGTAAATGTTAAATGAATGGCAATAGAGTTTCCAAATTAATAAAACTTGCTTGTTAAATAGTAACATTTATATATTAAGCTCTTCTATTGTTTCTTATCTTTAACATAATAAAAAATAAACCGATTTTCTTATTGTCCTATAAAAATTTCTATGTGTTGTTTTTTTATTGTACTATTGAAATTAAACAATAAATAAATAAATACCATATAACTTTTTGTTAATATTTAGTGCAAGTCTAACTGCAGCATCATAGAAATGCATTATGCATTAGTTAACTCTCACTGTGAAAACTGTTGTAGAATTTTGACTAAAATAAATTACCCCATGTAGAGTATCTAATATATTATTCGTTTAATCTATACAAAACAATCATATTTTAAAATTGCGAAATATTTGCTATTCCCTTAATGGCTATCACCGTACTTTATTTCTTTCATCCATAAAGAGCTAATGTATAAAAAAAGATCCCTTGTTTCATTTCAATTATTAATATATGAAATTACAAATTTTTTATCAATTAGAATATTTATGTATTGTCAAAATTTTAGAGAATGATTGGCAACTGTTCTTCTGTTAGAATGATAAATAAACGTTCTTCAAAATAATTTTCATCCATTAGAGGACACTTGAATAATTTGTCCTCTAATGAATTCTATTATATAAAAGTCATAATAAAATTGAAAAAAATAGAAAGAAACGCTGATTCTTGTAAAATATAGAACAGATCTTTTGCGGATGAAAATAAATATGCATAAAGATGTTTTGCAGTATTTTATTAAGAATCCGTTGAAGTTGAGAAATTTTATAAAGTCTTAAAAAAAAGAAGATTTAAATAAGGAATAATAAAAGCAATTTCTTCCTCAAATACGTTAAGTCTTTATCGATATATTCTTAGGCATTAAAACTTATATAATGTATAAAGTATTAAATATGGCTTCTCTCAATAGTTTTGCTCTTCATCTGTTTCATTTCAATTACTACCTTCCTTATAAATTTGTCGTTGCAATATGTTTCCTTTTAACACCATCCCTTAATAGACTTGTTTCGAATGTTGATTGTTCTTTCGTTACTTTTATCTTTAATATATGACATCTAAATAAAAATATTAAAATTCTACGAAATTGACCGTTTAACGCCAAATAAACGCAAAAGTTTACTGCAAAATTACAAACTTGTAGGGTATTAGCCATCGATCTCATAGTTAGATACATGTTTCTATGTTGTAGATTAGATGGTAATATTTCAAGAATTATATCTATCCATTCGCTCGGCGACATCAGAAATATGTAGAGTATTATTATGCAAATTAGGGTTGGCGTAATCTTTTTTGTGGCATTTGATCGATTTGATACAGCTTCTTGAAGTTGTTGAGATTTCTTCAGAGCTCTGATTAAGTGAAAGTTAAAGAAAGATAACAACACTAATGGTAGTAAATAGCGAAAGATGAATGATATCCAATTATATGCCTGTCTTGTTTCAGCACTAGCATCTAATGGGCCCATATCCAGGAAAACATATGATGTATTTTCTAATTTTATAGCTGATTGTTTCCAAAATCCTTCAATCAAGGTAAATTATTGAATAGATCCTTTTAGTATTTGCCTAAACAGTAACTAAGCGATTTTATATTTTGTAGTTCTATTTCTCACTTAGAGGCATATCTTATAAAAATTAAACTCTTTCAAATGACATTCTACAACTTAAATTTAGATTTAGTGAGTTGGATATAGTAGAAAACCTATAGGTTAAACGTTATTCCAAAGTGATCTTCATAAGCTTCTTTTTTGTCTCTTTATCGTGCTTATAATCTTTAGATATAATACACTATTTAACTATACAGCACATATGTGCTATATATTTATGATTGTATATTTGTATCTAATACTCTTTAGACTCTTCTCCCTCTTTTCATCTGAATGTATCATGATTATTAATAAAGGATTATACCTTTGAAAACAAAGTACTAGTGAATTGGCTACCTAAACAGATTAGAAAATTTTTAGAGGTGAAGCATACTAAGCAGGTTGGAAAGTGAAAGACCTTTATATTCATTCACAAAAACGAAGAAAGCTCTGTACAAAGTAGGAGAAATAGAAAAAGAGGAAATGTAAATAAATTAAAAGATTTTAAACAAATTCTCTACAGACTCTAGTACAGACCAGGAAATACTACTTAGAGTTCCTGTCATAGTCAATTTTTTCCCTAACAAATATATTTTCAGATACTCTTTCTATATTTTTTTTTATCAGTGTCATATTCATCTCCTTTTTTATAAGTAAGCTAACAGTCTAACTCCGTAAGGATAAGATATCTAAAATATTCATTAACCTTGCAATCTTGTTAAACTTGATATTTAAAATAATAGATCATTCTACTACATTTAGTAGTAAAAATAATAATAAGAGAAAAGATACCTTAAATTTGAACTAATTATCAAAATGGAATACTTTTCAAATCAACTGGATTAATAAGCAACAAAAGATTTAACATCTACCAGTCAATACGCTCACGAAAATATCGACTTTCTCAATAACGAGATGCATATGTATCTTTATTTCTATGGTCAAAAAAAAAGCTTCTGGATAAAATACTGATTGAATCAAGTGATAACAATTTCCCTCAGAGATATAATGTCTTCTACAAATAAAGTCTTCAAGGGTAAAATATTAGTGAATACACTTCAAGTCTCTATGATCTAATAATATTATCTTATAGATATTTAATCATTTTTTCCCCTGTTCCTTCAGATCCTCATCAAAATTTATAACATTTAAATATCTTTATAGATTAATAGTAAAAATCTATACTTTAATGGATTAAAATAGAGAAAAAAGCAATATCAATTAATCGCTGGCTTCTACATTATATTATCTTACAACTTCCTCAGTTAAGAGAGAGAGAGCAAGAGAGCGAGAGAGAGAGCAAGAGAGCGAGAGAGAGAGAGAGGGGGGAGAGAGAGAGAGCCTAATACAAGCATATATACAGCAAAAAGAACATAGAAGTAAAGTAATGAATATCCGAAAATAGAGTATTGTAAAATTCTGTGAATAAGGAGTTTAAAATAATCGTTATTATGTTGTTGTCACATTATAATCTAAAACAATGAAGGTTCAACAGAGCTAGATTATCGTCACTTCTGCTATTGCTTTAAAATAGACTAATACTTAAATTAAAATTCATTTGAGGTTTTACAAGACCAATTCAATAACTACCTGGAAGTCCTACAGCAATCGAGAAGAAAACAGCTGTTGCATTACAAGCATGTAGTCTATTCGATGTAACCATTTCTTTTGCTTTGAAAGGGAAGCATACGATAACAAACCTCACCGCGGCCATAACGACTGTAATCCATGTTGAGCACATTATAAATATATTTCCAAAGGCAGAACCGTAAAGTTGATAAAATTCAGTAAAAGAACCACTTAGGAAGTACAAATCATGCTCACTAATATAGCTTCTTGGTAGAGTTGATATACATACTAGTAAATCCGAAAAAGCTAATAAGACAAATCCCCAGTATGCTGTCATTTCTCTTTTCCTTAAACCAGAGTACAAACAACCTATGGCCATTATCAAAATGGTCGAAAAATTACCAATTATACCAAATATAGATATGATTGGGTTTACTCTCGAATTTAAAATTTCACTCAAAACAATACCAATCGTCGGTTTTGTAGAATTATTCATTTTTCTGAGTTTTAACCAAATCTATCCTTATGCATTGATTCAACGATATTGCTGAAAGAATATACAACTCTAAGCTACGACTACCACCCGAGGGCGCCTCACTGAAAGCGTTTAAAAAGTCATCTATTCCATTAGATAAAGGTACACAATATGACCTTCTCTTTCACTTTTTTCATTTATTATTAAGAAGAAATATATTTATTGTTGTAATTTTTGCCGTTTCGATTGCAAGTTATTATTAGAAGGAACAGTGATATATATGTAAAGTTTATTTTTATACTTTTATTTCCAATTAAAGCAGAGAGTGAGGAGAGGGAGAGAGAGAGAAGCAGACAGAGTACTAGATTGAGAGAGATGGAGTATAAAGATTATCCATACAAATTTCACCTTTCTATCTTACTCTTTTATCGTCATACAACTATAATATACATATATTTTCCTCTAGAGTATTCTTTTCATAATACTATTTAATACTCATTTAATAAATTGTATATAATATATATAATATAAATGCTTTACATTTATAACGAAGAGAAAAGGATATACATTTTATTTACAAAAAATATACATTTCGAAAAATTCTCTACTGTTACATGCGTTTCTTTTATAACGTTCCCATTCATCCATACATCACATAGGTTTTCTAAAAATTTCTTTTATGTATAGGTATATCAAGCAAGATACTTATGAATTTAACAGGATATATATATATATATTCACTATATATGGTTAAATGAAGCATTCTTTATCTGATTGTCACCTATTTTAATACGCTAATAGGGTAATTTTAACTCCTTTATTGTCCAAACTACATAAAATATCATGTAGAATTAATAATTAGATTAATTTGAACTGAACATGCTAAAATTATGAATATTTACTTCTTAGAAAGAAGCTAGATAAGCATATTATTTTTAGTCTTTTACATTTCATTAATTAATTCAAAAATAATGCCTTTTTTTTAATTCCAACATATCACTGTTGGCTTGTTCTTTTTAAGTTTAACTCTATTCTTTTAGTCATCTCTTCCTCTTCCCTTCCCCTTTTATCCATTATATTAAATAAATATAAAAGGTATTTTCGTATGACAACTTTTACCATTTACATTTTTCTCCTGTCTCTAGGTAAACTTAATAAATAGATGATATAGAGGAAAATTAGAAAGCATAACAATTACGATAGGATGATTTGCTCTGTATCTCATTTGGACAAATTTCGAAATGTATATCCTTTTCTCTTCGTTATAAAAATTCTCCATTTCAATAAAAGAAAAAGCAATGAAAGCTTCAGACTTAGAATCCTCAACTGGATGTGATAAAAAAAAGAAAAAAGCGACTGAAACAATGAGAACATTTGTTAAAATGCTTTCACCCATTTTGATAAAAAAGAACTCACTTTTATATTTACTTGTCTTATTGAAAGAAGAATCTTTTAAACTCTAACAGTTTTTTCTTTATATACCAGTTTATATTTATATATGTACAATATATATATTGTGTATAAATTTAAAAAAATGTATATGTAAATTTTATTGCTTTCCGAAATGAAAAGCACTTAAAGTTATTTTATCTATAGTGTAGGAAGAGAAGAGGTCAGAAATTAGAAAAGACTGTTTAATTAAGACAAACTATTTCTTCAGGAAAATATTAGATAAATGCTATAAAAACTAACGCGGAATAGCCTGACAAGACTATTATGGCTATTATTATACACAGTATTCTGGACATATATTCTCTTAGTGCAATGCATTATCTATTTTTAGAATTATATGTTGATACAATTATTTTTATATTGCAGTTTATAGAAAAAGAAACATAAAATAGACAATAGAGGCTGATGAAATTATAAGTTGAGAGAGAGAGAGAGAGAGAGCAACAGAGTAGGAATCATGCTATACATCTATGCTGTAGATTTACAAACACATAGATGCCAAGAGAAAATAAAGATGAAAGATATATAAAGATTACACGAAATTTTTAATTCTGAGTATCCAATTTTTTCTAAAGCAATTTCCTCATATACGACGAAACATCTACATACACCAAGTATATTACGAATGATGAAGACGTCCTCGTGGGTATACGAAAATTTATGAAGATTAATAAAAACTACTTTAAAATTTATATCATCTATATTCATTACTGTCATTGTAAATTATTGATTAATATTTAATTTGTCAATCTTTCATTTCATCACTTCTGATTTTTTGTTATTCATATGTCCTTGACTTAAACACTCTGCATTAATCCTTTTTTAATTATTTTCATTGTAGGTTAATGAATAGGTTTAGTTAGCTGTAAATATGAAGAGAAGGTATACAGTCAATAGAAAACCAAAGTTATACTTGTATAAATATTATGACATTTACAATAAATATAGATGACGATTGTAAAAAAATAATAATAAGACAAGAATAAGAAAAAACAGACGGATTAAGTTTAATCTTAAATCATAATGTGTTTTCTAGGCTTATTTGTCTGTTTAAATAGGTTGATCAAGCTACCCAACAAATCTGCAGTTTTAAAAGTCTGTTTAATACGGTAAAAAAGACAAATAACACGCAGCAAAAATCTTTTAAATAAGTGGAAGATAATCTCTATCTCGATCTTTCTTGCTTTTTTGATTTGGAATTGGAGAGGGATCTTTCATATTTATTCCTACTGATAATGAAGGCAAGCCTTTTTCGAAAGGCGTGGCTTTATGACCCCTGTGGTTTTCTTTTTCAGAATAACGTCTCATTTGAGTTCGATAAGGAGGATTATCTTTTCTTGAAATATCCAATAAATGTTCAATTTCCCTGACAAAAGGCTTTGGAAAGAAAGGGTGATTGAGGAGGTCACTGCAATTTGCCCTTTCTTCAGGATCCATAGCAAAGCAGTTGTGCATAAAGTTGAAGGTATTATGGGAAACACCGGGAAAATTCATTTCCAAAGGTTCCAAGTTCTAAGGAGAGAGGAATTGTTCAAATAATCCTTTTATTTCATGTTGAAGGACAAGTAAACTACTTACAGGGGGATCGGGTATTGTCATGGCTTTGAAATACGGATTCCTTCTAAATGCTTCTATATGACGGGGTATGAGATCGCCAAGTGTCCTCTTAATCCTATATATTTGATCAACATCCGTCTTTCCGGGCCACAAGGGTCGGCTAGTTATAAGTTCAGCAAATACACATCCTATAGCCCACACGTCAACAGGAGGACCATATTGAGTATCCCCAACTAACAACTCAGGTGCACGATACCATCTAGTTGCAACATAATCCGTGTATTTGTCGTTAACACCAGCTATAACGAGAATATAATTGATATAAATAATATTATTAACTAAGTCTCGAATACGCACTGATAAGCCTAGCAAACCCAAAATCACATAATTTTACTATTCCCTTTGAAGAGACAAGAATATTCTCAGGTTTAACATCGCGATGTATACACTAAATTACGTAATAACATGATTTATAGACAAATATATATATATAAAGGAAATAATTTAATAATAATGAATTACGAACGTTGTGCTCATGGCAAAAATTAACAGCTACGCATATTTGATAGATGATTTTTCGTATCTTATCTTCCGGCAAGCTGAATTAATTAGAAATTATTAATATTAAGCCTTAATATACAGTATATACTTTATATATAAGTTTAAATTATTAATATTTGTAGTAATAGAAATAAAGATATTCTCCAGAAATCTTACCCTTTTTGATAACTTTCAAGTTCGTCTAAAACAGTATGATCAAGATATTCGAACACTAAATGTAGCTTCTTCTTACGTTTAAATACTTCAAGTAAATTAACCAGATTTGGATGTTTTAATTGCTGAAAAGATAAAAGCGTAAACAATATAAACTATGTTATATATGATATAATATTTTCTCCTTTTTATAGAAAATAAACACCTTTAACATTCGAATTTCTCTCATTGCAACTTTTTTAATTAGAGGATCCTCATCACTCTCAATAAATTTTTTTATAGCTACCAATTGGCTTGTTTCTTTGTTTCTACATTTGAAGACTACTCCATAAGATCCACTTCCAATCCTGTCTATCTTTTCAAATTTTTCCATTTGATATTTTAGGAACAGCTCTCTCTCTCTCTCTCTGTTTGTTGTGCTTTGAAATAATCTTGGAGAAGAATACTACAATTTTTTCTCAATGATAGAAATAATTAAATAACTTTCAAAAGTTAAAACGTAATTTTTAATATTTTCACTCTGCAGTAAATCAAATTTCGATTCGAATACTAATAACTGAAAGTTCTGCGTATTGCTTTGTAATAGTTTACTGTCACGTTGCTATGGGAAAAGGTAAACTGGTCTTATAGAACTTTAACATATGGTGTTTCAATCAATAAAGTATAAAAAAGAAAATGATAGTTTCTACTATAGGCACTAGATGGCGCTAAGCGCGATATGTTGTAAATTTTTTGTTTTGCTAGTTTAATGAAATTAGCTAATTATAGGGCATCTATTCATGTAAATACGTAAGGAGCCTGTAAAAAGGCTTAACGAATAAAAAGTTGTATTTGTTAACATTCTTAACATTGTTTTCTACATTGTAAACAAAAATAAATTTTTCCTTGTCCTTTTGTTTATACTGGTATGTTTGTTCAAAGCAGGCTAGTTGTAGACGTTGTATACGTAAGATGAGAGATTTGTTCAAGTCGAAGCTATGAAGATGAGGGAAAGAACTGAGAGAAAGAAAGAAGTAGGCATAAAATATGATAATCCTTCCAAAGAATGTCAACGATGAAGGGATGAATGATGAAAAAGTTCAAAAAAAGATACATGTTCAAAAGAAATGTAAACAAGAGAAGGGAGAGGAGGAAGAAGAAGAATAAGTTTTTGAATATCAACTGCAGGTGTTGTTGTTTTGAGGTGGTTCACGTAGAAACGGTGGAAGGGAGTTGGGTATTTTGCGTTGAAGTTGCTCGAGGAATTTTTGAGCGTCAACCTGCCCATCTTGGGTCGTAAAGCTACCTGTAATAAAAATAAAAAATGCTCTTAATTGTACGCATATTTCGCTATGTTATTTATTTCTTTGAGGCATAAACTCTTTAGATGTGATTTTAACAATAGGGAAAAAATGGCGTCAACATTTTCCTTGTGTAAATGGCACCTGCTCCGTCAAGCCATATAGGCCGATTAAGGAATGATCGGAATTTGTAGGCCCAAGAAGCCACTCGAGAAATCCGATTGGCGTAGCAGCAGGTGCGCAAAAGTGATTTTTATTGCTATGCATATAGTTTTAACAAAAAGTAATTTGCATATGAGTTAAAGTTACGTGTCTTTTCTTTTTCCCGTGGGAAGGAGGAGGGATGATAAATAGTTAAAAGAGTTATCGTACGCTATTTGCTAGGCGGGGACACTTGAACCGATAAAATATTTAAATGATATGATAATAGCAAAATGTGGGAAAACGCTCATCTCAGCGGGTGACGGATGCAATCAATCAAGGTCTAGGGCTGTTATCTGCTGGACACCTGGTTCAACTATTATTTTTTATTATATACATTTCAGCTACTTCCGACGTCTGAAGACCACCTTCATTAGATTTCTATCTTGGCAGCTAACAACACTCTTAACACATCAATTAAAAACGGTCAATAACTGTTGGTTACGTAATTCTTTTTCCCGCTTAATTACATACTTGCATAACCCTCGCGAGGGTTACTTTTCTTTTACTACAAACCAAATAGGTCACCGTATACTTTTTGATGCTATCGGCCGTTTCCGGTCGAATTAGCAAAGCTCACTATGCTGTCATTGACAAAATATTTTCACGGATCAAGAAATTCCTCAACCTTTTTAACTTTACGGGAAAGTTACAGGTAAATAAAGTACGAGTGCAAAAGTAAACAAAGTCTTTTAACACACTTACCAACTGGTAATCCTAGACGCCCGGCTAGTTTAAAATGAAGTTCATCTATGTACTTAACAGCTTCTTCTATTAGTTCTATCTGTAAGACGGATGTTCGTATAATAGGACTAGAAACCTTTTCGATGTGTTATTACATATATACAGTATATTTAATAATCTAGATGATAAAAGATAATAATAGCAATAAAATGATATGTACCTTGTCAACTTTTCGTTCATGTTTAACTGATGGAACTATAGATTTTAATCTTTTATATTCCCTATTTGATTTGATTTTATACATGTATTTTCTTTTAATCTTCTTACATATTTTTTCGGTGTACATCTGCAAAAAGTTCATTAATAAAAAAATCTCATTTCTATTAAACACAGGCAATATACCTTTACTGAACGGGCTGCAGTCATTTTTCCTTTATTTTTTTCCTTTCCTGGTTAATATTTCCAAAGAAAAAAGGAGTACGAATAATATCGGCGAAATATAGACTTTCTTCACTTTTGAACTTTCTGTAATGATCCCTCTTCGGATAAAATTTCGCGAATGACCAAAAGAATTTGAACTCTACTTTCAAATGTGTAAAAAAAATCGTATTAAAGAACTAAGGAATTCCTCAACGTTCATTGGTTAAATTCTACCCTCATCGTATAATCAAGCTGTGAGAAAATAACGCCACCTGTTGTCCACATTCTTCCACTCTAATATTTTTATACGCTTCGTTTAACACTAGTAGCTCCGTTGAAAAAATTAGATAATTCTTAAAGAAACCGCACATTATAGAATGTACGTAACATGATTACCAAACTAACGCCCTCTGCATGACTTCATGTAACTATATCAACAATGAGTCAACATTTGATATTCATAAATATTACACCAACAAAAGAAATATATACATTTCGGGAAAGTTTAGACATATACGGTATATTTGGTGTATATAAAGGGACTAGTAAATGATTACAACATCAGTCGTTATTTGCTCTAAACATGGCAGAACCTTCTAATACTTCTCATCTATCCGAAAGGTTAGATATAATTATATGTTGTCAAACAATTCAAACAATTGTAGAATCTCTTTGAAAATTTGTAGGATTGAAAAAGCTAAACAGGAACTTGAGGAATTTGGTGTAACTGTGATTCCAAATGTTCT